GGCTAGAACTGAATATTAATTGCGGTACACTCAAAATTGAGTCTGCTGTTCAACTGCTCGACTTTTATAAAAATTAGTTATGTTGTATGAATTATGTTTAAAGTGATAGCAAAAATAATTCTGTTACATTTAGCATACCCATATTGAGGCAAGCACTTTGTTTTCATCTATCTTTGATTCATGAATACCCCTAAAATGTCACTTACCACTTACCTGGTTCTTCCACTAAGCTCTTAAATAGTGTTGGTAAACGAGTTTCAGATTTATCCATAGTGTTGTTAAGTACTGATTAGTTGATTTTTTTTATTCACCCCTTACAAAACAAATTATTTTGAATTCTCTTTTNATAGTATATATTAAATCTCAGACTTGGGTGTACTAAATTTAATTCTTATCAATCTCGAGCTCGGGTTAGATGGGTTCGAACTCGAAAATTTGAGCCTTAACTTATCTCGATTGTACACAAGTATATAATGAACAGAATAATTTTTTTTTATTGAATTATTAGCTATTTTGAGAATATGTTTAAACTATCTATATAGAGGAAACAGTATTATTATTCATCTTTAATGATACCGTTTTTAATTTTAAATTATTTTTCAAATAATAAATAAATTAGCAACATGAAATAGAATAAATGAATTAACAATATCAAATAGAATAAAAAATTAAAACTGTCATAAAAATAATAATGTAGAAAAAAAAATAATAGTCCCTGCAAAACTCCGTGAATTTTTGATGTCAGTAAGCGCTATTGCTGTGTTACTTGACTTCAACTTGCAATAGATCTGTAATTAATGTTCTTTCCGACATCAAAGCAAATATTCCTGGGAACAAATCACGCAAAATGATCACGACACGCTTATATCTAATTTACAGAATTAAATGATTGAGTGTGTTTGTTTTACTGTTGCTGCTCAATTTGATTCTGAATTTCTATAGTAACAACAACTGAAAATACACAAGTTTTATGATTTTTATTTAACTCGTACGATACAAAACATGAGTAGTTTCGTCAAAAGCAAATAAAAATGTCGTTCTTTTAAACAACTTTCTAGAATAGCTTGATTGAAGATGTACAAATACTTTTCAAGCATTAAGAAAAATCTTTTGATTTTTATCTGTACTTTTTTGGTAAGATTGTTTCAATAAATTTTTACATACAATTATTAGTTTCTAGTATTATGTATAACTGCTCTTACAGCAGAGCTCGAAGTAACCCTATTATAAATTTGTTAAATTGCTTTTCATATTAACACAGAACCTAATTTGTTAAACATTAAACAATTGAATGGATTTATTTATTATACTTTTCAGAAAATAAATTATTTAAATAGAAATATCTCACTGTTATCGTAAGACATAATATATAATGAATCTAATGATAAATCCAACTTACATATAATAAATAATAATAATAATAAATCCAAATTAAATAATAAATCTAACTCATATACAAAAATAAAATTTAATTTTGCTCTTTTTTTTCTCGTTCTATTTCGTTTTTAAAAAATTTTATTTGGAAATTTCAATGTATTTCAAGCACCAAAATTGAATTAAAAATATTTTTTTATTTTAATAAAAAATAGTCTTAATAAAGTACTAGTAAATTATATCTATAAGAAATATTTATAATTAATATACTAATCTGAATTAAATTAACGAAAAAACATTGATTTACTGCGTATTCTATTTATTTTATTTAGAAACTCGAAATTTCTGGAGAGGAGTGTAGAAACGAAACTGTATAGAGAATACGATGCAATGGTATCAAAAAAGTTAAAATTTGATTATTAGTATGAGAATTAATAACTGTTAAAGATGTTGTAAAAATACAATGCGGTACGATCTGCAGCCCCCGAAATGCAACTACGAAATGTTGAAATTTGACATGTTAAAGGAACGATATTTATAAGCTTATTTATTATTATTATTTTATTATGCTTCTTCGTGAATTTTGCCTGTCTTTTTTTTTTCCTTTTTTTTTGCTTTAAATATTGACCAATTATCCACTGTTCTACATAAGATAATTTTTCACTCTCGAGATCTTTATTTTGAAAGATCACTCTTGAGTAGATGTCAAAAGGAACCGAAAAAATGAGAGAAGGAGATTAGGTGTGGTTAGATATAAATCTTAACATTTGTAATAAAACTTTTAAAAACAAAGAGAAATTAAGGCAAGTGAGATAAAAAATAAAGAAAAACATTCCTTATTTGAACTGTTGCAGATCTCGTAAACGAGTATGATTACTTCGCCTTTATTTCTTTTTCCTTCCAGTTTATATTCTTTAAAGAAATTTTGTTTCTTATACAGATGATTATTTATCAAATCCAGGTAATCGTTCTCTTTGTTACGACTTACATGTTGAAATGTTCTTACATAAATCTACAATGTTTATAAAATTTGTTACCAAAATGTATAAAAATAAAAGAACAATCATTCCCTATTTGAACTGTTGTGGATCTCGTTAACGAGTATGATTACTTCGCCTTTATTTCTTTTTCCTGAGTCACACAGTTTATATTCTTTAAAGAAATTTCGTTTCTTATACAGATGATTATTTATCAAGTCCAGGTAATCGTTCTCTTTGTTACGACTTACATGTTGAAATGTTCTTACATAAATCTACAATGTTTATAAAATTTGTTACCAAAATGTATAAAAATAAAAGAACAATCATTCCCTATTTGAACTGTTGTAGATCTCATTAACGAGTATGATTACTTCGGCTTTATTTCTTCTCATTGAGCCACGCAGTTTATATTCTTTAAGAATTTTCTTTCTTTTTTCTTTTTTTTTTTGCGCAACTGATTATTTTTTTAAATCCAGGTAATCGTTCTCATCTTTGCGACTTGCATATTGAAATGTTCTTACAAAAAACCGCAATATTTATACATTTTGTTAAGAAAAATGTTCATTCATGTAAACAGATGCTTTCATTTGCATTCGAAAAAAAATCACAGGTGATGAGATTGATCCTTCCTTTGGCCCTTGGCAGGGAAAATGACATATTCCTCTAGCTTAAGACTTCAAAAATTTTAAATACGTTTCCATACATGGAAAAAACTTTCCACAATCGATTTTTTTGATTAATTAAACGTCTCTTTAATTAGCACAAACAAAATTTTATTTCTAGATATGTATTATGCCTCTCACAGCTTTTCAGTTCAGCGAAATAAAACAATATTTTAATAAAATATCAGGAAAACAAATTGATCAATTCAATTCCTGCATTCCGTAAATGAATACAAATCTGGAACCTGAGTGATCTCCCCGAGCCACGTAGATTATCTTGCCCATATGAACGCAAAAAAGTAGAACTCTATTAATGTGAAAAAGGTTAAAACTCCGTTTTTGTTTGTAGCCAAGAATGTGTGTTTATGTGTTATATACTCGTATGCGGGTCGTGTTGAAATTTTTTTTCAGATGTAGCTGGCAGATTACGCTTCATTTTATCGTAATACAAGTGCTCTTTTTTTTCTAGGCTACCACCCTTTGATTTTTTTTAAAACTTTGCTATGATAGTTATTTTTCTGTAAAAATTTTACATGAGTTAAACAAAAGCAAAAAAAGAAAACTTTTCTTATTCATAACCATTCATAACCTACTTGAAAAACGCAACAAATGTTCAAGATGTGATTAAGAAGCAGACAATTGAAGAACACTAGCACCGTGATACAATATTATTATAAGTTAATTAATTAGATTGATATTTAGCTAAATAATTTTTGAAATTTCGAAAAATTTGAAGTTTTACGCTAAATAGTAAGCAATGCAACAATTTGCTGAAGGTGGCGGGGGCGAATAAATATGAATAAAAAAAAACGCAGTAAAAACGCAAATAATTTAAGAAAAAAATTTTAGCAAATTATAAACAATGAAAATTGCGAAAAAAAAGAAAAATATAATAGTGACAAGTGAAGCTGACGTCGTCAGGGGGCACCAGCCCCAGAAGTCATAAAAATGCAAAACATTTTCTATCGAGAGAGCACGACAAACGTCTAAAATTTGCTTTCTCTGTACCCCAAAGGTTTTGCAAGAAGTCCAGGAAGAGAGAAAAAGAGAATAGGAAATACAATACAACATATAATACAAAAACAAAACACAAAAGTAAAATACATAAACTAATTGCATTTTGAATTTCTTTTTTCTCTTTCCTTAAACTTCTTGCAAAACCTTATGGGTACAGGAAGAGCAAATTTTAGACATTTGTCGTTCTCTCTCGATAGAAAAGGTTTTGTATTTTTATGATTTCCGGGGCTGGTACCCCCTGATGTACGTCAGCTATGCGTTTGCCATTATTTTATTTTTCATAATTTTCATTGTTTTCTTCTTTGTTTGCAATTTGCTATTGTTTTCAATTTTCTTGTGGAATTTCTGCTGTGCTGCACAATTTTCTTTTGAAATTACAGTTTTTAGCTGCTTTTTTACATGATTTCTTATTTCTCTTTCCATTATTATAAAATTTCCAAGTCATAGAATTACTTCAGTTCTATGAAGAACCTTTTTTCTTTTTCTTTTGAACATAGAATAAGTTTATGTGTTTCTACTCCTTTTAAGAATGTTCTTCATTATATAATTGAAAGGGTCGCAAATCCAATTATGCGATACTATATATTAATATTTTTCTCTTTTCTGGCTTTATTCGTGAATAAAATAAAGTTTTTCAGAATCTTTCACAACATTTCTTCTTGAAAACAAAAGTAAATAAAAATAACTTATTAATTCTTTTTATTCGTTACAGAAAATTTAGCAATTGTAAATATAAAGCGAACTAAAAATTTTACACTGCAGTTAGCCTAAGAAGATAATTCTTACGTTTTTTATTTTATCTAAATACAGTAAAATGCGTTAAATTATAAATGAATTTTTGTTCTAGTTTCGTTTTCAGTTCAAAACAGCTATGTGGAATTATTTAGATCTAACTCACGTGACTTATGACGTAGAGCTGAGTACATTCATTAATGAAATTTGCAATAGAGCGGGAAATTCCGTCAACTGCAACCGAGTAAAGTAAATGTTTTTGTTGCGAAAATTCAAGTAGCATATTAAGTGATTTACTTTTGGTTCCTGTAATTTATGTTTTTAAAATATTTTCTCGTTTAAAAAATGTATAAAAGGACAATCGCCAATTAAGAACTAGTAGTCCTATAGTTATTCATCATGGTTTATATGAATACTGGTCGTTATAAAGCTGATCCTCTGAATTCTGGCGGAGAATCTGTCGGAAAACAAGAAGATAACAGTGAGAGACGGCTACAGCAGTCCTTATTTAATGATGAAATTGACTCAAAATTCGGTTTTGATCGCTATAAAGAAGGTGTTGAGCGTAAAGCATGGCTTTATAACATGCACTCGACTGAGATTTTAGATGAAGATAAGAGACTTATCAGCGCTGTTGATTTCTATTTTGTTGAAGATGATGGTTCAAGATTCAAAGCAACTTTACCATACAAACCTTATTTTTATGTAGCAACGGTCAAAGGTGCCGAACAAGAAGTTGCTTCTTATTTAACTCGAAAGTATGGTGGTCTTATTAGTAAAGTTGAAATCGTCCAGAAAGAAGATCTTGAATTGTCTAATCATTTATCTGGTTTGAAAGGAAAGTTTGTGAAGCTTATGTTTTCTGCTATAAATGATTTGACTAAAGTTCGTAAAGATATTATGCCTCATGTTAGGAAGAATAAGGAAAAGGTTAAAAACTCGAAATCATTTAATGAAATATTAAACAAACATCCGGAGACAGGAACGTCAAAGAAAATGTTTGAACAGATTGATAGTATTATTGACATTAGAGAATATGATGTCCCGTTTCATGTCAGGGTATCAATTGACTTAAAAATATTTGTTGGCCATTGGTATTTTGTTAAAGGTTGTGGAAATCTTCCTAATGAAATAAGGCTTTGTGAAGAGCTTCTACAACCTGTTGATATAACTGTTCTTGCCTATGATATTGAAACAACAAAACTCCCTCTCAAATTCCCTGATGTAGCTACTGATCAAATTATGATGATATCATATATGATAGATGGGCAAGGATTTCTTATCACTAATCGTGAAATTGTGTCATCTGATGTTGATGATTTTGAGTATACTCCTAAACCAGAATTTGAAGGTAACTTCATTGTATTCAATGAAGCAAACGAAGAAGCTTTGATTCAGAAGTTTTTTGATCATATTCTAGAAGTAAAGCCTCTTGTATTTGTCACATATAATGGAGACAATTTCGATTTTAAATTCGTTGAAGCTAGAGCTGCTGTGTACCAGCTTAATATGCTGAAAGAAATTGGCTTTTCACAGAGTAGAGATGGATTTTATCTATCTAGACCTTGTGCTCATCTTGATTGCCTTCATTGGGTAAAGAGAGATAGTTATTTACCTGTCGGCAGTCAAAACTTGAAAGCTGTGGCAAAAGCAAAACTAAGATATGATCCAGTTGAACTAGATCCTGAAGACATGTGTCGTATGGCTGCTGAGCAACCTCAAGTATTAGCCAGCTATTCAGTTTCTGATGCTGTAGCAACATATTATTTGTATATGAAATATGTGCATCCTTTCATATTTGCTTTATGTACTATTATCCCAATGGAACCTGATGAGGTTTTAAGAAAAGGTTCTGGTACTTTATGTGAATCATTATTGATGGTAAAAGCCTATCACGCAAATATCATTTTCCCCAACAAACAAGAGAGTGTATTGAACAAACTGACTGAAGATGGACATGTTCTAGATCAAGAGACATATGTTGGTGGTCACGTTGAATCTCTCGAAGCTGGCGTGTTTAGAGCCAATTTGCCGTGTAGATTCAGACTCGTGCCAGAAGCTCTTCAAAAGTTGATGAAAGATGTCGAAAGGACGCTTAAATTTTCAATTGAAGTGGAAGAAAATGTTCCAATTGATCAAGTTCTTAATTTAGAGGAAGTGACCAATGAAATTGTTGAAAAGTTACGTAATCTTCGAGATTGTCCATCAAGGTTAGAAAATCCACTAATTTATCATTTGGATGTAGGTGCTATGTATCCTAACATAATTTTGACAAATCGTCTTCAGCCATCTGCTATGGTTGATGAAACAACCTGTGCAGCCTGTGACTTTAATAAACCTGGTGCTAGATGCCAAAGAATAATGCCATGGACTTGGCGTGGTGAATGTATGCCTGCTTCCAGAGGTGAATTTCAGCGTATTCAACAACAGCTTGAGACTGAAACTTTCCCTTCTTCAGAAGCAGGTGGCAAGCCTGTGGCTTTTCATGAACTCAACAAAGAAGAACAGGCTTCTGTAGAAAAAAAACGTTTAACAGAATACTGTAGGAAAGCTTATAAAAAGACTCATGTGACTCGAATTGAAATCCGGGACTCCACCATTTGTCAGAAAGAAAACTCGTTCTATGTTGACACTGTTCGAGCTTTTAGAGATCGTCGATATGAGTTTAAAGGGCTCTTAAAAGTTGCGAAGAAGAAAGTGGCCGAAGCTGTTGCTGCTGGTGATGCATCTGCTATTAAATCATCCAAAACTCTGGAAGTTTTGTATGATTCCTTGCAATTGGCTCATAAATGCATTTTAAACTCTTTTTATGGGTATGTAATGAGAAGAGGAGCCCGTTGGTACAGTATGGAAATGGCTGGTATTGTGTGTCACACCGGAGCAGGCATAATTACTAAAGCTAGAGAAATTGTTGAACAGATAGGTAGACCTCTTGAGTTGGACACTGATGGAATTTGGTGCATCCTTCCATCTTCTTTCCCAGAAAATTTTGTTATCAAAACTACCAATCCCAAAAAGCCAAAGTTGCATATTTCATACCCTGGAGCTATGTTAAATGTTATGGTTAAAGATCACAATACTAACGATCAGTATCATGAACTGGTGGATCCTGTGAATCGAGTATACGAAATACGCAATGAAAACTCTATTTTCTTTGAAGTTGATGGACCTTATTTGGCCATGGTATTACCAGCTTCGAAAGAAGAGGGAAAGAAACTGAAAAAACGATATGCTGTTTTCAACTTTGATGGTTCCCTTGCAGAACTCAAAGGTTTTGAAGTGAAAAGGAGGGGTGAATTGCAGCTTATCAAAATATTTCAGTCATCTGTTTTTGATGCATTTTTAAAGGGAAAGACACTTACTGAATGTTATGCATCTGTAGCAAAAGTAGCTGATTATTGGCTTGATGTTCTCTATTCTAAAGCATCCAATATGCCCGATAAGGAACTCTTTGATTTGATATCTGAAAACAGGAGTATGTCTCGTAAGCTAGAAGAATATGGTAGTCAAAAATCTACATCCATCAGCACAGCTAAGCGATTAGCTGAATTTCTTGGTGATCAAATGGTGAAAGATGCTGGACTAAGTTGTCGTTTCATCATCTCTAAGAAACCAGAAGGCTGTCCTGTTACTGAACGGGCAATACCTTTGGCAATTTTTCAAGCTGAACCAAGCATTAAAAAACATTACCTGAGAAAATGGCTTAAGTCTCCGGGGTTAACAGATTTTGATATTCGTACTATATTAGATTGGGAATATTACATTGAGAGGTTTAGTAGTGCCATTCAAAAAATCATTACTATACCTGCTGCTTTGCAACAAGTTCCCAACCCTGTTCCACGTGTTGCACATCCTGACTGGCTTCACAAACGGTTATTGGAAAAAAATGATAGTTTGAAACAGAAGAAGATCACTGAAATATTTTCTCACAAAGAAAAGACTTTTCCGGAGGAAGCAGAAGAATCACCTATTCTTGATGTTGAAGATCAATGTCTTCCTTCAACTAGTAAAACTGTAATTCCTGTTTGTAATAAAAGAAAAGCTTCTCGTGATGCAAAAGGTGGGAAATCGTCTAAACAGAAAAATATGTTTAGTGATTCAGAGCTAGCCCAATCTTGGCGGGAAGTCCTAGGTGCACCTCCAAAATTTGGAAAAACTAAAGAAGAACTTGTTACATGGTATATTTATCAGAAGAAAAAGTGGGCTTTTCAGTTGGCTCAAAGAAAAGCCAAAAGTTCTGAATCTGGAAGAGTGGTAAATTCTGCTCCACTTAGACAAACTGGAAATAAAAACATATCGGGAATTGGTCAATTCTTGAGAAAAGCTAAAAAGACTGTTTTGGATAGTCCTTGGCAAATCATTCAAGTTGCTGAAACTGGTCATTATGGAATTTATAAACTGTGGGTTCTAATTGAAAATGATTTACATAGTATAAAGTTGAATATACCTCGAATATTTTATGTCAATCAGCGTGTTCCTAAAACTGGAGAAAGTGCCTTGTGGAAGAAAGTAAATCGTATTCTTCCCAGATCTCATCCAGTTCACAATTTGTATGAATATACTATAGAAGAGGAAGTATATCAACAGCATTGTAATGATATATTAGCTGAATTATCTTTGCCACATGTTGAAGGAGTGTATGAAACCCAAGTTCCCCTTATTTTTCGAGCATTGGTGGAGCTTGGCTGTATATGCACAGTGAATCGTAAATTTGTGAAACAATATGCAGCATCTGATAATGACATTTATAATCTGAAACACTTAGAGTTGAGATCAGTTGCTCAATATAATTACATAGAACCAGGTACTTTGAAACTTTTGTATTTATATCATCATTCAAGTGGTCAAAAAGCCATGTTTGGTTTCTTTTTTCCACCATTGAAAAAGGTTGTGGTGTATGTCTTGGATACTGTTCGAACAAATCAAATGCCAAATTTAAACAATTTGTTTGCTTCTGAACGAAATTCCAAATTGTCATCTGGAACTGACAGCAAATATCTTCCAGACCCTGACTATTCATTTGAAGTTCATGCAGAAAAGGATATTAAAGTTGTTTATAAAGGTTTGCAAAAATATTTAATGATGTACAAAGATGAGAAACATGGACCAACGGCTGTTGTGATTCAATCGCCTATATCTTCTCAAGATATAAGTTCGTTAATGCCAAGTTTTACTGAATTTCCTCTGATATCACTTCATATTCACGACAATGATACACTTTATCAAGTTATGGATTGGCAAAGAATTGGATCAAAAACTATGATGGGACACTTTATGAATGTTGATTCTGCAATTGCAGTGTTACTTGAGCAATGCCGTTATTTCCATGTACCTGTTGGTAATTTGCCACAAGATGCCTCCTTATTTGCCACTGATGTCTTTTTCGCTCGTCAGTTACATAAGCAAAATTTCATTCTGTGGTGCTCACCAACTGAGCGTCCCGATTTGGGCGGTAAAGAAGCTGATGATAATCGTCTGTTAGCTGAATCTGAAACTGTCATTGCAGAGGTTTGTAATCCCGGTGTTTATCCCAATGTGAGTGTGGAAATTCTCCTTGATACCATGGCAGTTTCAACTGTTCTACAAGCTCAGAATTTGGTTGAACTGGAAGGAACTAGTGCCAGCATTGCTTTTGACACTGGTACATCTTCCTCATTAGCTGAAATGATGTCCGGTAGTGGGGCTACATCAAACGTTGGAATTTACGATGAAAGTGCTCTATGTGCCGGAGCTTTTCGTGTGCTGCGAGGTATGGTTGTTGGGTGGGTACGTGAAGTACTTCATTACAGGAATGTATTTGCTGACAATCAAATAGTCAACTTATATCGTTGGCTTCGATCCCCTCAGTCACTTTTATATGAGCCAGCAATTAAACAAATTCTTAGTAACCTGATGAAGAAAATGTTCACCCAACTTTTGTTTGAATATCAAAAACTAGGAGCTATTGTTATCTATGCATCCTGTACTAGAATTATCATTTGTACAAAGCGTAAGTCTGTTATTGATGCTGTGTCTTATGCCAGATATGTAAATGAATGTATTCGCAACAAAGAACTTTTCCACGGTGTGAAATTAGAAGTGGAAACCTGTTGGGAATATTTATTATGGCTGGATACTGTAAATTATGGTGGAGTTAAAGTAAAAAATTTAGACAATCTCAATGGCGGTGATCAGGGTGAACAAGATGAAAATGACAACCGGGAATTGCCTTTACGATTCAATTTAGCTAAGTTTTTGCCTGCAGTTGCTAACATAAAAGACACTTTCTACGATGTTCTTGACAATTATATTCAAACAGCGTTTGATTATTATCAAAAACACTCGGAAGAAATTGTGAATCCCGATGAGCCTAGTCAGCCTCTTGAAACTGAAGATAATTATGAGAACTTCACAGATGATTTAGCCAAGTATGTTAGAAGTGATCTTGCTCATACATTGTATATATTAGTTGAAAAAATCAAAAAGAAGTTTCCTTCTGAATTAGGTCCTAATGGAGAGAATGTCTTTCCAGTTTTGCCTGGATCTCACTTGAAAATGACTAGTCCTGCTTTGGAATTTACTAAAGCTGTTTGTAAAGTGTTGTCTTTAGACAACAAATTGAGTGATGTTGTTCTTAAAGTTCGCAGGGACCTCTTGAGGATCGTCGGAGTGAAAGAATTCAGCGATGAAGCGGAATGGAAAGATCCATGCCTCTCCTTCGTGTTAACTGAAGTAATTTGCAAAACATGCAGCACTTGTGAAAACATAGATTTATGCAGAGAGCAAGTTGATAATAGTGGTTTTGCAGGAATCCCAGTGTGGAGATGCAGCATCTGCAATTCCATATACGATACAAAAGAAATAGAGTCTATGATGATTGAGTGCATTCAGAAGAAGTCTATGGCTCATGTTATCCAAGACTTACAGTGTATGAAATGCAGGATGGTTAAAGATAGAAACATGTCGAGGTTTTGTTCCTGTGCCGGACGTTTTAGTACGCTTCTGCCTATAGATGATTTTGGACAAACTTTGAAAACTTTTCTTAATATTGCTGATTATTTTAAAATGAAAAAATTAAGTGATGTTGTGTCTTGGGTGTTGAAAATGAACCCCCAAATTAAACTGTGATCTATTGGTTTTTTAAATTTTCTCTGCACTTAAACTTGAAAGTAATGAGAAATATGTACATACAGCATTTTTTTTTTTAAAATTTACTTTTAAATCATTTGCTATTGTTTCTATCATTTGATGTTTATTTTAAAACCTTTTTATAAATTTTGTAATTTCCCTCGTTATTTATTTCAGTGTAAAATAGTTTATACAAATTTAATACTTAATTTTTACAAATTTAATCTTAAGTAATTCTTTTAATTTTTTTAGTTTAATCTTTTAAGAAGTCTATATTTTTATAATAATTGTTTTCAGTATGTAATAATTTGTAAATTTTTTTTTATTATACGTGAAGGGAAAGTTTGTTTTACGCCAACAATGCCAAATTTTACATACTGCCAAACTTTTATTATCACTTTTAATTTATTTTATTACTATACTTTTAATGTAATGGCATCCTCTCGCAATTTTTTAACTAGTGTAAACACCTTTCACCTTTTTTTTTTTCAGAATTTATATCGAAAAATAATTTTTTATTTACATATTTGGTTAATTTAAAAAAAAAGTTAAATCTTTTTGATAAGAAAACAAACATTGTTGAAAAATGTTGAGAACTTGTAACAAATTGAATATTAATTTAAATACATTAAGTTAATTTAAATGTTAGCAAAATTAAATGTTTGAATGTCATACATTAGAAAATATACTGAACATTCACAATTTTTTTTTAAAAAAAATAAGACATATAGATGCTTTGTTAATGAATTATATTGTAGTAATATTGTCGATGTTTGCATTAATATTTACAAAAGTTGTGCAAAATTTGAAGCAAATTCAAAATAAGTATTTTTTAAGACTCTTTAAATTAAAAATTATAAGTCTTAAAATCTAGCTAGCAATGTGATAATTCTCCAAAATATTAAATCATGAAAGGAGTGTTCTGACCTGTATTTTTCACTTAAAATTTTCTGCAATGATTACGTAAGCATATTTTTGATAGTTTAGGGCCGTTCAAATATTATGTAAGCATGGTTTCCGCAGTTCAGGCTAAGGTACAGAAGAAAGAAAACAGCAACTATTTAGTATTCCTTAATATCAAATGCAGGTCTGGGAAACCATTGATAATTATTTTATTGTGGTCTTAAGCAAATTTGAGTTGTCTCAGACCAATGGATAACCTTTAAATTTGAGTACTGATATTATATGCTTACATTTAAAAAATAACTATTAGAGAACATATTTTTTCTTTTTATGTAATGATGTTAACTACAAATTTCTTTCTTCTTTTTTACTGTAATGACTTTTCATGAAATGTATCTTCGTTAAATAAATATGAAAATTTATTTTTAATAAAATATGTAACATATAAAATGTATTACATATATAAATTATATAACATATAAATATATAAAATATATTCATATCTCGTGACAAATTTTCTTAACTCCTCTTAAGTTTTATGGGCACCCACAAGGAAGGTTCATTTGTATCCTCCTAAAAATACAACAAATTTTTTAAAAAAAATTTTTTTAGCTGTTATTAATTTTTTAGATTATAAAATTTCCAATTTTCCTTTTATTTCTTCTTATAAGACAATCTCAAGTATGTCTTAAAATTTAACTGTTATTACAATTTTGAATTTTGTCCTAATATTGTAAATTAAAAAATAATTGAAAATTAAATTGAATTTGCTTGTGAATATATTTGACGCTGACTTGTTAAAATGTTTTTCAGAAATATGAAGAAAAAAAACGTGTATAAACTATTTTTTAAGCATTTGAATGAGTATTTTCCCTAGTTTCACCCTCTTAGGAAAATTTCTGTGTGCCCCTTCGTAAGCTTAGTTTTCTTTAATTTTTTGGTATTATTTTATATGTAAGATTTTTGTAAATTAATATTGGTTATAGAGAATTAAACTGATTTGAAAATTCTTAACATTATGTGTTAAGTTTAATTTTAAGCTTTATGTATTGTGCTTGTGTAGTGTACATTAAATATTTTTTAAAAATGTAAATTTCATATCTTGGTTAATAAATTATTATTTTTTAATAAATTTTGACTCAGTTTACTTTTTTCCTAAAAATATTTTTCAATATTTCTTAAAAACTGCACATATGTAAGAAAAAAAAATTCATTCGCTCTTTACCAAATACAATTGATTTTTCCAAGTATAAATTTCAAATTTTTTATTCTGAATTTAAAAAAAAAAAAACTGAAAACTTTTATTTTCTTTACATTTCAATTCAATGTGGAATACGTAATAAAACAATATATTGTTAGAACTATACTTTCTTAATTTGTGTGAACATTTTTAATATAATAAATAAAGTGAATATTATTTATTCCAGTATTTGCACGAAATAATGTTGCATCAAAAAAGTTCAATTTGCCAAGTTATATTATATTGGTTTAATTTAAATTGCTTAACATTTAAAACATCTGTTTGAAGATTCTTTTGCCAAAAATATTGAAGTATACCTTATATCGAACCCCGTTTATGGCCTAATAAGTTGAAGGATAACAAAAAAGGAAAAATGTTTTTTGTAGTTGATCTGCTCAATATTGATAATTTTTAAAAGTTTTAGTAATTTTAATCACATGCCATGTTTTCAAAAATTGAACAAAATTGATTTTAATTTTATAACCTGAATATTTCCATTTATTTTTTAGGTTCATACCAGTGAAGGTAAGTAGCTATTGCATTTTTGGGCTCATTATTATATTAGATAGTCGTAATAACAATAAGTTTCCAAATTATGCTTTTTTAATGAATTTCATAACTCATTGTACTTACACAGCTTTTTTATTTTTTAAATCTTTTAATTGTTCAAAAAAGGCATATTTCACTACAATATCTATTATTTTTCAATATTTATTATTTGACACTCATCATCAAATTTTTTTAAATATAAATTATACATTTCAATATCTATTGTTAGCAGTTTTCTTATAAATTTTTTTTAAAAATTTCAGTATGAAAAAAGCCTGCCAACTTTTTGTTTCTTAGTTTTGGAAAGCAAGAGGCTAAAATAAAACAGGCACAAGCAGACTTTTAACTTGGGGGTTCATACGCTAATGGAAAAAGAAGGCACGAAACAATGTTCGAAACACGTGAATTAGTTCTTATAAAGAGTTACTGTGCATACATGATTTTTAGAAACTCTTATCAGTAACAAAACTAAAAATAAGCAACTGACTACAATTCTGAAATCATGCTAATGGCCTATAAATATTTCAAGACCCTGTTTTATTCTTTTTCTTTCAGGGGTATAAATGTTGTGTGGGGACCATCCTCATTCGTTAGTTATTAATTTTATAACTGAAAAGAGTTTTAAGAATGTGTTACTTGTTGACGAAATAAATGACTGAATATAATTCATCATATGAAAGCAAGTTGGGAAGAACTAAATTTCTTTACTTGATATCAATATATCATTGCTTTGAATAATAACAAACAATCCAGAAGAAGAAACTTCTTTGATGGGTGCTGAATCTATTCATTGAAATTTGAACTTCATTCTGCTTTTGTAGTTCGACAATTGTAAATCATAATTCATGTCCTGTTTTTTATGAATGCCTCGCCACCTTTTCAATGGTCATTTTTACTTAAATATTGCACTTGAAGCTGCAATGCTAATATGTAGACCCATTATTTGATTCATTGTGAACACAGGGGTCTGTCCAAACCAAATTTACTACCGTTCAGTGGGACCTTCACAAAATACTTTATCTTAAAATTTTATTCTTGAGTCTCGTAAGAAACGATAAATTTATATTTTTACCATATTTTTGTGTTGATTTTTCAATATAATTTTTAATTTTCACAAATTATGTCTAAATTTTCACAAAATAGGTACATTGCAGAAAAACCTAGACAGACCCCTGGAACATGAATGTTATGCTAGTATCACTAGCAGCAAAATAACTTGGGCAAATATTCATGAATCTTGACTCAGTACGGGTTCAAAGCGCCTATATTTTTCCGATATTGGCCCTTTATAGAATTTTCCGATTCACCCGATGTTGTACGGCCACTTTATAACAAATATCGGTTTTACATAGAATTGTCAGACTCGCCTGATATTTTGTATCCATCATTTAGCCAATGTAGCCCTATCTAGACCATTCTAGGACCAATATTAAAAAATCTAGACATCCCAATATTGGTCTCTCTGTGCATGTTCTTGTAGGACCCATATCGAGACAATTTTGGAACAACTGGGGCCGAGGTAAAATTGTTGCCACAAATGTTCTCAAAACTCTTAAAATGGTTCCATCTCTATGAATTTATTTTCAAATCTAAATGCTATATTGTTTATCATTGTGAAATAAAGTGAAGCGTGGATAATCAGGAGTTTTCTGTAAATGAGAGAAAGGCTAGAAAGAGGAATTTTGTTTAACAGCCTTCCTTCTCACTTCACTAGACCTGATAATTGATATCCTATTATAATTGGTTTTATAATTTATCTTTTGAATTAACTATGATTAGCTATTTGCAGTAAGGGAAGCAAAATTATTCTTTCTTCTTTTAAGTAATATTTGCAAATAATAATTTCTTTTTCATTATTTTGTTTTGTTGTTGCTGCCTAGCTTTCCCAACATGTATGCGACAAAACTATAATTCTTTGCATTTTCGAGAATCTCCTGGAAATTATTTTCCTGATGACCTATCTCAAGATTCATGTAGATTCTTATGCGCTGAATCATTCTATGACTTTGCTGGTTTAGTTTTTGGTTTGTATTGCATTTGTGGAAATGATACATCAGGTAAATTTTTCATCATTCTTACTTTTAAAAATTTATACTACTGAAAACTGTGTTCTTCTCCCCAATTTCTGTATTGTTATGAATTTTATGTGTAAAAACTTTAAAGGATAATTTAAAACTATAAATACTAAATATCTGCTTTTTAATTTTTTTAAAAAAAAAATTTCTATCCCTCTTTGAATAGCCGACCCAGTTTTTGAGTCGGCTATTCTACGACAACTAATGTTCAACTGCATAGCCTTGTAATTTTTACCAATCCAGAAGACAAGGTAGCATTGAGGACTTAGTGACTCAACTGATTTAACATGCCTCGGTCATCATTTACTGCACAGGGAGTCTTCGGCTGGCAGGGATCGAACTCATGACCTCTTGGGCATGTGCCCAGTGCCCTACCAACCAGGCTAGCCCAGCCCAAATATCTGCTTTGAATAAAATTTTGCTCAAGAGAATATTTTACTTGATACAAAATATTATACTTTTGAATTCTTCCTTGCCAAATGTTTTTTAAGTCCCGTCAATTTCATTTAAAGATGATGTGTTTTAACATGTAAAACAAATGTAGAAGAATAAGTTCAACGACTCTGCTGTATATACATAATATACAACTGTATATAACAACTGTATACATAATATACAATAATAAACTAATAAATAATAATATACTGTACAACTGTATACATAATATACAGCTGTATATACAACACTACACTGCTTTGACTTATAATCTGTAATTGACTGTCTTTTTTTTTTTCTTTTTTCAACTGAACTGAAAAAACTTATCTAAATTTGAAGGGGAAAAAAATCCTATTTACAAAAGGATGTTGAATGATTTTTATATTAGAATATTTCATAATTTTGTTTAAGCTGATACTTTACAGTGATTCTTGATTACTTTACTTTTAACTGATACTCTAACTTCTTTTCAATCAATCTATACTTAAAAAAAGTCTGCAGTTTTTTTCTTGCTTAATAATTAGTATGGTTAATAATTTTTGCTATTATTTTGTGACGATTCTTCTTTGCCTACACTATTAATTCTCTTTTGGAATGTATCAAATTATCTTTTTTTTTAATCTTTATTTTTTTTATTATTAATGTTATTTTTTTTTTTTACTTAAGTGATTTAAATCATTGAAGCATTGATTTTTTTACTTTATTGATTTAAATCAATTATTTAAAATGGTTCATGATTTAAATTGCTGATTTAATTTTTTAAAATTTAAATCATTGAAGCCACTCTAATGTAGATATTTGTTTCATTTTATTATCTAGAATTTGATGGAGTAGATCTATCACTGTGTGAAGCCTCATGCGTCAACACTGACGAGATTTGTGGTTCTTTTGATCCAGATTTAATTTTTGTTATGGAATCCTATATTTTTGGAAGTATTGACAATGCAACAATTACTGTAGAAAGTAGCACATATAATCTAGGTAATATTATCAAAGTTATTTATTTTAGTGGTTTTAGTTTGTCTCAGATTACTATTTTCGAACTTGTTGATTTGATAAATTATAATTTCAAATAATTTTTATTATCATCTCAGATAATAATAATTTTTATTATCATCTCAGATAATAATTTTTATTATCATCTCAGATAATAATAATTTTTATTATCATCTCAGCATAGCATTATAGAATAATCATATTAATTCATAAAGTTATTACTTATTTTTTTAAATCGAAATAAAAAGTTCAGAAGGTTTTTCTATGACCTTTATATCTAACTTTCATTGCGACGGACGAGATAATTCGTCTGCCAGGAATATTGGCTGTGCTCTATTTTTGTTTCAGTGAATATGGTTATTGATTGCAATTGATTATTATTTTTTAAAGTAAAGTAAACAAGTTTTAAAGGAATTTGCACATTTCAGTTTTAGTGCTGTGGGGAAATTCAGAGGGTAGAACAAAAACGCATCGTTGTTGCGATGAAAGAGTTAAAATTAAAAGTTCTTTTTAATCAACAAAATTATTTTCAACCAGAGTATATTATCCTCAAGCTTTGAATAGTTTTAAAAATATTACTCCAGCATTTTGTTGTATTTCATATAACTGTTCGACTATCACAAGAACTACTTCAGATCCTAAAGTTGATCAGTTGCTTGCTAGCAATTATTGAGGTAATAGAAATAGATCACTTACTAGTTGCTTTGGTTTAGGTCAGGACTAACTTGTCAATTTTTCAATTCTCCCTCATTAGAAATGTTTTTTCTTTTGTTTCCATAGCAGCACAACCTTAAACTTTCAGTTGGGGAAAGTTCTTGTAATAACTAGATCAGGGGTGGCGAACCTTTATACACCAACATGCCATTTTTTCTAAAAAATTGTTTAATGAAATCACAGACGTGCCGTCAAATATTTTTGACTTCATGATTATTGGGAAATAATAATACTAAATACTATCAACTCAAAACTCTTTATTTACATTGAAAAGAAAATACATTTTGCAATGTCTCAGTTCTACGCATAATTCAACTTAAAGTAGCATCAGTGGGACTTCTGTTATTGCGGAATAAATGGCAAATAACTTATATTAGGTCGTAAGATATTAGTTTAAGCAGGACTGTTGATTTTTTTGCTAGTTATTTATTGTTAACTTGTTTTTTTTTTGGTTATTAATTGTTCTTTTTGCATTAATTGTTAATTTTTTTATTAATAATTGTTTATTATTTTGTTTGTTTTTTTGTGAATTTTAATTTAATTGTTACATATGCTTCATAGTGTGTGACATTTGTGTAATAACAATTCATAGTGCAATAACAATTGTGATTGTGGCGTGCCCGAAATATTGTGTCACGTGCCATAAATGGCACGCGGCCTTTGGTTCGCCATCCCTGAACTAGATAGTAGCTGGAGATTTAATACTTAACTAGCATTAAATGTCTAAAAATATCAAGTTTTACTAATAAACTATAAATCAATGTCTTCTGCTGCAAGTCAGTATATCCCAATTTAGATATTGGTGCAAGTATTTGCAATATTTATTCTTAGACTGTGTCACATATGGTGATAAAGTGGTATGCAAGTGGTTATTTAGTTTTTTTTTTCAGTTAGCAATGCGCCATTTGTGGTCAAGGTTAATGACTAACATTTGTATTTTAGTCAGGATGAATGGTCTGCNCTGTGTCACATATGGTGATAAAGTGGTATGCAAGTGGTTATTTGGGTTTTTTTTTTTTTTTTTTCAGTTAGCAATGCCATTTGTGGTCAAGATTAATGACTAAAATTTGTATTTTGGTCAGGATGAATGGTCTGCTTTTCCAAGTAGAATGCAGCAAACTCTTATTTCAATCACTTTTTATTTTTAATCAAATATCAATTGTTTTTAGGATGCCTAGTACACTTCACTATCTTGAAATACAGTTATTATTGTTGTTATTTTAGATGACGTTGCAACAATTACAGTTGATGTTCTTGCCAGCACTTCATGGGAAATGAAAATAGATTTTGGAGATGGTGTTACTCAAACTATTAATGGGAATAACAGCTCGACACATACTTTTTCTAAGAATTACATGGTACCCAGTGACTATAAAGTTCAAGCATCTTTGCGAAGCTTAGATGGTAGGAGTTGGGTAGGCTGATATTTTTATAATTGATTTGTTACAATATTATTTATTTAAATTTTTGAAGCATTTATTCTCATAATTCATGATTGTTTTAAATAAATTACTGTCACTTTGATCTTCATCACTTGAAACCTAGATTAATATAAATTGCTTTTCTTCAGCCATTGGGAATAAGATTTATAAATTAAAATGAAATCATAAATTTGTACTAAAAATAAATGTGAATCTATTATATTTATTTATTTACTTAAAAGATCATCGGTTTTACATANGCACAAAGCCCTTTTTTTTTTTTTTTACGAGAAAAAATTAATTTAGTCACCATTTTACCAACCAATTCGTTAAGTAATTTTTATTTCTGGTTTGAAATGTATTACTACCAAATTAGGCTTCACAATTTTGTAATATGTTTAATGACTTTGTGTTGTATAAAATTCTGTCATAGTTTTTTTTGTTTCAATTTGTTTGTACATGTTATTGTTAGAATGTTAATAACATGTTTAAAAAAAGAAATGTTACAAAAGTATATTGTTAAGATGATAGTATGCCCAAGATATTGTGTACTGCTTTAACTGCTGATTGTCTTGGAAAAATATTGAAACAAGTTCTTTACAGGGTATCCGCACACCTGGAAAGTCATGAATTTCGGNATTTGGAAATAATCTTAAAAATAAGAAAAAACAATGAAGTAATACACTAATGATTATTTCCAAAACGATGGTAAGGTAAACATCCTTAAAAAAAGAAAGAAAAATCGTAAACTCTTATGAGGAAAAAAAAATTTTAAAAAAAAATGGCGAGAGAATTTATCGAATTTCATTCCGGTTTTTTGGTTTTCCGGTTTTCTGATTTCCGGATAACGGGTTCTGTACTGTACTACCAAATTAGGCTTCACAATTTCGTAATATGTTGTCAATTATTAGTTCAATGAATTTGTGTTGTATAAAGTTCTGTCATAGTTTTTTTTGTTTCAATTTGTTTGCACATGTTATTGTTAGAATGTTAATAACATGTTTAAAAAAAGAAATGTTACAAAAGTATATTGTTAAGATGATAGTATGCCCAAGATATTGTGTACTGCTTAAACTGCTTATTGTCTTGGAAAAATATTGAAACAAGTTCTTTACAGGGTATCCGCACACCTGGAAAGTCATGAATTTCGGTAAAGAACAAAATTTGTCATGAAATGTCATGATTTTAGCTATTTTTTTAAAAAAAGTCATGGAATTAAGTCGACGAAAAATCTAATTTTCAAAATGGATTTTACCCCTCCCCCCTATTGTTCGAATGTCTGAATGTGTAATAAGATCCCCACTCACAGTCATGTTTTATTAAAATATAAAATGTTTTTATCACGTTCTTTAAAAATTATGGTGTTCTTTTTAAAATGAAAGAAAAGGGATCATTTCAAGAGTGAATTATCCTTTAAACTTCTATGATTTCAGAGTTTTTATTATTTTTTTTATTTTTTTATTTTATCAATTTAAAATTTTAGCTGAAGCAAGCCAGTCACTGACAAAAATTTTTATTCCGAAATGAGAACAGAAAAATCAGGAGTATTTCTTTCCTTTACGATGAACAAGAAAAGTGTCTTTAGAATGTAATTCTGCAGAAAGAAAGAAAAATAATTAATTGCTTTTGTATTTTTTTCAGCAGTTTTATTGCTTCAACTCTTTCTTTACTCTGTTTTTTAAATTTAAAATCTATAAATATGAAGATGCAGAATATAACAGTTTTGGTTATACCTATCATTTCAGTGAATATTATTATAATGCTTTTTTTAATTTATTGTTGTGTTTTTGTCGGAGAAAATAGTAACTTCGTTAAGTCATGAAAAGTCATGAATTTGAAAATCTAAAATGTAGCAGATACCCTGTCTTTATTGCTTATTCAATGTCACTGATTTATGAAATGCAATATTATTTCTATTCCTTGAAAATTTGTTTTTAGTTTTTTCTTGGATATAAGTTAGAATAACTTTTAGTCAATTATATAATTTTTTTCTCAAACATTAAATTTGGTTTTTCTTCCATTAAGCAAAAAATATAATGGTTTTATTAATTTTGTTGTATGTGACAAAGGACCTGTTCACATTGTCAATGCTTAGCTCTCAATGATCTTGTAGCTTGTAATTTTGAACCTTACTCAGAGGACACTTAATCTCTCATGGCTCTTATGGTTAACTTATCTATAGTTCGACTCTTCTCTGAGCCATGTCGTTTGCATAAGATATTTTAATGTCCAAAAAATGACTGAGAATTTCAAAAATTCATTGGAGAAAATGAAAGGAGGAGCACAGGTTTTGCTACTTTCTAGTCATAAACAATGACATTTATTGTAACTGAATTGCAAACTTTTTATTAACAATTTTTCTTAACAAATGGCCTTGTTGTCTTTGAAAAATTATAAAACAATATTTTTTTCTACATATCAGATTATTCCAATTCAAACATTTGTACTCATATCACAGACTGCAGCACATTATTGCTGCAGTGAAACTTCCAAGAAAGACCACCTGTATGTAGCAACCACCTCTATGTAGAGACCACCTCTATGTAGAGACCACCTCTATGTAGTAACCACTTTTGGGAAGCACAGAATTTTTTGCATCGACTTTGATTTGAAGAAAGCCTTTAGGAGAGACCATTAAAATCTCTCCCAGCAACCAGGCAGACACTTGCACCAAATGCAGAAAAGGTCAAATAAGGAAACACAAAAAATTATCAAAACAAAAAATTTCATAAAACAAATAAGTAGATTAAAATGCATTCAAATATTTGTATGAGGCTGTTATTTAACAAGCTCTTTTTGATGATATAACCTCATGTTACTGTCAAAGTGCACTAAAAACGATACTATTAATGATTTATTTTTAGAGTGAAAAGTTAAATTAGGAGAAAAAAAAGTTATTGTAGAAGAAACAAGCATCTTAAATAAACAAACCACTTCTCATCTTTTAAAGCTAACTAATTTTTATGATAAAAAATTAAATTGTTTATATTCAGAATTGTTTATATTGATTTAAACATAATTGTTTATTTATTTAAAATAGCTTTATCATTCATAATTGGTAAATTTATTTTTACATAGAATTATATCAGTTGATATCATTTTTATAAACATTTATATAATTTTATATTTGAAAATATTATGTATTGGATATAAGAAAATGGGATTCTATAAAAATAAAAAAAAATTTTTAATTTCTCATGTTTTTTAATTTTTTTTCCTATCTTGCTATATTATTCCTACTTATAAATTTTTTTAGAGCAGCGGGTTGAAATAGTTTTAGTATTAAAACCATTAAATATAGAGTCCAAACTTCCCCTTCCCAACAGTATGTTTGATGGTATTTATTTTTTAATACATAGTACTTTATTTTGAAAAGTTGTTTAGTTTAGTATTTTTTTTTAATATTATTTTTCAGTTTTTTTTATCCTTTATTTTTTTTTTTTAGATTACTGCTGAGGATGTTACCATTACTGTTGTTGATAGTTACGTCCTCTATGAACTCAAATGTCCTGTTGTTGTGCTGCCAGCTTCTGAGACTAACTGTACTTTGACTTTCTTTCGGGGGTCATTTCTGTCCATGAAATTTCAATCCGATACAGATACTGATGATGATGATTCTTATTATGATGTTCCAGGTATTCGCTATTAAATTCAGCATTTTTATGAGTGTTTCGAACTTCATTGATTAATATGATTTAAAACTCAAATGTCATCATCAAAACAAGTTTTCAGTATATCCGCTTTCCTTTTCAACTCAACAAATGAGAAATTATTGTAGACATTTCCCAAGACAAAAGTTAAAATGTTTCTTTTTTTTTAAATTATTTCTTTTGATGATTATCAAAAAAGTTCTTGTGATAAATAATGTATATTTGAATGTAAATAATAAATTAATTTATTAATGGGTTTTCTGAAATTTTATATAGCCAAAACCAAGACAATTCATTAAGGTTGCCACCAACGTTCATAAAGTGCTTTTTGTGCTTGTTAATTCCTTGTTGTTAATTTATTCCTTGTTTCAATTTTGATGTAAAAAATATTTTATAGAAGGGATCAAGCTGTTTCATGAGAAAGTTAAGCTTAAAAATTCCCTTAAAAAAACCAAAATGGTCTGAAAGGCTTTAGCAAAATGCTAATACTTAAATTTATCTCTTAACTAAATTGCACACACCCAGGAAAAACAAACAAGTTAAACAAGCATGTGGATTTAGATTAGAAAACACATAGCACACAAACTTTTGCCCAAACTTTTTCTTTAAAAAAAAAGAAAAATAAATAAATATTTAAAATAATACCTAATTACAACGCAGTAATATGAAGGAATAAGAAAAATGTAATTTCCAATTGAAAATAATCAGTAACCATGACGATGTTCAAGAATTAAAATTAAACAGTACTCAATTAGTCATTTTACTTGCATAGATAAGATTTGGATTGAAAATGATGCCACATATATTTGCTTACTGGAATTAAGGTATAAACATGTATAAATCATTGAAACTAATAACTAATTTCAAAGATATGAAATAATAAGAAAATTATCAGTTTCACTTGAAAATAAGCAGTCACTATGCAGAGGGAAATTGATTTAAGTGAATGACGTCAACCAAATAATTAAAACGAATAATCAGAAACGAAATAATTATTCTGCAGAATAAAATAAAGTGAAATTGACCTAAAAATAATCAGTCACTTTACATGATGATCTGTATTTCAAATAACAAAACACAGTTGTGCTTAGCTGGAATAATTTAAAAATGAAGAAATTATTATTGAAACTAATTCTAAAATACGAAAATAATAAAAATGTTAATATTTTCTCTATTTTTTTTAAATAAGGATATGAATAAATATATTTTTTACCAGTTTTCTTAGGATTATTTCAGTTACATTTGAGTGTAGTATGACTTTAGATTTTTGTAATTTTGAACTTTTCTAAATTTTTTTCTTCAAATTTTTTTTTTAGCCCGCATAGTAACATTTTTTATTAAAAGATCTAATTGAGGAGTTAATCTCAGGCATCTTTAACACTTCTGCATGCCTCGATAAAGGTGTTTTAGTTATAGTCTTCAACTCTGGATAGTATATAATTTCTGTTGTTATAATTTCAGATCCATTTTATATGGCTCTTGGGCAACCTATTCCTATTGATTCATTCTCAATTGAAGATCAAGATCTTTCTGACAAAATTGTTCTCTTAGCTACATCAGAAGTTAAAGCTAAAAGCAACATCATAGGCTTCCAACTTCATGCTCAACAAAAAGGAACATTTATTTTTTACGTTTGTATAACTTGTTTACTGATTGTCAATAATAACTTTTAGATTCATTTTTATTTCATTTTTATAATTATATCGTATGTTATGATGTGCATTCACTCTGAATGCTAAGCGTAATGCATGAAGCTCTGCCTTTTTTCATTCATTGCTTAATTGTTTAGATATTGTAGAAGGCTTTCCTAATTATACTGAAAAAGTCTATTGCTATTTTTTTATGCAGCTGAAATTTTATACATAGTTTAGTGTTTATTGTTACTCCTTTGACATTTTCATTTTTTTTCCTTATCTACTGTAGATTGAAAATATACAGCCACAAAGCTATATAAATTTTTTTTTTTTTTTAAATTTTACTGTATATAAAACTGTTATGCTTATTAAATATAAAACTGTCATACGATGAGAAAAATATGAATTAACCATTATAAATATGAATGAATTAATATTTATTTTACATATTTATTTATTTTACTTATTATTGCATAATGTATTTTTGCAATTTATTAATTCATATTTGTAATGTAAATACAGCTTTTAGTCGCATAATGCACAATCATTTGATCAATAAAGTAGTTTTATTGACTATAAATTTCTAGTGGGTGTGCAGAATATTTCACTTTAAAAACCACAGTTCTGTACGCCTAGTGGCACCTTGAAACCCATTCAGCTTAAGACAGATGGGGGTACCAAAAAGTGGTTGACTACAATGCTGTTGGTTTTTAGATTGTGGAGCCTTAACTTCTATGATTTTTTTGGATGACAATTGGTTATTGCTAGAGTACTTAACTTTTTGCTATTTATTCTTAAACATTTTTATTAAGTTTACAAGTTAAGAAATTACTTTTTTTTTCTTTCTGTATTTTGAAACCGAAATGATGCAACGTCAATTCTTATACAAGAGTTCAAACTTTTATAGTGATAACTACTTATTTACCACTGATACGAAAAAGATACACGTTTAAAAATTTTAATGTTGCTAAATGCAGACATCAGCGTCTTATATAACTCTTGCCTGCATTGTGGAAATTGTATGTTACCTTTAGCATCACCAGGAAGGGTCTACAGCGTGAAGAATCTTTTCAGCAATTTTGAAACAAATGTTAGTAAGTGATTTCTTCTTTTTAGGAGTATGGTCATTGGTACAGGACTTCTTTTTGAAAATCCATTTCTTTTTCACAGACTCTAAGACAAACTATGTGCTTGTTGGCTAGTCACCAGTTATTTTGTGAAATAAAAATGGTTCTACTGCATTATTACATTTATACAAATAAAATTCCAAGTAAGCAATCAGGTACTTTCTTTAACGAAATAATAATAACAGTAGAACTCAAATTATTTAAACTCTAGTTATCCAACAGAACTTCTTCTTAGTTCTTCAGTTTTTAGAAAAATGGAGAGATAATATAAAGTTATATTTCATGATGCGGCACATCGTGAAATAGATTTTAAGTGATAAGAAATCATCAGTAAGTTCAAAATTATTATAAAATTGAAAGCATATAGTGTTTATATGCTTTAAACATTTCATGATATTTAAATTCCATCCTCCCTGTGAATTAATTTATTTGCCTGTTTAAATTAAAAGTCAAAAGTGCCTAAGTATTCAATTATCCAGATTGTGTCTAGATCTCACTAATTCATGCTGGAGTTCTACTATTTAAAAAAAAAAAATTATTATCTTTCAAGTTTTAAATAATCAAATTTTTTTAAAAAAAATATCTTCTTTGCACAGGTCTTAAAACCAACATGTGACTCTGGAGATTATTGTGAAGATTCTTTAGATTGTGGATCATCCTGCAACTCTTGGAACATCCGAAGTTGCGATGAGGGATCTTCTCTCTGCTCCCTCATCTCACGGTGTGTGGATCCTGACTCTTTGCCTTCGTGTGCAACCAACTTGTCTTTCCACTCAAATTACGAGGTTGTTCATGAACTTGATGTTGATGTCCCTGATTCTGGTTTTACTCATAAATTATATCCTGACACTATTGGACCAGAGATATTACCAGGATACATATTTGGCTTCAAGTCTGTTGGCAATTTTCGACTCTCTTACAGAAATTGTACTTCCGAAGAGATTGCAGATAGATTGAAGGATGAGGAGGATGAGTATTTAGGAGTTTTACATCACCTAAGAGTGATAATCGTTGAGGAAGAGGAGTTGCACATGCCAATTACGTACAATGATGTGAGTATTGTAAAATTGTTTTTCGAGCATTGCTTTAATGTTTTTAGTGATTTTTTAATATAATTTATATGTTATTGCTTTGAATTTCTCCTAAATTTGATCACGCACCTCTAAATTAAATTTTATTTTCTATGGACTCCAAGCAGCAGTCAAAAGCACCAGGTTCTGTAGGAACCACTTTCGGAACCTATACTTGAAGATTCTCCAAGGCTCATTGCCGCAGCTAATCTAAGAATCTTATTTTTCTTACAGCTTATTACATGGACACTATTAGAGTTGTTTCTTTTCCCAATTCGCCCTGTCTGTCCTACACAATACTACAGTCTCCTCAATTGTCTAATATCCTCAATTAAAACATTTAATCTAATTACTATTCAAAAACTAGTAAATATAGTAAACGTTGATATTGCTATACATGTGACTAAACTCTTTTTGTTTCATACCATCTCAAATTTGTGCATATTCAAAACATTGGCGTTATTGTTCTTAATGATTGATTACACATGAATGATGAATATACAGTCTACACTTTTTTGTATGATCCCTCATTATAATAACCCTTTCATTAAAATGACTGATACATTGAGTACCATCTGATGTCGCCGACTGGCCTGTGTTAGGATCCGGGAACTGGCCTTGCATCAGAAAAGTTCTGGGTTTGAATCCCGAGCAAGGTATGGATGTTCTTTCATTCTTTGTACTATCGGTCCTTACTGTGAGAGTAACATTGGCCCTCCTAATATAGTGCCCCTGAAAGAGTGGCCAACAAATCTGCCCTTCAGATACCTAAATTGACAAAAGCTCATTCTCCAGGTGAGCATTGGAAGAAAAATAATATTTCATAGATACAATGATATATTATTATTCAATCGGAAAAATATACAGAATTTATGTAAAAAATCCTTGTATGTATTTTGCAGCACATTATTTTTTTTTGTAATAATACAATGTAGCTATTAAACTAACAATACTTTTTATTTTTTGAAATATAATTTAACTTGTTACTCTCAAAAGTTAAATAATGTGTTCAATATTATATATGTTTTACAATAATTTTCAGACTGGAACATATTCGGTATCTGTGATTGTAGAAAATTTGTTTTCTAATGACCTGGAGAATAAGGATATTTCGGTTCAAATTCCAATTACTAATCTTTCTTTGACAATCAGTTATGAGGATGTTCTAGTGGGAGAAAATGTAACTATTCTTCTGTATTATATTGGAAGCAACATCGATGCTTATTGGATCTATTATGATGCAACAGAGTACCAATTTTTAAATGGTAAGTTAATGTCTCCAAATTTTCTAAATATTAAATTTACATGCTGAATTGAAAAAAGCTGCTTTTTTCTTGGCAATTTATATGTCTGCAGTGTTCTCCCTAAGCGTTTTTAGATAGGGGGCCCGCTCTATCTGCCCTTTGTTCCCTATAAATGCACCCTTTTTGTAAAAATAGGCTGCCATTCATTAAAAACATAGCCTTTTTACTCATATTCCACTTTTAAAAAAAACATAATAAGGCACTGTTTAAGTAATAATTACACACTGATAAAATTATCTGTGTTTATGGGTTTAATTCTGATTATACTATTACAAATATTTACTTTTTTAGGATTATTCACAACTGTTTTAATTTGTATAAGTTTCTCTTTTTTTCAAGAGGTATATTAATTAACCTAATTTTTTAAAAAAAAAAATTTTTTTTTTTAAAAATGCTGCTTTAAATGTTTAATTTTTCATAATTTTCAGTTTAAATTATAGAAAAAAGCTTTCAAATGATTAGGTTTATTAAAAAAAAGAAAATGATTAGGTTTATGAATCAAAATTGTTTTTTTTCCTTTTACTTTATTGAAAAAAATTTATGCTTGGATATTGTTTTTATCATCCTTTTAATTATTTTTTATAAATTATGGATTTTTCTCTTGTTTTGAAAATATGGGAGAACTACTTTTTGAAATATGTACATAGAATAGTATAAGAGGATAATTTAAAAATTGTTCAGGATCAAATTCAGTTATTACAAAATATTAGGCATTTTTATAAATTTTTACGGTGTTAAATCAGTGCCCTTTCAAAACTCTAAGTGTCCTTTTTGGTGAGGAAGCTTCCTGTCCTTTTTTATTCCTAAGGAGAACTCTGAATATATATTTAAAAAATGTTTTTCCCAGAACAGCACTGTCTACAAGTGTACACTGACGGTTCAGCTACTGTGGCTCATACAAATGCTAGTGTTTACTCCAGGTATTTTAACCTCAGCTGAGCCGTTGGTAAGCGTTGTACAAATTTTAATGTTTAAGTGGATGCTGTTCACATGGCATTAACTCAGATCGCCGAAAGAGAGGAACAAAACATTACGATTTTTATTGATTCACATACCACCATCAGGGCTATCTCTTCAATTATGCCTGTTAGAAATAGAATTTTCTGATTTGCTTGCTAAGTTTTGATCTAACCTTCCTCAGCCAGATATCCCTGCCAGTTACCATAGTATTAAAAGAATTATTACAGATATCATGAAATTATTACCAACCTATCCAGTGGGAAGATCTGGGATTCCTTGCTGGATAATCCCATACCATATGATCTGCCCAGCTGGGTGGGTATGGCTAACTTCAGGATACTGACCGGACATGATTACCTTAGGAAGCACCTTCATAAAATTGAATTGGCGGACTGTCCGATTCGCCCACTCCGCCTGACTGGTTCTGACATGAGCATTAACCACTTAAGTCCTGGACTTACTGACGTACTAGCTGTAAATTCTGTAAAGAATTTTAATCATTTTATTCGTGTTTATGAACTGTATTCGGCTGCCTGTCATAGACTAATGGTGGACATACCCAAGTCTGGCGTAGGGTAAAATTTTTTAAAGAAAATGTAAATAAGATGTATCGGATCAAACATTCACTGAAATAGCACACGCCACCAAAACACACACAAAATTAATTAAATGAAGAATGCATTAAAAGGATAGAATGCACTGACATGCATGGTAGCTTCCATCCTTTTATTTCGTTCTTCATTTTATCATATTCTTTATTTTATTGTATTCTTCAATTGTTTGTGTGCTGCTTCAATGGAGTCCTAGTCCATTATATATTATTTACATTTTCTTCAAATATTTTATTCCAGTTATAATAGTACCAGCTTGGTGTTGTTAATTTAGTTAAATTGATTTATTTGATCGACTTCTCATATTCTTTAATTCTTATTATTCTGTTGTTTTTTTTTTAATTTTATAAATTGTGCGTGTTATGATAATAATAATGGTAATAGGGTATGGCTATAAATTGTGCTTTTATGTATGCAAGTTTGTATAGTATATATATTTTTGGCAATTTTATCTAGATTGTATATTTGTTGAATTATTTATTCTTCTTTTAAAAAAATCACTTTGGCCTACAATTTTCAAGAGACAATGGTTTTTTTAATGTCTAATAATAACAATTAGTTTACAATTTAATTTTTTTCACATAGTAAATAAAAGATATTCATCATTATACTTCTTTGTAAAATATTTAAAATAAAAAAAGCTAAGGTTTTTTTTTTAAAAAAAGATCGAATTTTGGAACAATTTAAATTTTATTTTGCATACATTAGTTATGAAAAAGTTTTAGATTTTATTCTCGATACATAACTTTATATATTTATGTTGTTTTATTGTTTTGTTTTCCCTTTTCGAAATCTAGTTTCTTTTAATGTTTTGAAATTTTAATTACTATGCTTACAAAATGGTAACAGTGTTTGTTTATTATATTTTAGAGCCTATAACTGAGTCAGGGTTATGGAAAAATATCTCATGCAATTCAGCTGGAAGTTATAGTCTTGGTGTCAATTTAACTAACTTATGGAATACAGAATATGATTCTAAAGATTTCAATTGTTTCTGGCCTATTAGTAGAAATTGGTCCTTAACTTCTAACTCTCCAAAATCTACACCTCCAGGTATATCTCCAACTGCATATATATTTTGAAGTATCTTTAATAGTTTGCTCTTAGCTCAGTATTGTGTAGTTGATTTTCTGGTACACATATTTTTTTTCAATAATAATCTATTGAATCTTATGCTGTAGTATCTTTAATATTGAACTTAAATTTTCACATCTAATATGTAATATATTGTATTTGTTGAGTGTTTAAAATAGTTCTCACTGCTATAAGTTGTTAAGTTGAGTGTTAAGTCTTATAAAATAAGTTCTTGACTTATTTCGTTCATGTAATTATTACATGTTTTTATGCATTATTTGCCAACTTAAAAATTTCTTTATTATTCAAAACTGAGTTTTATTGATTCCCTAATAATTATTTTACAAGTTGTGTGGTCTTGAACTGGCCCTTTTCTTGTTAAACTGTCATCAGGGGTGATTGTATTCTGAGTGTACCTCGGAATTCTGGATTTTTCATATCATTCTTCCCGGTCTAAAAGCAGTCCCTGTGATTTTCACCCTAATATTCATAGAATTCAGCATATTCTCAAACTTCTGCAAATCAATAACTTAGAATCCGACGAAATTTTAAAACTCCCCCCTCCACCCCGTTAACGAGACGTTTACATACACGTGATTCATCGCCAATTTGATTCTTTTTGGTTGGGGGATTTTTTGGTTGCTTTGGAAGCTGATAATATTGCAATTCTTATTCACGCGATTTTAATATAAAACATGAATTTTGGTATTCATCTGATTTAAAAGTTACGTGTTGTGATTCATATTCACGTGATTGAAAAATCATACATTGTGCAGGGATGAGATTTTTCCGCTTTTTTCACTTTTATCTCTTGAATTTCAGCTTTTTTATCAAAAATTCAGATTTTCTAAAAATTTCACTTTTTTTATNGTATATGTTTGCGTTTTTAAAATTCAATATCGTGATTTATATTCACTTGAATTTAAAATCCAATATCGCGAATCTTATTCACTCGATTTTAATATCAAACATGAATTTTGATATTCATCTGATTTAAAGGTTACGTGTTGTGATTCATATTCACGTGATTGAAAAATCATACATTGTGTTTTGTAAATTTGTATCTACGCATTTTGAAAATCCAATGTCGCTATTCATGTTCACATGAATTTAAAATTCAATGACGCGTTTCGTATTCATGCGGTTGTAATATCACACATCGATTTTCGTATTTATACGTGATTTAAAAACTATGCAGTGGGATTCATATTTACCCGATCTAAAAATTTTGCGTTTTGATTCATATTATCGGAATTTAAAAATCCAATATCGTAATTTGTATATGTTTGCGTTTTTGAAATTCAATATTGTGATTCATATTCACATGAATTTAAAATTCAATATCGCGATTCATATTCGCGTGATTTTAAAATTCAACAGTGCGATTCTTGTAAGAAGTAAGTTTTTTCTTGAATTAGTTACTATAAAGGTGTGACATTCTTCATTAGTTGATAATTTAATTATAAATGCCAGCTCAAAAAATCATGTTAAATATGAAACATGGTATATGAATTATCTTGATATCGATTTTTCAGGGTTTTTCACTGTGTCATAATTAATCCTGTGACATATCTATTGATTTTTCTTATTAATATATATTTCTGTGTCATAAGAATTACATTCTTAATGAAAAAGGTGTTGAAAACCATACAAATTACTAATATAGAGCACTGGGATTCAAACCAGGCATTGCTCAGATAGAAATTCAGGATGAAATGCTTCAATCACAAATGGTAAAAAAAAAATTCTCTAAGCTAATGTGTGTCTTGGTGTCATATTGGTACACCTCCATCAGTTGGATAAATGGTAGAAAATGGTAAGACCGAGATGACATAATACAATTCAGTTTGTGTCATACTAAAGAGATAAAAATGTTAATAGTAAAATATTAAAATAAAAGAATATTTTAAAAAATTAATGATTCCCCAATGTTAAACAAATATGGTCTAGCAGCAAGATCATTAACAATAGAGTTTTTGTTTTTGATGATTTCGTTATTTCATATGTGCACCTGGAGAGCACCTGGAGCACCATTGATCAAAAACAAAAAATCTATTGTTAATGATCATGCTGCTATCCCCTACAATTTATATTTACTAATGAATATATACCATTATGACACCAAAACACATACAGGTTTAAAGGGGGGAAAATTACTATTTGCTATTTAAACATTGGTTTTAATAAAATTTAATATCACAAAAAATTACTCTGATAATTTATAATTGTTCTTTTTAATCTTCATATTAAACTGATAATTTTATTTTTGTTTCTTTAGGAGACATTCAGTTTGAGTTGAAATATTTTGGAAGTAATTTACCAGTTCCTGCATCATTTGTGGTTGAATATGGAGATAATGTTGTAGAAGATGCAGTTGACATAGAGTCTGAATCATCGAATGAATGGAAGACATATTTTTCTCATTGTTATGAAAATGGAGGGAATTTCACTGTGTCCGTCAATATTTCAAATCATTTGGATTGGGAGGCTTTTGAAATTGCGGTAAAATAATTATCAAAATATTTTTGATTCTTGCTTTATTTTTTTACTTCTAAGCATAGAATTGTTTCTTAATTTAAAATGCAAATTATTCTTTATATCTAATGTCTCTCTTTTCTAAGAAAATGTGTAAAAGTAGAGTAATTTTTTTATGTTATTTTAATTTCAGAGAAAATTTGCTTTTTTCATATTAATATATAAATTTAGAATTGAAACTTAACTTTTCTAAATTATTAATTTTTTTTTTTGTTTTATTAGTTTTAAATTAAAAGTTTTGTTTTCATGGGAAAATAATATTTTTTTATGAATATCATTTTCTGTTGTATTTTTAATCTTGTTTAATGTGTATTGAACATATATTTAGTAATTATAAAAGGTTTTAATTGAAAATATTTTTAAATGTATTCAATTTAAATAGATTATTTGAAAATATTATTCTTCGTTATAAGTTATGTGTTAGATCCCTTTTAATTTAAGCTCAACTAAGAATGAAAATTTATCTCAAATTATCCAAAATTCAAATTAACTGTCATTTGTATTATTTAAGCAATAATTATAAGAACTTTGGTGTAAGGTTCTTAAAATAAACAAAATTTTACAACATTAACAGTTTTTACCAAGAATTAATTATTGATAATTAGTATATTTAAGCCAATTTAATTCATATTTAAGCAAACATTTGTATAAATTAATAATTGCTACTATTAGCAAAATAATGATTTATTTATTTTTACTAGTAATTTAAATTGGATTAAGTTAAATTAATCTCAATCCAGTTAATACTCAATTATTCCAATCCTAATTTATTAAATGAAAATTAACCTGTGCATTTCAGTAAATTAAAAATATTTTTTTTATATCTCAATCCCTTACTAATGATGAATAACTTGTCACTGTTAAAAGTGATTTTAAAAAAAAATAAATATTTTTTTATTCTTTCAATTAAAGAAAACTTTCATTTCAGGTCAATGTATATGAAGGGCTGGGTAATTTATCTGTTACTCCTTTTTATGTTGCATCTGGCTCATATCCTGTGGATAAAATTGAACTGAAAGGAAGGGGCAAAACTGACGCTCCTTTAGATTGTACAATTTATTTCGAAAATAACATAACCGGTAATTATTTATAGCCTGAAAAACTATTTGTTGCTTAAAGATGTCTTCGTAATAATATTGATTTTCTGAAATTCGAAAATATTTTACAAATAAAATTTATTAATTTACGAGCAAGTGTTACTATTTATGACTCATACTAATGGTAGCTACATAAATTGATAACAATTTTATTAATTTATACTGTTACTTTTAGTTTGAGACATAAATAATTTTCAATTTGAAAGTGAGCTAAAAGATCTGCAAAGCATGCAAATTAAATTGAAATTATATAATCATTCAGATCTTAATATATGATGAAAATGATTTTCTTTCAGAGACAAAAAATTGCTTTTGGTTAAAATGGTTTAATGCACATTTTAAGGAGTCAGAAAATCAAAAATTATGTAATTGCATCTCCTTTAAATAAACTTTACGTTATAGTATTAAAATAATGATTTAATCACACTGCATTGCATGAAAACCAATCCCAACACCATTCCAGCTGATTCTTATGCAAAAATACCAGAATTCAAATAAGAACCCCTTTTCCTTTCGACCTTTATTTATCATTTTTCATAATTTTATTACCATAAATTTGATTTGCATAAGAAAAATTATAATTTTCTGTTAACTTTCTTTTGAAGAGGAGATTATGATTTTTTTTTTATGGGGAGAGAATTTTATTGTATTTCTATTACAATATTGTTCTTATTTAAATTTATTATATAAGAAAATCTTTTTTCTTACCCTTCAAATATTATTCATGACCACAAAAAAATTTTATAAACATAGGAACTTCTCCCATCGCTCAAAAAAATTGTGGGAGATAAAGTTTAAACAGGACTCAGATTCAGGAGGTAATTTTAAATAAAAATCAACAGGAATAAATTATATTCTGAGCTTATTTTGGCTGTGGATACATATATTTTAGAAAGTTCTCTTCTAGAATGATTGTGAGCTATGAACACTTCTTTTTGGCTGCCTTTTAATGTTTATAATATTTTGTTTACAATCGTGCTTATCATTTATGGACAACCAAACACTAGAGGAATAATTTCAGTTTAAGTCTAATCTCGAGAGCCTGAAACATCTACCTGATTATTTGTGAAATTATAATAAAATTAATGTAAATCAAATTAGAATGATGTTTATATTCCATAAAGGGCGATTTTATTTCTTAAACATATTTCAATATTTTTGTAGGTCATGTCAATGTTTATGAAATAAAATTTGAAGATGAAAGTTACAAGGAAAATTCAAGCGAGTCTGTTATATCTTATTCTTTTTCTAAGGTAATGTTTTTTTATTTTAAAATGTCTCAGAAAGGGTTACTTTTAAATGTAAAAAAAAATAATAATTACCGCATGATGAGGCAGATAGTTAGTTAATGACATCTTTTTGTTTGTTGATGTAAATTTTGGAACCTATTACCTAATTAAAGTCTTATGATGCCATAATTTGATCTGATTTAGTTTGTTATTTTATCGTTGCTTATTAATTAAATTTTGCCTTTTGTGATTTATATTGATTTGTTTGTTTATGCTTATTTTTGTTTAGATTGGAGAATGGAAAATTTCTTTTGTAGCTTGGAACTCTGAAGTTAAAGAGCAGAGCAATTCAGTTACGTTACTTATAAGAATCCTCGCTAGCATATCAGATTTTGAGTTCACTGCCAGCACAAATGCCACTGAAGTGGATGAAATTGTGGAGTTTACAATAACCTTTACTAACTTGGATGACTATTCTTGCATTATGTTTGACGGAGGAGATGAGGCAAAACTAGTAGCATTTGGAAACGAAGATATTTGTACTTTATATTATGAAGAAAGAAGCTTTAATTTCGTTAAAAAGTCTTCAGCAAGGTAAATTTGTTGCCTAAAATTTGCTACCGTTTTATTTGTAACACTAAATCTTGTTTAGTTTTAATTTACTTTTTCACCATTCATTTATAATTTTTCATGTGTTAATATTTACTTAGAGGAAATGTAGAAAATCATTGCAGGTCAAAATTTTGCGGATTTTTTAATAAAATTTACGTGTAACTATTTAAAGAAAATATAAGGTATCTGGGCACCTGGAAAGGCATGAGAAGTCATGAATTTTGGTATTGAACAAAATTTGTCATGAAATGTCATGATTTTAACTAGTTTTTTTTAAAAAAAATCATGTTATATAATTTTATGTTATGGAAATATATGTTATAGGTATATGTTATAGAAATTCAATGTTATAGAAATATAATTTTTAAAATGGAATTTACCTCAACCCCCCACCCCCCAATTTCATGGTGTTCCGAATATCTGAATTTGTCATAAAATCTCCACTCACAGTCATATTTTATTAAAATATAAAATGTTTTTATCATGTTCTTTAAAAATTATGGTGTTCTTTCAAAAAATGAAGGAAAACACATCATTTCTGGAGTGAATTATCTTTTAAACTTCTGTGATTTCAGAATTTTTGTTATTATTTTTATTTTATCACTTTAAAATTCTAGCTGAAGCAAGCCTGTCATTGTTGATTTTTTTTAATTCTGAAATGAGAACAGAAGAATCAGGAGTATTTCTTTCCTTTCCGATGAACAAGAAAAGTATCATTATAGTATAATTCTGCAGAGAAAGGGGAAAAGAATTTATTTGCTTTTGTATTTTTTTCAGCTATTTTTTTGCTTCAACTCTTTCTTTGGTCTGTTTTTTAAATTTAAAATCTATAAGTATGAAGATGCAAAGTTTTGGTTATACCTATCATTTCAATTAATGTTATTATAATGCTTTTCTAAATTTATTGTTGTGTTTTTGTGGGAGAAAATAGTAACTTTGTTAAGTCATGAAAAATTCTAGGAATTAGCCGTGAAAAGTCATGAATTTGAAAATCCAAAATGTTGCACATAGATACCCTGAAAATATATAGAAGCACTAATTTATTACATGTCTTTACAAAAAACTTGGGTATGGGAATGTCTGAACTTAGGACAATATCATTTGTTACAATTTGAACCCATTGAAACTTCCACCTTCATCACTGTCGTGCTGCATGATCCTTCAATTAACTCTATTAAAAGATTAGAACCTTGATCATGTGATTCTCCCTTTACGACTCACAAAAAGATGTATGAAACGAGCCTTTCTGATTCCTGCAGCCCAAGATCAATTCAGTACTCATGTTTTAGTATGTATTTGTGAGGCATCGACCATGTCAACCTTCATCTATGAATTGGTACCCCAACATATAATCAAGTTAACATACCTTATATACTAGTGATGTTGGAATTGTATTTTTGTTAGTGGTAGATACACTACAGTACTCCCGCACCAGAATTATAGCTGTGATAGAATTCGATGAATGGATACCACTAGTTGATTCATTGCTGTTTACTCGGCTGACTCATCTTCACTTGCTGTTCGGAGAACCGCCTCCTCGATGCGATGCTTGTAACGTTTCACTTTCAATTCATCATATTTTAATCGCTTGCCCATGTTTTAACCAACAACGCCTTACCTTCTTTGGAAGCACGATTTTATATATAAAAGACTTGTTAGATAAAAATCACCATCCTAACATCTTTGCATTTTTACGCGCTATTGGAATTTTAAGTTGTATATAATTGTTTTATACTATTTAGTGTTTTAGTAAATTTACTGTTTTATTGATTTGCATTTGATTAGTAAATTTACCGTTTTATTGACATGCAGTTTTATTGATTTTAATGTATGTAACTTTACAACATTGTTTTAGAATTTTCACTATCTTATCTGATTTTATACGTGTGCTTTACTTAACCTCTTAATCTGTTTTTAAAACCGTGTGTTTGGCGCAGTATGTCCTTTTTTGGACCTTGTACCACTAAACCCCACATTCAATCAATCAATCGATTCATTGCTGTTTCGTGAGAATCCGGAAGAGCTGTATTAAGATCACCGTACTTTTGTGTGCTGATCGTGAGAGCTGTATTAAGTCTCGGCCGTGGTCGCTCCTGTGTTGCCATTAGCAGTCGAAATATTAAAGTATATAAGGAAGAGGAATATAAATTAGCACAGTACATCATGCTACAGAGACAGCTTAGATTGTTTTGGCGAATGTAAAGTTCAAGTTCTCGATCGTAACAGTCATGATTAAGTTGAGTCGCCGCAACTTTTTTAGAATTTCACGATTCTTCATTGGTTAATCCATTCATGTCATTATGCACATCTTAGCTATAACCCTTCATGTATTTAGGGGTCTATCTTCTTTTTAATTTCTTTAGGAAACGGAGAGATGTTAAAAAGGCAGAGTGGAAAGATGATTCTACAATCAGGTTTGTATATTTAACTTCTTCAAAACTGCTTATATTTTTTATATTGAATATATTTAATTAATTTTTTTACTTATAGTGCTAAATATAATGTCTCTCAAATCTTCGTTAATTTTTCTTTATGCAACATGGAATCAAAATCTTCAAATAAGTTTGTACTTTTCAAAGAAACTTTTTCTGCTGTTATATTTAGCAATATTAGTGCTAAAAGGTTTCATTTACTTAAGACTCCTTCATAATTCTGAAACCGTCGTATTATGTTATTACTGTGTATTTTTTTAAAGTTATTAATTTTAATTTTCAGCCTGGTATTATCAGTTTAATACCCTAAGAGGAGTATACCATATTCATGTAAACACATCTTTTAAAAATTTAAATCATCAACATGATCCACTCTTCTGTTTATTGTTTAATTTTTGCATTAATTTAAGTAAGAAGACTAAAAGAGTCAATCTATAGAAATGAGTCACCAATGAAACTTCTTGTAGTTAAATTAACTATGTTATACAGACATTTTTCCTTCCATTTTACACACTCTTATAATTTATTATTATTTAATAAAACATACTTAATTTGATATGGATTTGAAGAATATTTTTATAATACAGTAATTTAATACCCAGTTATTCTACAAAACAAGCAAACTTTAATGGATAGAAAAATTCTTAACAATTTAACTTCTTGGCGGATTCATGTTCTACAATAGATCTATGCTTTTGAGGCCTCTCATTCTTTTTCGGTTTTCTTTTTGCATTAGAACTTTTTGTTCTAATTGTCCTGCTTCATGCAGATACATTCTTTTAAAGTTCATAAAACTTTTTAAGATCCTGAAAATGTGTTTGGTTTTAATTTCGAGTTCTTAAATATTATTTTTTTCTTAAAAATTTTGAAGTTCTTCATCGATTCTCAGTTCCCTGGTGTATTTTCTGATTGCTTACAAAATAATGTTGCTAGTATTTAATTACATATTTATTAGTTTTACTTATTTATTACTTTAACATATTTATTGATTTTAATTTTTTTTTATTTAGCATTATAAGATTCCTAATAGAGTCCTTCATCAAGTAAACCTAAGTTTCTGAACTCTGTAGCACTCTAGTAATCTAATTCTTTATTTCTTTTTTAAACGAAAATAAACAGTTAGTAACGTTATTTATTTTTATTACTTTAAACTCATGATCTCTTTTAAGTTTGGCATAGTACTTTACATTTAACCCAATTCAACCAGACTTGAAAATTTAATTACCTCACATATTTTTCGTTTACTTAATCTAAGTTTCATTTACCAATTTTAAATTTCATTTCTAAATATAAATATCATTATTTAGAATTATTTTTATTATTTTTAAATTTGTTTATCCTTTCCTGATTGTGAATTCCAATTTTAGCATTTTGTATGAGTATGCTTTCGGTGGAGATTTCCCAGCATCTGTAGATGTCTTTAACTCAGTTAGTAGACTCAAGAAAGAAACAACTATTTCTGTGTCTGACGGAGAATACGAGAATCCTTTACTTTGGATTGATAAAAACTCTACAGACAAAGAACGTCCTATTGAGGTAGTTCGATTCTTTATAATTTTTTATTAAAAAAAAAAATTATGTTTCATTTCCTAACATGTATTTTTAGAAAATTCATTCTTTTTTTCTTAATTTTCCTATCATTTTTGTAATAATTTCATATTACATTGATTGTTTTATAGGCACATATTGTTTATTACCAGTCTAACATCTAAGCTTCATAAAGCTATTTACGTGTATAATGCTATTATATCCAATCATTGCTTTTTCACATTTGACTTATAGGATGTTAATACTGTAGAGCGCTGATTATCCGAAAGCCGGTGTATTAGATTGTCCAATTATGCAGACCACTCAAGGACTATGTGTTTTTCCCAGCTTCTTCAGAATGGAAAATAACGAAAATACTTTTTAATTTTCAGAATATCTGAAAGGGTTCAAAAAATGGTTCTTTTGATCTTCCATGACCTCGAAAAGAATCTTGCTTTCTTTCTACCCAGCTTCAAGGTGGGTGGGAAGTATTTTCTAATAAAGGAACAGGTTTCTAATAAAATTTTAGAAAATTAAAACTTTTTAGCATGCTATTTGTAATATGCTATAATAGGCACTACTACAATTTAAAAACCTAAGCCTGGGAAAATATGAGGGGAAGTTACGTAAAAATATTCTCATTGCTGTTTTTTTAAGCTGTCCAAATATCCAGAATTTTTGTTGTCTGGATTGGGTTTGGTCCCGATTGAACTGGATAATCAGCGTTCTACCATTTGATATTTTAATTATACAGCATGGTCACAGAGCAAAAAAATCAAGAAATTACAGTGGGTGATCGGTTAACGAACATAATCCGTTCCAAGACTATGTTCGCTATCCGAATTGTTCGTTAACCGATCATCGAATCACCATAGACTTTTATGTGAATCGATTAATTCGTTCTGGAGACCCTAAAAATTACATTTAAAAAAATTTATGATTTCTTAGTAAGTTTTTTTAAAAATAATACATACATATAGTCTTACATATTAATCAGTCCTTTTCACTTTTTGCTTATGGGGCATTGAAGAACAGGTCCAATGTCGATTGCTTTTCTCTCTTTTTCAGGATGTTCCGGAAGTAATTAATAGCATTGTCATTGTAAAGATCTCCAACCCAACTGACATCAGCTTGGTTTGGGTGCCATTCTAAGACCATTGCTCTGACATCCTCTCACTTTTTCAAAAGATCTTTAATGGCAGATGTTGGCATGGATCCTCTTTCGTTTCCTCTTGTTCAGAAGGAGACACATTTCGCTGTGTTTCTTGGTGTTCTTCATTCAAAATTTCTTGGAGTTCTTCTGCCGTCAGTTCACCTTCATGTCCCATTATGAGCTCTTCTATGTCACCCTCATTCACCTCCCCTTCCAGATCTCTAGCAGTTGTCAAGATTTCATTCATAATTTCAGGGGTGTCTCCCTGATCACCTCCGTCTCCTTGAACGAAGGATGGACACAGCTTCCGCCAAGCAGAAATCAACTGTCGCTGTGTGACTTCTGATCACGCCTTTTGAATGATACGAATAGCTTCAAGAATGTCAAATTTTTCTTTCCAAAACTTTTTTAAAGTCAGTGTTGAGGAGAATTGGCTTGCTTCAAAACACCGACGAAACAGCGCGCGAGTGTACAATTTCTTGAAAGCCGCAGTAACCTCCTGATCCATCGGCTGAAGAAGTCGTATTCGGAGGTAAAAACTGAACTGTCAGTCAGGGAAAGTCTGTCAACAAATTATCTTCAAGATCCTTTGGGTGGCCTGGTGCATTGTCCAATACCAGCAGTGCTTTCAACGGCAAGTCATTGGCATCAAGGTAGTTCTTGATGCTCGGGGTACAAACTTTAAATAGCCATTCTTTGAAAAGATACTGCATGACTCATGCCCTCTGATTCGATCTCCACATTACTGGCAATTTGCTCTTAATTATGGAATTTGTTTTTAATGCTCTGGGATTCTCAGAGTGATAAACGAGAAGTGGTTTAAGCTTCATATCACCACTAGCGTTAGCTCCCAAAAGTAACGTCAACCGGTCTTTCATAGGTTTATGCCCAAGAACACTTTTCTCATCTTTCGTGATGTAGGTACGGTTTGGCATGCGCTTCCAAAACGAACAGGTTTCATCACAATTAAATATTTGTTGTGGACGATACCCTTCTGTTTCAATGAATTCTTGAAATTTGAGACAGTACTTCTCAGCTGCTTCTTTATCTTCACTAGCAGACTCACCACGCATTAATACATGTTTAATTCCAGACCTTCTTTTAAACTTTGTAAACCAGTCAGCCGTAGCTTTGAATTCTAACTCCTCGGACGACGAACCTGGAGTTTGCTCTTTCAATTTCTCTAGCCTTCTCTTGAATGATAGGCATACTAGTTACATCTCGTTTCATTTCCCGTTCATTTATCCAAACTAAATTAACTTCTCCATTTTATCATGGATGGCACTTCTTTGCGTTGCAGATGTGATTTTCGTTACTCCTTCAGCTTCTCATAATAATAATTATTGAATGACCTTTAAATTCATTGTTAATTCAAGTTTCATTTAGAAATTATTAACACTAAGTATGCTTTAAACATTTCACCTATCAGTGATATTATTTTGTATGCAAAATGATAATAAATGTTTAATATTAATTTTTCTTCTGGCCGAGTAGAGTTCGTTAGAATTCGTTTTGTTCATTATCCGAATATGTGTTCGTTGTCCGAACTCAAAAAATCTTTTTTGAAAGTGTTCGTTATCCGAATATGTGTTCGTTATCCGAACACAAAAAACTTTCGTGAAAGTGTTCGTTAACCGATCACCCACTGTATATTAATTTGAAAAAATCAGGAAATTTTACTAAAATACCCAGAGTCAGGGAAAATGAATAAATGTATATTTGAGGCAACTAAAAATTTCATATTTTTCAAAAAAAATGAGGATTTTTTAAGAAAAACATTTTTTTTCCAACCTAAATGATATGTATAAGTTTTATGTAATAATGATAAAGCATAACTGAAAATTTAATAATAAAATTTATGCCATCAGGTTCAAAAATCAGAGAAATTCAATAAAGTCAGAGAATTTTTTTCTGATGTCCCGTGCCCTTCCCCCTTAATCTTTTTTAAGTATGTATCTTTCTAGAATATTCTTTAATACAAAATTTAAAAATTCCGTAATTTAAAAATTTTCTAATTTAAATTTTAAAAATTCTTTAATTGTTAGAAAATTATGTTCCGGTTTAAGAACTAAGTCATGCTCCTGATAAAAGTTAAGGGCCATTCAAATATTATAAAGCATATTTAGGACTCTTTCTTTTTTATCAGTCAATATAAATAAATCGCTATCCCCCTCCCAAGGTGGATCTTAGAATAGTCCCCCGACGATTTTTCGAAATCTCATCAAACTAGGTTTCTGGAAGATATTTCAGGGTTTTATTTATTAATTATTTTTATTTTATTAAAAATATTTTAATAAATTTATAATAATTTATATTGTTTATTTAATAAAAAAAAAACAATGTTGATCCAAGTAATACTCGCCAACTTGGCGAGATTTAAAAAAGTCAACAAGGGGTGGGCTGAATTATATTACTATTTACATAAAAAGGCCGCAACCCTACCCGTGGTTTTTGCTTTATAATTTTTACTCTAGTATTCTAATTTTAGGATTAAATTTAAATAAAAAATGTTGTTTTGCATTAAGTAAAATTTGCATTTTAATTCATTTTGTAAAATTTTGTCCTTTTATGTTTTCTTTTAGTGTTCAAAGCTCTTGAACTCTTTAAAAAAAAATTCCAAAATTCAATTTGAATTCCAAATTTGAAATTCACCCCACCCCCTGAAAAATTTTTTTTAATTAAGTTGTTTTAATATATTACATATGTATTCAATGGATATACTACTCACACGTAAAAAAAATCATCACTGGTCAGCAAAAAACAAAAAAAAATTAAGTAAATAGAATAAAAAACCCTGTCTGCCGATTTAGGTTCTTACATAATATTTGATTCCTCTTTTCTTTTATACATTACTTAATTTTGGGACTCACATATTTCTAAATCAATGATATTTAACTTTTTCTTATAGCATTTTAGAGGCCATTCATTTAGGTGTGAAACTACAGCCATTTTTAGAAGTAGCAAATCTTATTTAGCCTCTCAGTTGTGGAGTGCTTATCAAATAAATGAAAATGGTGAAGAAGAAGAAATAGATATCAGTGATTTGAAAACTCACAATTGCTCAGCATTGAGAATTTCCAAACGATCCTTACCTATTGGTTTATATAAATTGAAATATACAATAACAGTTTATGGTAAGTTTAATTTCCTATTATTAATATATATATAAATAATAATATATATATGTGAATGTATATAGCATAATAAATAAATACAAAAAAACACGAAGAAACTTAAGAAAAACAGTAAGTTTTATTTATTGCGCATAAGCTGCAAGTAAATGGAACTCATAAAATAAGTTCAAAATATAGAGAAAACCTGAGGAAAATTACAGAACAATGAAAAAAGGAGAGTAGAAAAATAATAATAAAAAAAAACAAGAAACCGGGGGAAAAATTCCGAAAAAGGCTAAAAAATTTTAAAAAATACAGAAAATGAAATATATAATCTTTACGTCAGCTAACACGATTATATCCGCAAAAAAGAGCTATTTTTTGCGGATATAATCGTGTGAGCTGATGAAAAGATTATATCCTTTAGTATACCGATTTTTTAAAAAATTTTCTCCTTTTTTTGGAAATTTTTTTTGCGGTTTCTTGTTATTTTTATTATTATTTTTCTTTATATATATCTGTAAAATGATGGGTGAGCAGGACAAACAGGCATGGAATTTAAAAAGAGAAGTAAATTAATTTTATTTAACCTTCATAATCAGAGAATGAATATCCAAGTGACACATATATCAAAGTAGCCCCGGATAAAAATTCGGAAAAATCTTGGGAAAAAAAATCTGTTATATGTTATGTCTTAGGGAATAAGGGTAATCTGTGTAATTAAAATTGGTCTATTAAATTGGTCGAGGTAAAAAGTCTTTCTCACGGTTCAGGAAAAATCGAAAATGTTAATTTATGCATATTAAACTAAAAATAGATTAAAAGACAGGTTGTGGATGTTAAAGTGTGAGAAGGCATTTAATTTTGAATAATAAATGAAGAAGATTTAAATAAAGGAATAACATAAAAAGATTAGTTTAAGCGTTTTATATTACATATATCTCTCTATATATATTCTTTTGCTCAATAAAGGCAAACTTTGTCACCAATAATTGGTATGAAGCATGATGGTTCTGTTTATGTTTAAACTTTCTAGACATTTTAAAAAAGATCAAAAACAAATCTAAATAATTTAATGAGTTTTTAATTCTATAGAATAACAAAACTATTCTAAATAAATGCTTCACGTATAATTTATTCAACACTACTTAAATTATTATTTAAGACAACCTAACAAAATCAATAATAACTATAATGTTGCCAATAGATAAAGAAATATCCGAGTTTGTCATGCTACACGAGAGAAATATATATATAGATGATTAAAAATTAGATTCTTTTCTTAAATGTTTGTCTGCTCATTTATATGTTTTTTTTTCAGATGAAGTGGAGGATAATGAAACTGATTACAAAAACTTTGAGATATCGTTTGATAATCATACTGTTCTCGGAAGACGAAGTGTATTTACATATCTTGAGATAATTCCTACTCCTCTTATACCAATGCTGATAAAAGGTGGTGCTTCTTTTGTTCTTCGTAGTTTTGGTCAAACATTGCATCTTGAACCAACTATTTATAGTCAAGACCCTGATTACCCAGAAGAAAGAGTATGCTTTGTTTTAATAAATGCTTAAAATTTATTACAATACTTTAGTGCATTAAAGCCCAAGTGGATAAATGTTCTGAGTTACATGTTTGCATAATTATTATTTGAGTTGCATATGTGTTAATTAGTATTATATGTTGTCAATGGAAAATAAAGGATGCCTGACAGCTGAATGGTAGTATACTTAGTATACTACCATTACAAAGTATACTTAGTATACATACAAAGTATACTTAGAGACTTAACACTTAGAACAGATTGCTCCTGTACCTTAGAAATGTTCCTGTTCCTGTCCAATAAAAACTGGATTGGGCTTAGTAGACCTTGGCCCACCATGGGCTGTAGCTCCACTGAGATTAGTTTCGTTTAGAAAATGAAAGTTACGCTTTGTCTTTATTTCTTGTTTTCTTGTCTGCCTGCTTCCATACAGTGATATCTATATCTCTTAGACACGCATATGAACTGTTTGTGACTTAGCATTTTAATATGCTGCAAAAAATAAAATGTTTTCAATGGTTGATATGGAAATATGTTTGCAAATTGCACTTAAAACCTTCTTCCACTCATAAAACACTCACAGATAGTCAACTTAGTACCTTCATCCACTAAGAAATCAAAAATTATAAAACGCAATTGCGCAAACAATTATAAAATTCATTTATCCAAAGGTAATAAAAATAAAATTTTTAATAACTTTTTATTATTTTATTTAGTAATGATTGAAAAAGTTTAGAATTGTAAGATATAAAATTTTTTTAAAGATTAAAATTTTTTTTATGGCAAAATGTTACGTTTTAACAAACAATTCTTGGAAAATTGAATTTTAAAAAAGTCCGATATTTCTAATTCAATATCTAACAAACTGTATGACAAATTTTATTAATATTTTGCCTTTTACCGTATAAAATTACACTCTTTAAGATGATGTAAAAAACTTTATACCTTACAATTCAAAATAGACTGACCAGTATTAAATAAAATTATAAAAACTATTAAACAGTGATTAATAATTACTTTTTGCATGGAATTATTTTGGGATAAACGAATTTTATAAATGTCTGCAAAAAATTTTCTACTCTCTTAAAAAGTTCTTGAGATATGATGAAATGTGCAGAAAGCAAAATTTACATTAAGTGATCCAAACTTGTGACCATCTTTCCCAAATTGCGGCCACCCCTTAATGTTTGGGATAAGGAATAAAAATCGGTCAAAATAAAAGTATGTTTATATGAAGAAAGTACGTTTTTGTGTCTATTTTTCTAATTTAAAATATTGTCTGCACATATTAATTAGCATATTTGCAGTCAACCTCTCGAAGATGGAGTCCTAAAATTCAAAAATCCGACCATTAGATAAAAAGTTATTTAGGGTGTTTTGTTTATTTTTTTGCATTTTGAATTTACTAAGGAGTTATTAGAAGAGAATTCGAAATCGATAACTCAATCTCGTACATTCTACGTGATATTTATGCATTACTACAATTTTGTCAGTATTTTAATGATTTATTTTATTTTTTGAAATTTTATAATAAAATATATAAACTTATTACAAACCACTTGTGGAACTTATTTCTGTAAAAACTGTAGCTTAAACTTTCCTGGCAGTACAAATCTTGATTACAGTTTTCCCTGCTAACAAGGTAAGTACGTATCTCAAAAGTGCCTGTGAAAACAAAGTTATGCTTAAATTAAAAAGCATTACTCAATACCTTGGATACAGTACAAGTTAACCACCAGATTTGCCCTTAGGGAAAAAATATGCCTCTTTGAAGTTTCAGTTCATTCACTTTTTAAACAAACAAAAAATTCTTAGCATGTGTGCATTCGCGGTGTAATGATGGGCTGTCCACCTTCTGGGCTGTCCGCATCTGGATCAATTTAAATTTGTCTTTAATTTTCTTTTCTAAACAGTTTGATAACTATTTAATATTTTTTATTACATTTATAAATTTTCATTTTTTTAATTTAAATAAATTTTTTTTTAAATTACATTTTTAAAAACAAAAAAAAAAGATATTTAATTTTTTAATTGAAATATATAGATTATTTAACAGGGTGCGTAGCGATTTTAAAAAGTGCTTATTTTAGTTTTTTAAAAGCCCTTAAAGGTGCTTTTTTCATTGGTTCGAAAAGTAGAATTCTTTCTTTCGAAAAGGAGAATTCTGTCTTTTCGATTTTCACCACGTATTATGAGATGGTTTCGGCGAGATTGTTGCACTCTCATGTGCAACTCTGCTGCATTTTGCAAGGTATTCTCAATTTCAGGCTTCATTTTCCACCCTCAGATATCAAACCTAAAAATCTCTTGATCATTTTATAATGGCTAATATAATCAAGAAAAAAGTTCTTTGTCAGAAACTAGTTATTTCATCATGATCAGGTAAAGTCTTTTAAAATTATTTTGCGTTTTGTTAATGTATATAGTGCTTGGAAAATATTTTTTGAGTACTTAAAAGGTGCTTATTTTTTGTTGAGAGCACCCTGGCTATGCACCCTGTTTAAATAATTTAACATTTTAAATAGATATCTTATCAAATGTTTCAGGAATGAAAATAGGAAATAAAATTCAAATATTGAAAATTATGATTTTTAAACTTTAAAAGTGTGTCATTTCTTTATTTTTATTTTAGAATTTTGAAATTACTTGGTTTTGTTCTCGATTTGATACCAGTGAATCCTTAACTGAAACGGGAAAGCATGAATATGAATCTGAAAATCCTTCAAAGCCAATTGAAGACAGATCTACAATAAGTGATGANAAATTCCAATGAGTGCATAGATTTTTTAAAAAATTTTTTTAGCTGGCCTATTTTGATATAGAATTAAAAATGAATATTTTAATATAAAAATATTGATGAGTGACTACATTTATAAGAACAATCTGTTACATTTATTTTGTCATATTAAAAATCAAGAGAAAAAAAAACACAATTTTAAATTAAAATTATGGTTTGCTAATTGATACTTAAATTTAATTGTTAAAGAGTCTGCCCAAGCCAAATTTGCTACTGCTTAGGGAACCTTCACAAATTCAACTTTAGGAAAAACGATAGTTTCACAAAATACTTTTTTTTAAAATTTTATTTTTGTGTTTCGCAAGAAACGAATAAATCCATATTTTTGTGTTGATTTTTTAATGTTATTCTTAATTTTCACAAATTATGTCTAAACTTTCACAAAATAAATACCTCTCAGAAAAACCTAGACAGACCCCTTTCATTAAATTCTCTATTTCATCTAGTCTTCAAATTTCAATTATGCATTTGTTTCAAAATGGTTGCTATGCATTCAAAGCTATGTATTATAATGAAAAATTATATTAATAAGTTAGAGCTTCTAAAATATTGTTATAATATTGCTTTCATATGAATTTAATTTTGATTAAACATTTATAAACTACTCTTAATCATAAACTAAAGTTCTTACAATGTGTTTGAAAAAAAATCAAAAAAATCTGATTTAAATAAAAAAAAAAAAACGGTTTAAATCAAAAAAATAACGAACCCTGGTTTTAGATAGGTTAGTCTTGACGTAACAGTCATGAGTAACAGTTGCAAATTCACAGCAATTCATGGGTGCCAACTCTACTGGATTTTGCCAGTTTCTCCTGGTCTACTGGTTTAATTAAAATTCTCCTGGTTTTTGTACATTTTAGAAAATTCCCTAAAATTGAGTAAATTCTCTAAAAAAAATCCCTATTGAAATAGAATTTTTTTACAGATTATTACTTACTTGATTAAATATTTAAAAGTATTACTAATACATAAGAAAGTGAACCTCATTTATATAAATCAGTTTAAAACTTTTTTTTGTTCTAAAAAGTTCAGTTTATTTTTATTCTGAGCTCTCTTTTTAAATTAATTAAAAAAATCTTTTTACTATCTTTGATTAATTAAATGCCTATTAATATTCAAAATTGTGAGTTAACATAATCGATAACATTTCAAGTATGTTTAATGTTAATCGTAACTGGAAAATATAGCAGTTTTTCTATTTTGATGACTATAAAATTCCCTATGTGTAAAATATTTATTACATTATGCAACAATTATCATGAAATTTATATATTTTCATAAAATCTACTGGATTTTATTCTATCCATGTTGGCAGCTATGGCAGTTATAAAAATAGCATATTATTTTCAAAAAAAGTATCATTTCATATTACGACGTAGTCTTCGTAAAACAGCCTTAATATACAGAGCATGCATTAAGTGATAGATTGCATTTAGAGCCCCATAACATCTCATGCACTGTTCGGAATGTTAAAAGAATTTTGTGTTTATGCTTATCAGAATACACAGCTATAAGTTTTATTTTTTATAGTATTAAAAATCACCTATAGGAGCAAAAATTTTGTCCTTCAATCTTAATATACAATAACTTGAGCATCAAGATGGCAGTCATATTAGACTACATTTGTAAATAACAATAAATGTTACTTCTTATTAACAAAAGAGCTTCAGTTGACGAATGTGCTTTAATTTATTGCACGCATAATTACTGAACCATTTATAAACATCATAGTACCATCATGTTAAAGATATTGTAATTTTCAAAACCATTTGGTAATGAACAAAAAAAATGACAAACAAGGCAATCCTTTTCTAGATTTAACTCTGCATTAACGACTTTATATTTATGTTTTCATTATTGGTGGTGGTAAATAAGTTTCATTTAAAATAAGAATTTTATTCACATATTGTCATATTTCTGTTATATGCATATTTTTCTAAATATGATGCCTATGGAAATAAAGTACATAAGCCTATGGAAATAAAGTACAAAAAAGTAATTCCTTGTTTATTTAAGTAATTCTTTGTTCTGTTTACATTGCATTTTTTTATTTATTTAATAATGCATTTATTCCAAGCTCTGTTAGAGATTATATAAAATTTTAATTTATGTGCTCAATTTTACATGCTTTATATGTTTTTAAATCTAAAGAGGGTTTTTGCTCTAATCTGCTCCAAGAACCAAATTTATTATGCTCCAAAAACACATATTTGCTGCTCTAAAATGATTATGCTGTTGATTCCAGGCCTGCTGCTGGAAAGTTAACTCAAAATGTTTTCAAACCAGTAAGAGCTAAAAGTTTTACATTAAAAATATTAAAAACTAAATTTGTTCATAAGATTGTAAAAACTAAGTTAAGATAATCTTCCCAAAAAAAGAATAGTTGGATTCAAAGGTTTTTAAAAGTTTTTAAGGCACGAAATGTTTCTCTGATTTTGCCTTCAACTTCATTCATTCATTAATCTATTTCAAGTATTGTTCTTTGTTAGTATAAAAAAATTAAGAATGAAAATGTTTAGGTTTAATGGATCTGGCTTCTAATGATTATGAACTCAGTACCAGTAGTTTTTGGACATGGGATGCAATCTATGAAATTCTGGGAGTAATTAAAAAAGATACAAGAGCCACTGAAAGCCGTTTATTTGTGAAAGTTGTAAAAGAAAAACTTCCTAGTATAATAGTTATGTGAGTAAATTCATCATCTTATTTTTTATATTTCTTGAGACTCTTAATTTTCAACTGCAGGGCTGATTGTGCTCCGGAAAAAATCCGGATTTCCGGATTTTTAGCTAACCGTGATCCGGAAGTTTCCGGAGATCGAAGGTTAAGACGTCTAAAAAAATCATTGATCACAAAGGTTTCCGGAAATCAAATTTTCAAAGGTGGAACTTAACTCAGTTTATTTTATTTGTTTGTAAGGGAGAGCTAGATATTTTATCAGCTTATATTCAAGATTAATATTCATTTTTTATCAGTAAATAGTTATTATAATCATAAACTCAACAAAGAAAGACATCTTGGTAAATTTCAATTACTTCTCCAAGTCATCATTGGTATGTGTAAATGGTATAGGTATGTGTACTATTTTAAATATATTTTAAGTAAACTAACAGGGTGCATAGCGTTTTTAAAAAGTGCTTCAAGGTGCTTATTTTCGATTGTCGTTTCTTAAAAGCCCTGAAATGTGCTTTTTTCATTGGGAGTTTTTAAAAAGTGCTTAATTTTCCCTTTTTCAAAATGAGATTTTTGCTTCGAATTATGCAAAAAGACGCGGTTCACATTGTTCTATTCAACGTTTTCATAATTAATTCAACCCCAATCTATTTCGCGTATAGTCACTCCGTGGCGTATGAAAGCGCTATTCGTTTTACATGATTCAAAATTTCATAATTTTGGACAATTGTCAAAAACAATTCCAAAACCTTTTTTTTTTTACATGACGGTTAAAACAAGATAAAACCGTCGATTGTCAAAAACTTTCCAACCCTGCCTAGTTATGATATTTTTTAAAGTGCTTAAAAATATTTTTTGAGTGCTTAAAAGGTGCTTATTTTTTGTTGAATAATTTGACCACGCACCCTGACTAAGAAGTATTGAGAAAAAGGAAAAAACCTTGTTTAATTTTTTTTTCTAATTTTCCGATTTAAAAAAAAAAAAAATTCTTACTCAAGAAATTTTCCGGAATTTCGACTTGGGCTCACAATCACCCCTGCAACTGTTAATTATTGTGCTTATGGATGCTATTGGAATCATGGATGTTAACATTTTAAAACATAATCTGTATTTTTAAATATCTTCAAAAATGTTCATAGTATGATATTGAGCTGCATATTGTACATCAAATAATGGTAGAACAAGCGTTCCAGAAAATGTACAGTAATAATCATAACTGATACAAACATAAAATCATCATCAGTAGTATACCTTTCTTTTTAGTAGTATACCTTTCTTTTTAATATAGTGAATGTTATTTTCTTTTATTATAAAAAAATTAAAATCAATATCATCAGTAGTATACCTTTCTTTTTAATATAGTGAATGTTATTTTCTTTTATTATAAAAAAATTCAAAATGAGGGGAAATTTTTTTTATTTTTTTAGACTGTGTTTATTTATTTATTTTGCCACTTTTTCCTCATCTGGAAAATTACTAACCTGTTGTACAATAGTATCATTGCTAAAGATAACTTTTTAAAAAGAAGGTAAAGTGGCTATGATTAAGTTTTATTTTTAAAAAAATAAATAAACGTAAAACGTGTGATTCTGAATGAAGGGAGAGGAGGACTGGTGTAGGCAGTTTTTATTTTTCAAAAAGCACCTATTTATCATTATTTTGAGCGTACTATCTTGCATTCATTAAAATTTTATTTTTATTTTTCATTCTGAATGATTACTAAGCTAATTTGGATAGGTAGTTTTTTAATATTTCTTTATTTAAAAAATCCCTGAATCCATTATTCAGGGAATATTTGTGTTTAACAAAAAAAATATTTTTTTTACTTTTTAATTCCAAAAAATGGTAGAATACAAATGAGAATTTACCAATAAGTAACTAATGCAAGAACACTCTGAAGTCTTCCATAGAAATTTTTGTCACATGATCCATTCTTTAGAGGAAATTTTGTCAAAGTAGCCATTGTTTTATATAAATTCTGACCCATGAGCCATTGTTCAGCAGGGGTCTGTCCAGACATTTTGTGAAAGGTCCGTTTTTGTAAAATTGTGAAAAAATTACTCGTAATTTGTGAATATAAAATAGATGTTAAGTCACATTCTTTCAACCAGGGTCTGCTTCTGTGAATTAGTGCAAATAGGGTCTGTTATTTCAAAAAAACTTTTTCAAGAAATTTTTAAATTGTAAAGACATACAAGAGTATGCTTAAAACTGTAAAATTATAATTAAAAAAATTAAATTTTTAAAAATAAACAGCAATTGCAGCTACTAAATTAGCGATGCAACATATAAATATTTGGTATTTAGCCTATACTGCTGAACCCAGAATATTCATTTTGGACGAATAAAGGAAGAAGTGTCTGCCGAAGACAAAATTTAGTTTACTTACATCTGTCTTTCTCCCCCCCCCCTTCCTGGAAAGAGTTTATTCGATTAACAAAACAATAATGAAGATAAACAAATTTGTGAAGGGTCCGATTAAAAGATAAGTTATTTTGTTAAGGGTCCGTTTTTAAGTTAAAATATTTTGTGAAGGGTCCATTTTTATGAAAAGATATTTTGTGAAGGGTCCATTAACGGACCCAAATTTCTTCGAAACAGACCCCTGTTCAGGAAGCATTTTGTTCAAGTAATCCATTCTTTGGTGAAGTTTTTGTTCAAATTACCCAATGTTCATCTAAAATTTTATAACAAAACTTATTTTTCTTGTGTAAAATATAAAATAATTGTTTTTGTTTTCATTTCAGGTGTGAAAAACAGATTGGTTGCTTTCCCAGAGAGAAGGGTATGTTCATAAATTCCAATTCATTCATTCCATTGAAAGTGGAATGCATAGAAGACTGTGGTGATGGCGATCTTAACTACGAATGGGAAGTTTCTGCAATTGATTTAGACTCACTAAAATTTACACAATTGGAAAATTGGGAGGAACATACCATTAGTTTGTTGCTTTTGAATTTTTATCTTTTATATACCATTAAAAATATTGTTTGCTGTATATGGTTTCATTTTTTTTAAATAAAATTCTCACTTTTAGAAGGAAACCTAAAATTGTCAGAAAATATAATTTGGGAAAGAGTTAATGTATAATGCAATTTTTTGCCAAAACCTGGAAAAATCTTGCAAAAAGCCTGGAATTTCAAATTTTATAATATCAATAAGTAGTCAAAGAGATTTAAAGTAAATAAGTCTAGCGTTTATTTTTTGACAAAATTCTTATGCAATGTACTAAATGTTTGTATATTTATAAAAATTAGAATATTAATTTATGATAAATAATCTTTTTTTTTTACTAAGTCGCATGTGACTTTTTTTTTAAAATTAAAATCACATTTATAGTTCAATATGCATTTAAAAATTAAGTTTTCTCTATAAATTAATATTTGTTCGATGTTGCAAGTAAGATATATGGTGACTGACAGTATGACTGATGTAGTCTACTAAAAAACTATGATACGTTACGTTTTTAATTTTTTATCCTGCGCAAGTTTTATACTATGAATATTGCTTTTGTTCATAATTTTATTTATTTGAGTGTTATAAATTAAATCTAAATTTCAATACTTATTGAATGAAAAAAATGTATATGTTCATGATGGATTATTGTCATGTATAACCAAAATGAAATCTGGAATTTTGTTGAACTTTTCTTGGAAAACAAGAAATTTTTTTTTCTTTTTATCAAGTGAGAATCTTGTTGAAATTGATGAAACTTTTTTTGTTCACTCCATTATATCTGCAAAATTTAGGAATTAGTTTCATATTTTGCATTTAATCATTATTTATTACCAATAAGACATTGTACTTATGAGATTTGGTGTGTCCTTCAAATAAACTTAAAAAGTTCAAACTACTCAAATTGTCCCTTTATGATTGAGTAAAATTAAGCAATTATTTGTTACTGATTTTAATCAATACTTTTCGATTGCTGCACAAATGTTTCGTTTGCAAATTCAAAATTTTGTGCGTTTCCGCCTTTTCACTACTTGCTATCACTTTATTCTTGATAGCTGTAATATCACCAATTTGATTAGAAGTAGCAATAAAGGAAACGATATTTTTATTCTTACATATTTTTATTTCCTTCGTTTTCTTTATTGCTACTTTTATTCTTTTTTTGAAATTTCTGCTGCTTTTTAGTGTGTTTTTTTCAAAGAATCTATTTATCTATCACCTATTTAATCTATTTATCTATTTAGAATTTTAAAAAAAATTTTGTTTTCTTTTAGAACCAATTTGATTAGCTTCTATTTAACTTTTATTTGAGTAGGTTATTGATCGAGTTATATAATAATTATATTCAAATCAATAAAGCCTAGTCTGAATGAGTTATTCATCGTATCTTTTGAAGTATTTTCTTATTTCTCTAAAATCTTCAACTGTATGAGTTAAAATATTGTCTAGGTTTTGTGAAGTGGCTGTACAGTACAAGATAAGACGGTTTAAAGCTTCACCTGGTGGAGAACTGCAATGATATGCAGCAGGGCTTATTTGTGGGTTTAATGCTTGTGCATTAATAATACTGAATATATTAACGTTTAGTTGAGTTTAATCCGTGTGTATTAATATTACTTTATATGAACATTTAGTTGGATATAATGCTTCTGTATTAATAATACTTAATATTTGAGTTATACTTAAAATAAAAGTGTTTGTGTAGGTATAGTGTTGTTAATTTCATTTAACAGAATAATATGTACATTCATATGTTTTCGAAATAAATGTATGAGCATCTGAAAGTTTCTCTTGTGAATGTAGAAATATGACGTTTTTTCAAACACCGATCGAAGAAAAAATTTAGCTAGAGTCATAGAGGATTATTAAATTAGTTCAAATCTATTTCTTGTGCACATTTTGACTAAACAAAAAAACATTTAAAATTGTGTTTTTTTTTCATGATTTTTGCACTATGGCATAGCAATATTATTTTAAGGAAAAAGTACTATTTATATCATTATTTTCAGTGTACAGACTCCTTTTTTGACTTTTCAAAATTTTCAAGCAATGCAATTCTCAATGTGTTCATTGAGCATATAGTACTCAATATCTATTTTTTTCCAGTTGATTATGATAGAATTGGGCTGAACCAAAGTTTGTACCATACTTTCTCAAGCTACAGGACATTTTCAGTGAAAGCTACTGGCATCAGACCAAATATGACTCCTGGTATATCATCTATATTTTTGACACTTAACGATCCACCTGAAAATGGAAAATGTGAAATCAATGCTACGTCTGGTAAAGCTTTACTTGACATGTTTTCAGTCAAATTCTCAGGTTGGATTGATAAAAATCAACATAATATTACAGATTATAGTATTTATGGTAAGCATGAATATTACTTATTATTCCTTTTATGATTTGTGTATTACTGGCTGATTATTACATACGAGTAAAAAAAATTTTTTTATAACTCTTAATTGAAAAAAAGAGAAATGCAGGGGCGCATAATGTGTCCCATAGTGCAAACGACATTCCGATAAAATTTAGGCAGGCCTGGAAAAATTTTGCATCTAATTAAAAAAACATGCTACAAAATTCTTTATTTTAAAAAAATATGTGTTTCTTTATGGAAGTTTTGCCGTTTATTCAAAAATTGTGTCAAATTAAATATTTTTTTTGTTTTTTAAAGAAAATATTATTATAAAAATATTTAAGCAATATATAAATTTTACATTCCAAAAATCTTTTGAAACAGCTATTGTCACTAGAAAAAGTTGCTGTTAGTTTAAAGATTCCAATAAATAAAAAAAAATTTTAAAAAAAATTCGTTATTATGAAATATTAGGCTTTTAGAATTTTCTGCACCCTTGGAAAAATATAATATGTACTTATATATTTTAAAATGCATCAGAAAATTCTTTAGAACCAAAAGATCTAGAAACTTTGAAACGTTTATAAAAGTCAAGTTGACTTCATTATCTCTAAAATCAAGCATCACTGGCAGCACTCAGTGAGCAGGTGGGCGACCACTTTGATCAGCTTGCGAAAAGACCAAGTACATGTGGAATCAGTCCTCCTTAAACCGTTCTACCATACACTGCTGAACTTTGCACTCAAGTCGTTTGGTTTCTGAAGCTGGGGAGGCACTCCTTTTTCAGAAGATCAAAATTGTGATGGCATGTCTTCAGACCATCCTCTGGGATGATCTCCCACACCGTCAAAAATAGCCACCCATGCAGCTCTAATGCAACATAATTAAAGTGCTATTTAAGTAATTGTAATTATTAATCAAAGAAATCAAAATATTTTAGACTGTAATTAATCTTAAATGGATAAAAGTTTATTAATTTTTTAGTTCCTTCTTTTAAAATTTCTTTTTAACATAGAAACTTTCAAAGTAAATGGTACAATGTCGTTACAAAAAAGAACAAAGCTAAAAGTTGTTTAAATGTTATTATTCCTTTACTGTATTCAGAGTGCAAGACAACATAATTTTTGCTTACATTAAAAAATTTAAATAAATCACACAATTGATGTTTTACCCATTCTTTTTTTTAAGAGAGAACAGGAGTGCCAACTATTATAATTCACCCCTGAATATTACGATTCCATAGTCTAGGTTAAGAATTTACAATTGAGGAATAAAAAATATTTTTATTCCTCAAAAAAATATTTTATTTATAGAATTAGATTTTGTGAATTTCTGTAATAATCTGTTTAAGAGTTATTAAACCTTATTTTAATAACCAATCTGCGATTAGTTTTTTCTACTCCTTAAAAAAAATTCTTAAAACAATTAATAAAGTAACAAACGACTTGATAGAATTGTGAAGTAAAAAATCACATTCCTCCCTTCTAAAAAGTTAAAATTCTGAAACTTTATCTTCTTACCCAAGGGAAAGAGCATAAACTCAAGTCTGAAATGCTGTGAGCAAAACTTTTTGGGATCTCATCGCAGAATGATAATAAAAAATTAAAAAAAACCATAAGGAATGACTAGTTCTAATTTAACTAAAGACTAAAACATTGATTCCAAGTTATCCATTCAATTTTATTATGAAGTATAAAATTTAGTGTTGTATCATTTTTAACTTAAAATAACTATTAAGTATGAAGTTTTTTATTTATGAGTTAATTCATGCATAATTTTATTATTACATAACTATATAGAATTAAATTTTATATTCACCTCAAAATTACAATAATGTGAATTCCATATACACTAACTGTCAATATCTATGTTTTATTGTACTTCTGATTACTGAATGTTAATTTAAAAAGTTTGCACCTATTATTAAGTATGACATTTTTTATTTATGAGTTAATTCATGTGTAATTTTATCATGATAAAACTGTATAGAATTAAGTTTTATATACACCTCAAAATTACAATAATTTAAATACTGTAATTGTAAATATGTATGTTTTATTATACTTCTGATTACTGAATGCTAATTTAAAAAGTTTGCACCTCTGTAAGAAAAAAAAGATCACTCCATATTTTTGAAACTATTTTAATTTCAAGTATGTAATAGATTCTTAGATTTTGGCACTTTAAACTGTACCAGAAAGAAGTTTTGAGAAAGGTGATTTTTGAAATTTTTGTATTAAAAAATTTAAAACTGTTAAAAGAAAAAATGATTGTCTTTTTTTTGCACTGGAAACCAGTTTTAACATTTTATAGTTAAAAGATAATTAGAATTTTTAAGCAATTTTGAAAATCTGGTTAAATGGCGAGTTGCTCTCTTGATGTCCAAATTTTTGGATTTTAATGCAATGCCTCTTGAGTTATAGGAGCGAAACAAACTCTTTCTTTTATTATTAATTCACATTTTAATATTTTATTCCTCATATTATGGGGTTCAAGCATGAGATTCTTCCCAATTTTGGCGGAATTTCCAACATACCAAATTTTAGAAGAAAGAAAATTATAAAAAAATGCTATATTAAGTATCTATTTTTATTCAATATTTCCACATTATTTCATTGTTTTACTTTATGAGTACTTTATTTCCTTTAATTATAATTTTTATTTAAAGCTTAATAGTTTTTCGATCTGTCAATGTACATGTATACTAAAAAATTACTTTAAATAAATATGTAAATAATTTAAATGTTTTCTTTTTGTGCAAAATAGTTATACTAGCTTTTTTTTTATTTTTTATTTTTTTTTTCATTTTCTCATGATATGTTTTTCAGACTTTTTATTGCTTTTCCACTCTCATACTTAAAGGTTAGAACAGATGAAAATGGAGTTCCTTCTGGCTCTGCTTGGATAATTTAAATTTGTTCTTTTAAAGTATACTGCATTTGCTGAAATGGTTTTTAAGCTTTCAATTTTAAAATATTAAAATTACTTACAGATCATGTCTTATTAGGTGCTAATTAAGTACTAATTCCTAATTGGCTACTAATTAGGAAAATTTAAAAAAAAAATTTTTTTTTTTTTGCAGAATTATTTGCTGTAGTGCGTATTAATTTTGTCTCCTGATTGCACCATTAGCAAATTGTGATTCCTTAAAAATCATTATTTTATAGAATTTCTTCGTTAACATATGTTAACAAATAAGTAATAATATGTGAGTCATAAGTTAGCAAACTTTGTAATTCACTTCACTCATTTGTGCAAAAAAAATGCCTGGTTTCTTAAACGCAAACCTTACACTTCTGTCTGTTATCATATTTTTATTGATTTTTCAAACCGTCCGTATTTTTGGAACACCATATATATTTACCATTCCATTGAATTTATTTTATTTTGATGGTTTATTATTTCTAGCATTTAGCTTTTAAGCATAATATTACTATTTATTTAGCTTAAATAAATTCTACTGTGTTTATTAATAGCATTCTATGTTGTATTGATATTTTTTTTAATTGAATTTCTATGTTTGTAAATTTCAAACTATTTCTCTCTGTATTTAGTAAGAGTTGGAGAGGAACTACTTCGTATTTTGTATGGAGAGAAGCAGATTGTTGATGTTGTTTTACCGTATGGAGATCTCGAAGTTTTATGTACAGTTAGTGATCAATTCAAAGCAACTACCACATATAGTATTGCAAACTTTTCTGTAAGTATATTCAGTTTTATACAGATCTAGAATAATTGAAAAAGTTTTAACTTTAATTAAGTTAAAATATTCACTGACAATAAGTTGATTTTAAATTATTTTTAAAATTCAAGCTTATATTTTATCGTTCTTTTTTTAATAATCTGAACTAATTTAGCATTTTGATAAAATTGTTCTTGAAAGTTGAAAGCTTATAAATCCTCGAAGTTCTTTACATCAAATATAATTTTTATTTATTAATTACATAATTATGTGTTTTATGTAATATCTATATGCATTTATATTAAGTAATTATTGCCATAATCTGAATTTTAATATTTTCAGAAGAAAAATATTTTTTAATCATAAAAATTTTTTGTGAAGTAATACCATTTGCAAATACTGCTTAATTTAGGTGAAACAACACTTTAAACTTTCTTTTAAAAGATGATGAAATGTTTAGTACTACATGTTTAGTACTACATGTTTAGTAATGTTTAGTATCTTGAAAATCTAGATTTCTCAGGGGTATGGAAGATTATTTTCCATACCCCTGAGAGCATAAAAGTTACAGTTCCAAAACTATAAAAAATAAGTGTGATTTAATCTAAAGCCCATGTTGTTTTTCGTATTTTTTTTTAATGAATTTCTGTGTGGCGCTTTAAATTTCATTATTTTAATGTTATATGAATTTTAAATCTGCGTATTTTAAAATCTGTTATTGATTATTTTTTCTTCCTTTGTTTAAGTACTTGATTTGAATCAAATGAATTATGAATTTTTCATGGTCTTGACGTTCAGTACATCCAACAACACAGTGTTTTAGGCATTTTTGCATGATTTTTAAAATCCTGATATTTTTAATTAGGTATTATTATAATTCACGAATTTGAAATCCAGCAATTAAGTATTCACTATTGGACATGTTTGATTCTATCCTAAATTCGTTCGGTTTTGAATTTTTATGTAGCACTCCATGTTATTGATCTCTTTATTTTTTTTAAAAAAAAAACATATTTTTAATTAAAAAAAATATTACAATGTAGTTTTTTTCAACAATGACATTTTTAATCATGCATTTGAGTTGCTATTTGTGTTTTTATTCGGCTCTGTATTTTTAACAACTTCATTTTGAATTCACATGGCCTTATCGGTCATTTTTCATCAGTAATTGCGCTATAGCACAATATTATTACAATATCTGTACTTTCGCCTTTGATTCACACCAATTTCGTTTTAAATTCTCCTAGTCTTGTCGATTGTTTTTCAACAGTTACATTTCAACAGCTCTTTGAAATAAATTTATTAATAAATTATTGCAACAAGCAACTTCTGCGTTTTAAGCATTTATTAAATTGATTTGTCTAATTTTTTTCTCATCATGAATTTAACAAAAATTGTCTAGATTTAGAGAATTTTCTGATTTTTAGAAGTAAGAATTTTCAAAGTTCCCCTCTATTACATATCTTTTTTCAAAAGATTGAAATGACTTTTTTGAACTTCATATTACATCATAACGATTGAATAGATACACAAAGTATGAATTTTTAACTAAGTAACAAATATTTAGCTTTCTTTCATTTTCTTCTTTAAGGATAAAAACTCTACACCATTCAAAATATTTTAAAATAAGTCTCTATATTTCTTGTTATCTATTTATTATTCTTTTTTACCATTTGTATTTGACGTTATTTTATTTCTAGCAAAATTACTACAATTTGGAGATGTGCCTATGTGTTTTCTTTTTTATAATTTTTTTTGTTTGTTCAATGTTTTATTTGTTCAATAAAAATTGAAAGTGGTTAGCAATCTTTTTTTATGCTTCTATGTATTTATTAATTTTTGACTGTTTATTCTTATGCAGCTAACAAAATGTATATTTACAGATTATAAAAATAGTATACATAATTGGAATTTCATTCAATTGATAGAGCACTGAAAAATGGGTAATTAAGTACTTGGCTATAGTGGTGTGATGTGAGGTAGGAGTTTTACTATATTTCTTCTCTTCTTAGACTCTTTTATCGTAATCTAATAAAAAAAAATTGCGTGCTGTTGAGGCAGCCAAGGCCTGCAAAGGGCTGTTGCGCTCCTGAAGAAGAAGAATAAAAAAAATTAAAGCTTATACTTCCCTGATGGGTACCAACTTGTCTTGAAAATATGGTGACCCGTTATTGTGTTGTGAGGGAGAACTGACCCTTCTTGTCTAGGGAACTTTCAGAATGAAATGATCAGTTTCCATTCTTTTATCATTGCTTACATGGCAAGTAATGCCACAGAGGGACTGAAAAGTAAAAAATAATTCTCTTTATCCCACCAGCACCTACATTTATGGCCTATACTATTTTTCTAAATTATATAGCTTTGGTTTAATCGCCTCTGTCTCATTGTTTATTGATTGTATCTAATCTAAAAAGGTTTATTGAAATAAATGTTTTTTTTTATCATGAACTTATTTCAGACAACATTACCCACTGAAGAAGAACTTGAAGAATATGAATCAAAGAGACCTTTCGAAAGAAGTCTTGCTGAAGGCAAAATGTCACTGGCATCTCAAATGGTTATTGCCAAGAATTCAATCTTAATGGAATACAGAAACCGCAAAGGTGTAAATGACAGATTTGGTATGTCAAAACGTTTAATTATCATTTAACTTTGTTTCATTTTTATCTATCTATGCCGTAGAACCTTGCTAGTCTGAATTAATTTGAACTGATGACTGTTCAATTTACTATAAATAGAATTTTTTCAAAATTATAATTGTAATTGATGATTATTGTTTATGATTGCTCTGCAATAGTTGTTTAACACGTAATTATTACCATTGCAAGCATAAGCAAAGCTCTGTCATCTAGTGTGCTCTGAGTAATCTTCAACATTGTATCACTAGTTCTATTCAGTTGATGAACAAATTACATTAACCTATGTAGTTATTATTTTTTATGCTTTAATTTGATTCATATTTACATGATCTTACATTTTTAATATGATTTTACAGTTCGATATTATATTCCAATATTTAATTATGTCATTTTATATTAATTTTATTAGTTTTATTCCTTATTAAAATCACTTCAATTTATTTACTCCAAAAATTGTTTATTTTTCTAATAACTTTGCTTGAATTCTAATTAAATTAATATTTTTTGTGAGAATTTATTTCATTTGAAAATTCAATTTCTTATTAATTAAACATGATAAGGCATTTGATGTTGATTGTTATAATGGATTGTTAAAAAAGTACAGGGTGTTTCGTAATATCCACCATTAATATGTATTTGTCATAGAAAAATGTTTGTAAATAATAAAGCAAAAATATTATGCATATTGGAAGTGAACATTAATATTTAACTGGGAAATAAATTAGATGGATTAAAACTATCAAAAAACCAAATGAGTTGCAGAACTATTAAGGTGGTTAACAAAATGTGAATGTATTTAAGTCTCCTTAGATAATCAAACTAGAATTTGATGTTAGTTTTTTATGCCTTCTTTTTCTTAGTCTATGTTTTTAATTTATTTTTTTCCGCATTTTAATGCTTGTTTACAATCCCTAAAGTGGATAGTTTTTTTCACTTTATCTTTATAAAGGTTATATTCTATGTCGCAAGATGTTTCTTTGTATTTTTCTGCTATGTGGTGCAAATTCTGGAAACTTGTGAAGTACCTATCTGGAAGGAATGCTAAGTAACTATTTGAGGTGAAAATGTCGTCTTTTGAGAAAAGTGTTGCTTATCTCTTTCTAGTCTCAATTTGTTCATTCTCATTGCCCTTAATAAATATTTTATAATCTTTGTCAAAAATGATGTCAATAAAGTTTTCTGTATCGAGATCAGAAACTAATATTTTAGGTGAGAAAAAACAAAACTATTGAAAACTAGCAAATCTAAGGAGGACGATAAGTGTAAAATATCAAAACCCATTAAAACTTATTTAATTGCCTATTAAAACTTGTGTTTATAATAATCACCTTTACTCTTTTTTTAGTTTAATCGAACAGGTTTTAAAGATTTTTCTCAATATTGATTTTTCCCACTTCAAAATTGTCTTTTACTTTTTAAGTACTAATTTCTAACCCCTAATGTGTTTGCTTGTTGACCTCACTTTTGATATGATTTTTTTAAATCTATATTAAGGGCAATAGTTACAGAACACCTTGTGTGCTTAAGGTGGTCATATCACAAGTTTATTTGAAGATAAAAGAATTTGTTTTTCTCTCTCTTGAAGATGAAGTCAGTGAGAAAGATGTTGATTTAAGATGGCAAGAATATTTGGAGCTTGAAGGCATAGACAATAGTTACTTTACATCTCAAGCCAGAGAAGAAATTTATGATGATTTGCAAGAAAAACTTGACCTTCAAATGGATAAAGAAGCTTTAGTAATTTTTTTTAGTTATCTCTACTTCTCTTTTTTTTTCTGCTGTGAATAAACAATTTAAGTAAAACTAATTATTTGCGTTAACTAAAATCTTTTTTGTTTAAACCATCTTTGGTAAATCAAAATTAGTTTTTTTTAAAATAAAAAAAATGTTAGGTATGAAAAACTTTAAAAAAATAGTTCTCTTCATTTTATGTTCTTTATTTATTTTGCTTTAATAAGAAAAGAATTTATTTTCAATCTAAATATTTTACAGAATTACATCGAAAATGCTATACAGATGCAGAAATGCTAACTTACTCTGAACAGCAGATAAATGTTTTCAAGTGGTAGTCTTTTAATGTATGATTCTAGATTTAGTAAATTAAATTTATAGTGTTTTTACTCGCCACTACTTCTAAATAATTCAAATACTTTGTTACAGTTAAGCTGTGTTGAGCCTTTTAAAAAAAAGAATAAAATTAACCAAAAATCTGCAAATTTTAGTTTGTTATTATCTCTTGTTGCTTAAAATATTTTGTCGAATCTGGAGCAGCTGGCATCGCTGCACATAAAAATTTCAATTTTGATATCAAATTAAAATTATAAAATTTTAATAAATTAATTTTGAATTCACAAATTATAAATCCAAATTTATATGGCGATTTAACAAACAACTTTATGTAAATGATTTTGATGTATCTATCATGTTAATTTTCTAGTACACGAATTTTCTGGCAATCTAATGTTTTTTTATGTACTAGTGTCCATGATATTTTGATATCTATTTCTTTTTCTACAAAGAGTCTATCCAATTTCAATTTTTTCCTGAAATATATTTATTAAAATTTATTTCTTGATGTGTAATTATGTGTCTCTTGATGTTTAAATAAAAACACATTTAATTTCAATCACACTTAAAAAAACTTCAGAAAATAACATTGGCTTAGTAATAATATAAGTTTTCCTGGGATTTGATTAAAGTTTTAATCGAGTATAGGTTTGAGTCGGGCTCTCAGAAAAATCTGAGGCCAGATTTGAACATTGTGACAACAAATTCCATAGCTGTGCTTCAATCTATATTAATAAAATGAATAGTTTGTGCCAGTCTGTTACTCTTATAGATCATGAACTGTTTGTGCTATCATCTTGAAGTTTGAGTAGCTAGTGAAAGAAGGAATATTTGCTCTGGATACTACAATTCTTTTAAAAATTTCAATTAGACCATTTGAAAAACGAATTTTCTCATTGGTTAAGCATTAGCCATTGTTTCAAATTAAACTGTAAACAGTTGTATTTATTAAAAAAAGGAGTTTATTTTGCATTCTTTAAGGTTTAATTATTTTTCACTTGTTAAAATGAATTGTGTTATAAACTCATAGATTAACGTGAATGTAGTAGCATGTGAGGACTATGTTACCAAATTAGTATTCCTATTGTTTTCTGAAACCATATGCTTATTTTGTTTATAGTTATGCTTTTGAAATATGTCTTACTAAAACTAAGCAATTTATAATCAATGGCAATTGAATTCAAAATAAAAACAAATGTTATAAGAAGCAAAATTAATGGAGAGAAGATTCTTTTTTTTTCTGGGAACCATAAAAAATCTCTGTATAATTACTAATGCCAATGGTGCTTAATTCATTTTGATAGTAGATACTACTGGTATGGTGGTAATAGAGTTAGTTAGAGAGTAATAGGTAATAGAGTTAGTAATAGAGTTATCATGAGTTAGCAAAAGTACTATACCAGACAAATATGCCAAATCTTTATTTGATGGTGTAATCTTCGAAAAACGTGTTTTGCTTAATCTAATATAACATAAAGCCACCAGGAAGGGTAACAAAAAACAATAAATAAAAATTATATTGAAACTATTTTATCTATTATGTAGGTATATGCCTTTCAGTTTTCTGTATAAATTTGTAGTATTTTTATACTGTTTTAGTGATTATTTACTTTTTTATCATACTAAGAATTAATTTTCAGCTATTTATTTCAACAACAACCATCTAAAGAAAAATATTTTTTGCAAAACATATTATTTTTTTAATATGCTTAATTCTTGTATTGTTATATCAAGTATACAATCTGTTTTCATGAGTGTGTTATATTTAGCTCATGTATTAATTGGTGTTTGTAGGAAAAAGATAGAGAAATATTCAGATTATTGCGGCTACCTATGGAAAGTTTGGCAGATGCTGAAATTTTTGGTGGTGCTTTGAGTGCAGTGTCTGAAATCGGACCCACAGATGCAACTGGAAAGGTAATGACTTTTATTTTAGAAATTATTGTCAAATATTCATTGAACCATTTTGCTACCACTTGTATTTCTCTTTAAAATGGACAACTATGTAATTTAATACGTCAACTAATATTGCTCATTTTATTTTTTAAACGGCATTGAACAGCCGACATAATTCTGAGTTTACGACTATCAATGTTCACATCCTTGCAATTTTGAACCCTATCCAAAGGACAAGAGAACTTCTGGGTCAAGCTTTGGAACAAACTAGTCTTTGTTGAAGACTTTTGATAGAACAAACCTGTATTAGCATTACATAGAGTGGAAAATTGCAAAAACCTCCCAGAGTTAGCCCGACCGCAAAGGGTTTCTAGCTCATGATCAATCTGCCGCTGAGGATATTTTGCCTCAGCACAGTGCTTGGTATGAGCCAGGATCATCGAATCTTTGTCACCTCATTGGAAGCGAACGTTCTATCCCCTATGCCACCATTGATCCATGTTTGTGGTTATAAATTTGTTACATTCACTAATTTGCAATTTGAAACCAGATAGTGTGTTTTGCAACAAAAACAATTATTTAAAGCAGGGGTCTGTTTAGAAGAAATTTGGGTCCATTAACGGACCCTTCAAAAAATATCTTTTCATAAAAACGGACCCTTCACAAAATATTTTAACTTAAAAGCGGACCTTTCACAAAATTATTTTTCTTTTAATCGGACCCTTCACAAATTTGTTTATCTTCATTATTGTTTTGTTAATCGAATAAACCCTTCCCAGGGCAGAAAACAAGAAAGATGCATGTAAACGAATTAAGTTTTGTCTTCCGCAGACGATTCTTCCATTATTCGTCCGAAATGAATATTCTGCATTCAGCAGTATAGGCTAAATACCAAATATTTGTATGTTGCATCTCTAATTTAGAAGCAGCAATTGCTGTTTATTTTTGAAAATTTATTTTTTATATTATAATTTTACAGTGCCGAGCGTAATTTTGTATCTATTAACAATTTAAAAACTCCTTGAAAAAGTTTTTTGCAATAACCGGACCCTATTTGCGCAAATTCAAAAAAGCGGACCCTGGTTGAAATAATGTGAGTAATTTTTCACAATTTTACGAAAAACGGACCTTTCACGAAATATCTGGACAGACCCCTGTAAAGATATCCTATGCATATTTTCTCTTTAAATTTTACAAACATTTATTGGACCCATACACGGATGCAGTAAGGCCGGAATGTTTTTTTTTTTTATAATAAAAGCTTTGCAATAGAAAAATCATTGCTGGGGACAAAAAATTTAGAATGTAGATTTGGCATTTTTGTATAATGAGTGATATTGCAAACACAATTCAAAAATCAGGTTTTTTATCAGTTTTCTAAAATTTTATTGTAGCTTTTGTAATATTTGTATAGGAAAAAAAAAGTTATTAATCAGCTTATTTTTAAATCATTCAGGGAAACAATCTCAATCAATTCTATCAATTGCTTGGGAGACAAGGGTTCTAACAATCCTTAAAAGCTCCTAAATCTTCCTATAAAAATCATGAGGGTTGTTAAAAGTCCTTAATTTTCACTATGGCTGGTTGATTCAAGCAATTTAATCCTAAAAATATAATTTAAAACAAAAAGTGTTAAAAACATTTTGTCTCTAAATCATATCGTTACTTCTTTTAATTGCTGAACTCCCGTTTGTGAGAACGGGGGTTCGAATACAGCCGACCGAAGACTCCTTACGTAATAAATGATTACCGGTGCACATTAAATCTGTCAGGTCACAAATTCCTCCATGTTCCCATAACAAATTATACCTCTGTTAGTGCTGAATTAGAAATCGGTCGTTCTCTGGTTCAGGTCAAATTTACGATCTGTGGATGAACGTATGAATGGGTTCACCCAATAAGTGGGTGTGGCGGAAGTTGAATTCTCGGCCATAGATGGAGCCACTAGAAAAAAGAACAAACACACCTCTTGCCCTAATGACATTCGACAACAACTACTTCTTCCTAGATAATGAAATCATGTGCTTCTTATGAAAAATAAAAAATTACTTTTCCATACAGTAACTCCTTTATAATTTGATGATTATTTTTTATTTTTTTCCAATGGCAGGCACTGAATTTGAATCTTTGCCTATACTATGCCAGAATTGTTGCTCATTTCGCGTTACCCAGTGGGCACCTGTGAACCAAAGTCACGGAGGCGAGCAACATTGCCCACGCCACACTGCCACAAACCCGTTTATAGGGTGGGCCACATTCACGCATCATACACATAACAGAGGACAGCACAAAGAGAGAGAGAAACATCCACGCCCAGAGCGGGATTCGAACCCGCAGCCTATGGCTTCGCAGTCAGGCACGCTAACCGCTCGGCCACCTGGCCGGCTAATTTGATGATTAATTAATATAAAAAATGTTAAGATCCTTGATTTTTCACAAAAAATCCTTAGAGAGAACTTTGTATAACATTTACGGGCGGAATCATCACTATTAAGTATATGTATTATTTTCATTATATTGTAAAGCTAAACTTAAGATTTTATTAGACTTAATTATAGATTTTCACACTTTGCTAAAAATATTTGTTATATACATTCAAGTTTTGTCACCATCTTTTCTCTTACTTAACACTAGGTAATTATATTTCAGGCGCAGATCATGACTGGAATTGAGCACATGTATAGTGTCATCAATGAGACTGAAGTCACACATCCTGAGGATTTGAAAGTTGTTTTCTCTCAATTTGGTAACCTAGCTGATATTTTAACTGGAGTAAGTATCATTGTTATCAGATTAAATAGACGCAATGCACATAACTTTTGTTAAATTCACAGTTAAAAATAATCATAAGATTATTTTTGATTGTTTCTGGATTAGATATATGTTTTTGCAAAACTTGCTTTAAATTAACTCTTCATAATGGTTGGCAAAATTGTTCACGACTTTAATATGAGATTCATTTTTACAATTTATTTTTATATAAGCTGATTTTCTTTTATAAATGTCATTTCATTGATGTTTGGCATTTCAAATATAGATTTTTTTGTGGTGTGGAAAATAGGTCATATTAATATTTTAAATTTAATACCGAATGGACTTTGAATTTTTAAATTATTTTATCAGAAAACATTTCTTTTAAATTTATGTTTGTTGACGTTATATATTTTAGAAGCTTAATATTTTATTTTATAACTGTCGTTGAACAGCCGACTCAATTTTTGGGGTTTATGACTATTAATGTTCAACTCCGTAGCATTGTAATTTTGAACCCAATCCAGGAGACAAGGGATTCCTGGAGAAATTTTGCGTACATGGAAGACTTTTTGATGTAACTAACCTGCATTTGTGTTGCATGGAGAGGAAAACCTCGAAAACTTCCCACGGGGGCAAAGGGACTCGAGGCCATAATCCATCTACCGCTGAAAATATTTAAACACTTACCTAGGTCGGTGCAAACCGGATGCGGAATTTCTAATAACCAGCCACAACCAGGATTAGAACCCAGTTGACCTCATTGGAAGGCGAGCGCTCTGTCCGCTGAGTCGTCATGGCCCAAAAGCTTAATATTTATTTTTTATTCCGTCGTTAAACAGCCGACCCAATTTTGGGTTAACGACTACTAATGTTCAACTCTGTAGCTTTGTAACTTTGAACACAATCCAGGATACAAGGAAACTTCTGGATCAGTACCCCCAGAGGTATTGATTAGTTACGAGAACATAGAGGACTTTGTGACTCGACAGATTTAACGTGCACCAGTCACCATTTACTACATGGGAGGTCTTCGACCTGCGGGGATCGAACCCACGAACTCTTTGATATGATCACGAGGGGCATTTCCACACCATGAAGATGACACTGAGTAAAATTAAAATCGTTTGCGAAAAATCATGTACTTTCTATAACATTTTGAAGTCAATGGAGGCAACGCCTAAGCCTTGCTACGCTAAGCAACCAGCCTCCATTAGCGACCATTTTACTGTGGAACAGAGAGTGGTCACTTCCAGTATGCTTTACTGCATTCAAACACAAAGATGTTAAGGTATATTTTATCTTACATTTATGCTGATTGGTTAAAATAAGATGTCTAGTAAAAATAAAATTTAATTTTATTTGATTTCAGACTCTTGCTGAATCTAACATGGGAGGTAAATTTTTACCTGCAGAAATGAGAGCTGCTGAAGAATTTCTGGATTTTAATTCTACAGAACCAAACAACTTCATTTATTTTAGTGAGTGCTTTCTAACTAAATAATTAATTTTCACTATTTCCTTAAAAAAATTTTTACTTATATTCATACCTATTTGAAAGTATCTTTTCATTTTTTTCAAACTTTATAATTTATATTTATCTATATATACTATATTGGTATACATAACCTAAATTGATTTTGCATGCCTATTTTATCAACTGTTCAATATCTTTTATTTAAACCGGTGTCCATAACATACAAATATTAAAAATTAGCTTGTTTGAAATTTTAGTACTGAAAATATAATTTTTTTATGTGGTATAATTACTGCTTTCATACAAAACTAAAATCCTCACTGCTTTTACAGAAAAACTTAATTTTATTTGCCTGTTGTTTGTATATAATATATGTTTTTCACAGTTGAAGGAAATCGAGAAGAAGTTAAAGAAAAACTGAAAGAAAGGCTTGTTGACGAAATTAAAGATAGTGAAATGAGTAATGTAAGTAATTGTGTGATTATTTTTGTGCTCTATTTATTATAGAACATTAATAAATGGTTTAGCTAGGGATTGAATTGGTTTTATCTTAGTAAACTTTTTTAATGAGTCATTTGTTGTTTGAAGCCATTCAACATGGAACAAAATTTACGGAATTTAAAATTATCTATTTTTTACCATGGAATGGGATATTTATAAATCTTTCTTGTGTATAGTACCATTAGCATGGTGGCAAAGTGATATTCATTTGCATGGGTACCTTTTTTTCAGTCCTGGGGATTGAAATCAGTCTTGAGAAAAATCAATGGACTAAATTCCATTAATTAGTACAGTAGGGAACCAATTATCCGGAACAATCGGGACCATCGCCATTCCGGATAACTGATTTTTCCGGTTCTCTGAATCGCCACAAAGAGCCGTTTTTTTTATTGTTAAACCCAACTAAAAAAAAAAAAATTTTAGAAATATTCTTAAAAAAAAGAAAAAACTATGAAGTAATACACTAATGATTATTTCTAAAATGATGGTAAGGTAAACATCTTTCAAAAACGAAAGAAAAATCCAAAAATCTTATGAGGAAAAAAAAAATTTTTTTTTAAATATGGCGGGAAAATTTATCGAATTTCGTTCCGGTTTTTTGGTTTTCCGGTTTTCTGATTTCCGGATAACGGGTTCTGTACTATCTTCTTCCCATTTTTTTTCATTAAATTTTGTTACCTTAAAAATGTAACATATTTTCTGTTAAAAACAAAAATTATAATACATTTTAATGAAAGCATTGTCATTTTTAACAATTACTGCAAAATGATCAAGTAATGGAGTCACACTGCAATGAAAGAATGGTGTCAGGACTTGTATTTATCTTGCTTTTGTCATTTCTTACTCCTCAACTCCTGACAAACGGGATTGATTGAACTCCAACGTCTGTTTGCGTAAACAAAATTTGTACTATAGCTGAATCTAAATCTGCCTTTACTTTGTATTCCACCCCCTAAGCATGTTGATATGTTAGCCAAAGTTAAATCAAGATTCCTTTAATTTTTTTTTTTTTTAAATGGAGATAAAAGTAAATAATGATGGAAAGAAAAAAAAGTTCGAAGTGTAAAAAAATACACCAGAGAAAAGTGTAAAAAAAATACACCAGGTTAGCTATTATTTTTATTTTGTTTACTTGTAGAAAATAAATTAATAAAATAAAGAAAAATATTTTTTTTAGAAAATATAGCGAAGTGATTAATAAGTAGGTAGATACAGGTACTGTATGTACTTCATTTACGTCGCACTCGACCTACACAATGGGATGATCCGGAGNGATTCCAATTAGCATTCCAACCCCTAAGCATATTGATATGTCAGCCAAGTTAAATTAAAATTCTTTTTTTTTTCTTTTTTTTTTAATATATGGTATGTATTTGGTCTAAAAGTAAAAATATAATTTTCAAGTGGTCACCCACAAAGTGGTCACCCACCTGCTTACTGACCGCTTGATTTTATAAGTGAGCCATTGTCAAAGAAAGGTAAATTTTGGTGTCAGTGAGCTATAAATTTCTGAAAATTCCGGTAACAACGCAAGACTGCGTTAATTTGTCAAAAAAAAAGTACAGTCTTGAAATTTTTTGTAGTGTCAACCATGCATTAAAATGTTAAACTTTTTTTTATAGACTAAGGGAATGGTGTCTGAGCTAAAAGAAATGATATCAGAAATTCAGCAGAAGTGCATTGAGGAAATAATGGTCGGACCAGATCCATTTTACTCTGAGTCCAAACTTGGATTTCAATTGACATTCATCAAGTAGACACTTCTTTTTTTAATTTTATTAGTTATTTTTATACTTTAAAAATATATAATATTAAGTACAGCGCTCCAAAAAAAAAATGATTCATCCTGAATAACTTTTGACCTAATGATCGGATATTCACGTTCTAGGACTCAATCTTAAAGGTTTGAAGGGAGGACCTCAAATATGATAATTAATTAGTGCTGACGATATTTTAAGTTACAAAATCAGGCGCAAGAAAGCACTTTATCTGAATAAACTTACCTTTTTTTCAATGGATTCGAATTCCAGACCCCAAAATATAAAGGGTAGCCGCAATCTGGGAGATAATAGTTCCCATAGTTTGATCAGGACAGCAATCCAAAGTTTGGTCCCCATAATGTTAATTTTACTTCGTATGTATTTCGCCATATCTCGAGAACTTATAAAGCGAATTGAAAAAATTTTGCGCACAATTATAAAGTTCGTTTTTCTAAAGATAATTCCATGTAAAAAATACATTTTAGTTAATATTTATTATTTAATTTAATTTAATAATAGTCGAAAAAATTTTGAATTGTAAGATATACAGTTTTTTACATTATTTTAAAATATGTAATTTTACATGGCAAAATACAAAATTTGAGTGAAGTTTGTTGAATAGTTCCTGAAAAGTCAAATTTTATCTATACGACCTTTCTAAAATTTGATTCCTCAAGAACTATTCATTTGATTTTGATTTTAAAATGATGTAAAAAACTGTATACATTACAATTCTAAATTTTTTCGGCTATTATTTAATAAAATGAAAAACAAAAAATTTTTGGATGAACGAATTTTATAATTGTATGCAAAAAATATTCAATTTGCTTAAAAAGTTCTCGAGATAAGGTGGAATAAGCACTAAGTAAAATTAGCATATTGGGGTTCTAACTTTGGATCGCACTCCTGATGAAACAACGGGGACCCTATATTTTGGTTGTCAGAAATCCAAACCTGTTGAAAAAAGCTATGTTTATTCTGAGACAGTGCGTTTCTAGAGTATGATTTCATAACCTAAAATATCATTTGCACTAATTAATTATCATATTTGTGGTCACCCCCTCGAACCATTAAGATTGAGTCCTAGAACGTGAAGATCCGATCATTAGATCAAAAGTTATTCAAAGTGGTCCTTCTTTTCTTTTCTTTTTGACGCACTGTACACTTTTAGACTTATGCCTAAGTTAATTAATGTAGTGAAAGCTGGAAACTGTTTAAAAATTTGTGCCCTTGTATATGAATATCTGGAGTTTGGACCCTTCTCTGGTTTGAGCTTCAATCTCCATTTTGAATTTACTGCTTAAAAAGGGAGTCAAAATGGAGGGAAACTTAATTATTGCAATTTATACTAGTGAAAGATCAATATCCTATTGTTATGAGACTAATAGTTCGTAAATTATAAAAATTTTAGTATGAATAAACAGATTTTTTTTAACTGAAATCTTTTTATGTTACTCACATTGCTTAATAGTAAGATATTTTTTCCTATGCATCATTTTATGCTAAATCAAAGGAAGGCTAAGTCATAATGATAGAACTAATAGTTTTGAAGTTATTAATGGTTTTATGTGTAAGTCCAAAATTGTACTCTTTATATGCATAATCCTCTACTACAGAAAATTTTAAAATGACGGCTTAAGCTCACCTCAAAGGAGACAAGAAACTTTAGATGTTCATAATAGACTTAAATTGAAGCTGTTACAACCGTGGCATAACTACCACAATTATTAAATATCAATTCACAATCACTACACAATTCACAACTCAGGAGAGACCACACACAACCATGAACTTAATATAGCTCCCAAGGTGAACTTAATGCAGTTCTCCCGGTCTTTGACAAATACAGCAACTAGTGGTATCCGTTCATCGAATTATATCCCTGATAAAATTCTGGTGAGGGAGTATTGTGGCATAACTACCACTACAATTATTAAACATCAATTCACTTGTATATAAGACATGCTAACTCTATTCAATCTCCATTCATGCCCCACACAACAATTTCAAGCTTTCCTCTTATTTTTTCTTCTATGAAACTCATCAATCATGCAAAAGTGAATTTGAATCAAACTAAAATGTACAAAATTATTTAAGTGTTATAGGTATTTTATTAAAATTTTATAGCTATATAGTATTTTTTTTAAAAAAAAATTACTTTAAATGCAGCAATTTTTATCTCATTGACACAATTACCTAAGTTATGGTGAATAAATTTTTAAAGCAGGTTTTATTTTAAAGAAATTATGCCTCTGAACTGTCTGGCCAAGTTATTCAACAGGGTTCATCTTCAATCATTCTTCCCGATCTGTGTAAAGCATTGCAGAAAAATGAATGTCAGCAAAATGGCTCAGCTATTGGAATCCAGGTGACCTGTTGTCATTATTTCATTAAATTTAAATTGTGTTCTAAAAAATGTGGGACCATTGAAAATTATGTTGTTTTTTTTAAAACACTTAAAATCAATTTAAGAAAAATGAAAGACTGTTATGAAATATGATTTAATTTTTTTTATTAACACTTAAATCTGGCAAGTATCTTATATTTCCAATTAGAGGATTCCAATTAGGAATATTTCCAAAAGCTATAGGGAGGGGATTGGCCTATAATCAGATCCAGTAACTTTGTGAAATCTGTGTGTAAATTTCCAACAAAAATAATTTTTGTTGATCGCTTATACGAAGCTTAATACATAAAATAACAATTAAAAATAAAACTACCAAAAAAATAACAATTGTTATTTTTCAGCCGTATGTTGTGACATTCAGGAATTTTTTTTTTTTTTTTAGGTAGGATTTTATTTTATTGCTCATATTCCCTCATAAACACCGAATGAGCAGTAAAAATTAAACATGCTAGCTTCAGAATGCAGACAGCTCTCTTTATTAGCATCTGATTTACTTTCTCTTTTTGAGAAATACAACTTCCAATAATCAATGGGTTTTTTATGAACAAAAGTAAACAAATAAACTTAGATTAACTTGAAAGTCAGTTTGTCTCACAACTAATTCTAAGAATTCACTTATTTTCTTGATTGAGTTTAAAACTGAAAACTGGAATTGTATCTCTTGAGCATAATTAATTTCTTTCTTTTTAAGAAAATTACCCTAATCAGAAATAATTTTATCACTGTTTCAATCATAGGCTGTGCGATGGACCCAACCCCTCGAATCCTATGCAGAGAATTCAAACAACTTGAGTGATTCGTCCAATGAAATTCAGCTGGACATCACTTCTCGGGATGGACACTCGAAACTATCCGTGAATGACTCCAAAGACCCATTTATCATTTGTATTCCAGTTTCCGCTTCCGATGATAAAGACACAAAAATGGAGTACGTTGTTCCTAAATTTCCCACTAGCTCTGATGTTCTAGTGTACCACTCTGTTTTAGTGGATGCAGAAGGAATGTCTGTTACACTGACCATTGAACCTGATTATCCTAATGTTCCTTTAATTATGGTCTATAAATATGGGGATTATCCATCTTTGCAGGATTATGATGGCATACAAAACATTCAAGGTATTTTCTATTTTCATAAAAAATTTTAAAAGTACCTTTTTTTTAATATAAATGTGTTTATAAATTTGGAAAAATTTTCTTGACATCAAATAATGACTAATATTCAGTTAAATTTCAGTATCATTATCTCAACAAAAAAAAGATACTGATAAGTGAGATCAAAATATCGAAAGCTGCAATGATTTTGACATTTTAATCAAAAACTGAATTACTGACACTGCTGTAGCAACTTAAAGTTAAATATCATTTATTTATTTTGAAAACATAAAAAATTTATTAATGTATTGATCTTACTGTTATTGTCACACAAAATTAGATTTACAAATTGAGTTTAAGATTATCTTTCTTGACTATATAAATTGTTTGTTTGTGAAATACTGTAAAAACCCACTATAACAACAATTCAGAATAGCTGAGAAAATTGTCATTACAACAAGTTTGCTGTTATAAACAAATACACATATTTAATGTTAAAATAGCAATAAAAAATCTAAACTTTGAAATAGACTTCTCTACCTCTTTTTCTTTTATTTTGAACAATGATTTTGATTTAAGCTAAATATCTTTAGCACAATGTTTTTGCTAACACATTGTAGACTACGTTACGTAGCTCCGTACTTGGCGAAATGAAAAGCAAAAATCCCTATGATAAACAACTTTCCAAATTGTAACAAGTTTTGCAGGAACATGGAATTAAGTACAATATTTTTTAATTGATAACAGAGAATGTTGATTTTATATAAAGTTATCAGGAAGGGAAATAAAGTGACATGATATATACATATGAACAAAAGGCACATTCTTTTTGTAGTATATGTTAGGATCTGAAGAACTACCAGAACTTTTAATTTGCTAAGAAGAAGATAACGCTGGTTATTTAACAATTTTTAACTCATAATAAGCATACAATTTTTATACCTTTAATATTAAAATTTTGATTTGAAATTTATAGTAATTGCAGAATTCTTGTAATTTTCTACAACATTTAGTGTATCGTTATGTAAAAAAAGAATGTTTTTAGTATATTCCTACTGAAAATATTTGAATGGGTGTATATTAATTTTGTCCTTAGACCGTATCATATTGCTGCTAATCAGCAGCGCCATCTGTTTAGAAACTTGCAGACTTTTTTTATCCTTATATGAATAAATTCATTAGTTTTCCAAGCAGAACACTGCAAACTGTACATTTCTATCTCTTTTCACTTATAATTAATTAGTTTTTCAAACAATGAGTATCTTTTTAAGTAAATTTCTTTTTAATATGTTATTCTTTAAAAAAAAAATTTTAGGTGGATTTACATCGTTTTTTGGAAAAGACATTATTACCAGCAGTGGAAAAAATCTAACAATTGGCATTGGACAATTGGGCAACTCTACAAGTGCGAACGAATTTTTTAAGAATCCAAAAAAGAACCAGCTAAATGTTGTTAACATGACCAATCAATTTTCTACTAATTATTCCATTAATATTGGCTCTATTGGTTGTTATCACTTCAGTGATGCCGAAGAGAAATGGATTACTGGGGGATGTGACGTATGTATTAAAAGTATTCATTCCTATTTTTTAAAACATATGCATTATGCTTGAACGTTTATTACTTGTACATTACTATGAAAATTTCATGAAGGCTGTTGAAACTCTTATGGAAACCCATTCAAATATTGCATAAGTACTTGACAGGGGATTTGCGATTTATTTATTTTTGCTGACCCGGGGGGTGGAAGGGTATGAGCAGTACTTACATTAAAACATTAAAATCTCCTTATTTTCAAAATTTTTAGCTGTTGCTATTTTTTATCTCAGTCCAAAAACAGATCATAATCTGATGCAGGCAATGTTTGGGAATTAACAAGGATGGAAGCCGTAATAGCCCAGTAACTATGCTTTAGTTCGAAGGGACCAGATTTCAATTTTAAAAACTGCTGAGACCCACTGAGTGCTTGCAGTGTACATGCTTGTAATGAATGAATTACTTATGAAAAGTTTTATTGAATTTAATCTATTTGAATTTAATCTTAAAATTTTATTGCTACAGTAAAAGTCAAAGTTAAAGCAAAAACCAGGACTGGGGGAGATGCAACTTTTTAACATAAACATGGTAACAAGTTTGTGATTTGATTATTTTGTTAGCGATTGGAGATGAGGAGAAAAATTACTAAAAATATGCTTATGTAATATTTGAATGGTCCCTTACGAGCTGAAAGTTATTTCTACATATATGTCAAATTCGAACCAAAACTTGTCCTTTTACTTGTGTAGCAATAACTGTTGCTCTTTTTAATCTCTGTCCAAAAACAGATGATAATCTGATGCAGGCAATATCTGGAAATCGACTAGGATGAAGGTAACCGAGTAACTAAGCTTTGGTTTAAAGGTGCCAGATTTCAATTTTCAAAGCTGCTGAGACCCACCAAGTGCTATACATGCTCATAAAATCTAGGCAATTGAAAGAATTGTGGTTGGTTATTGAGCATTACCATGGGAATAGGGAATTGAAAAAAGCATTTTTCTTCAGATTTATGTCTAAATTGTGAAAGTTAACTCACAAATGAGTGGTGCTACTTAGTTGAGCTAAGTTGTACTTTCACCCTAGCTTTACTCTCTTATCAAATGAAAGGTGCTTCTTTTTGACTTGATTTGCACTTCCAATGGCTGACAAGCTTGGATTGTCAAAGTCTCATTAGAAACAACAATGATAAGGTAAACAAGGGTCTGTCCAGACATTTTGTGAAGGGTCCGATTTTTGTGAAATTGTGAAAAAATTACTCACATTCTTTCAACCAGGGTCCTGCTTTTATGAATTTGTGCAAATAGGGTTCAGTTATTGCAAAAAACTTTTTCAATGAGTTTTTAAATTGTAAATAGATACAAGATCATGCTCAGTACTGTAAAATTATAATTAAAAAAAATTTAAATTTTTAAAAATAAACAGCAATTGCTGCTTCTAAATTAGAGATGCAACATACAAATATTTGGTATTTAGCCTACATTGCTGAACGCAGAATATTCATTTCGGACGAATAATGGAAGAAGCGTCCGTCGAAGACAAAACTTAATTCGTTTACGTCCATCTTTCATGTTTTCTGCCCTGGGAAGGGTTTATTCGATTAACAAAACAGTAATGAAAATAAACAAATTTGTGAAGGGTCCGTTAACGGACCCAAATTTCTTCTATCCAGACCCCTGGTAAAACTTCCTTAAGGTATGTTTAACTCCTGCTAGATTGAGGTCTGGCATTATCTTTAAGAATTATCTGATTGCAGTATAGCACAACCTTTTTGCAACTGGAACAGATACAAGTCGAATATTTGAAGTTCACAATACCAGTGCTGAGTCATCAAACACCCTGTGGCAGAACTGTTTTAGATATCTAATAGTTAGGGTTAATACAATAAAATGATTCTCTATTGAATTTCACAATGTAATTGTGGTTTGTGTTCTGATATAAAATATGTTTTTTTTGTTCTCCTTTTAGGTTAGTAAAGTGGAATCGGGAGTTACTTGCTGTGCCTGTAACCACTTAACGTCGTTTGGAAGTGGATTTTTTGTGACACCTAATCAAATAGATTTCAATTATGTGTTTGCACATGCTGGATTCAATCAAAATATAGCAATATACGTCACAATCATTGTCATGTTTTCTGCATTCATTGTTCTGATCATTTTTGCAAGATTCAAAGATCGGAAAGACTTGGAAAAGGTTTAACTTTAATTGTCAGCATTCTTTTAACCTATCAGTATTTTATGTTACTATTGTATTTTTAGTTGTTTAATAATGCTCTAAGCAATCCAATTTTTTTAATAAAAAAAAAACTTTTTTTATGTGAATAAATCATTTAAAATTTTAATATTAACTTTTTTGTTAGTTTGTCTACAATGTCATAGTAAACATGAATCCGTATGTCAGTGTTTCCCAAACTTATGACATTTGTGTACCCTTTCTAAATTTTTCGAAATGCTGAGTACCACTAATAAAAGAAATTAATGAGTTTTTTACTGTAAAAAAATTGCACAAAAGTTAAAAATCACAACTGGCTGTTGACACCACTGATTATTAACTATTAACTCTGCAAAAAATAGCCAATAGAAAAGTGTGTAATCGTAAATTTTCATGGCTAGCTTTGTTTTCAAATAAAAGTTTTTGAAATTTTCGTTTGTTGCAAGATATTTCGCATTAGAATGTGTACCCCCACTAAACTGTTCCCGTACCCCTGAGGGTACGCGTACCACACTTTGGGAAACGCTGCAGTAGGTGATTATATTTTTTAAATACATTTTTAACACAGCATGCTTGCTAAATGAATATTATCACAGTTTGTTTATTACCAGTTCTCCCAATTAATTTCGCACCACGCAAATTTTATTCTTTTAAAATTGAAATTTATAACAAGCGACAGTTCATACTTTATTATAAATTTAGATAGAGAGAAGAATCTTTGTCAAGAAAGTGTATACTTTCAACATCACAAATTGCACACATCTCTTGAAGAAGAATATAATACAAAAAACCTCTTTACGAGGTTTTAAATCCCTATCTAATATTAGATCAAAACCATACCCATTTTTGTTGCTTTCCTTTCATCTTTTTTTTCTTCTTCATATTGAGGAGTTTATTTTTTGGTGAAACTTGTTAGATTTCTTATAAATACCATGTAGAAAGCGGAGTGACTTACAGTTCCTGAAAAATTGAATTTTAAATATATGACTTTTATTATTCAATTTTTCAGGAACTATTTGGCCAATTTTGTATTTTACCATTTAAAATTATATTCTTTAAAGTGATGTAAAAATTTGAAACAATTAAAAACTTTTTCGATTATTATTACATAAAATAATGATAAATAATAATCACAAATAATTTTTTTAGAAAGTTATCTTTGGATAAATGAGTTTTATAATTGTGTGCAAAAATTCTTCAATTCATTTAAAAAATTCTCAAGATATTGCAAAATAGGGGAAAAGAAAAATGAATATTTAGGGGTCCAATCTTTGAACCTTTCTCCTTGCAAAACTATTGGGACCCTTTTTCCCTGATTGCGGTTGCCATCTGTATTTTAGAGGTCAGAAATCTGAACTCATCGGAAATAAAGATATTATTATTCGGAGAAAGTGCCCTTTTGTGACTAGTTTCGTAACTTAAAATATCGTGTACGCAAACAAATTAGCATATTTGAGGTCACTCCCTTGAACCATTTAGATTGAGTTCTAGTCTAGTAGTTCGATCTTTTGATCAAATGTAATTTAGAATGTCTCGATAAATGTTTTGTTAGTGAAATCAGAGGAATAATTCTCACGTTTTGTGTGCTCGGCTCATGTTTTCAGGGTTCTGTCCAGACATTTTGTGAAAAGTCCTGTTTTTGTAAAATTGTAGAAAAATTACTCGTAATTTGTGAATATAAAAAAAAAAGTCAAGTCACATTTTTTCAAGCAGGGTCCTGCTTTTGTGAATTTGTGCAAATAGGGTCCTGTTATTGCAAAAAAACTTTTTCAAGGAGTTTTTAAATTGTAAAGACACAAGATTATGCCCAACACTGTAAAATTATAATTAAAAATATTAAATTTTAAAAAATAAACAGCTATTGCAGCTACTAAATTAGCGATGCAACATGCAAATATTTGGTATTTAGCCTATACTGCTGAACACAGAATATTCACTTCGAACGAAAAAGGAAGAAGCGCCTGCGGAAGACAAAACTTAGTTCGTTGACATCTGTCTTTCTCTCCCCCCCCCTCTCTGGGAAGGGTATATTCGATTAACAAAACAATAATGAAGATAAACAAATTTGTGAAGGATCCGATTAAAAGATAAATTATTTTGTAAAGGGCCCATTTTTATGAAAAGATATTTTGTGAAGGGTCTGTTAACGGACCCAAATTTCTTCTAAACAGACCCCTGGTTTTGTAGAGGGGATTATTTGGGAAAAGATTTGCAGAAATCTGCTAATGACATAATATTGTGCAAGAAAAAGAGAATAAATCTAATAAAGTATTAAGTGAATTATTTTATAATTTAAATCAAGCATTTTTAGTGATGAAATTTTAAGATAGGTATTTACAAGAAATGTGAATTTAACTTAAAAGTAATATCTTCAACAAGGAATAGATTATTAAAGAGACAGTAAAAAGAGTTTGGTTTTGGATTAAAGATAGAGATTTAAAACTATAATTCAATATTAACAGTCTCATTAGTGTCTTTTAATATTACATATAGGGTGTTCAGTAATCATCTCGCTTAGCATAAAGTTTTAAAATCCTAACCACAAAAATGAATACATTAGTGGTCATAAATTCGAACTTATTTAAGTGAGAAGGAAGATGAACACAATTGGAATCAAAATCACTATTCTGGAAGGTGGCACTAAAACAATGAAATTTTTCTATGGTGTCTAATAATCTCCTTTCAATTCCTCTCACTTTCTTTTTGACTATCAATCAAATTATACTGTAATTGATCTGTATGCATTAATACTTTACATATACATAATATTAATACTTATGTACCGTATTTATTTACGTTATTCAAAATTATAGTTTGTCTGCGGTAAGTACAGTCTGAGGCCGTCTGTTGCTATGAAAACAAGAAGAGCTCATTTCAGAGAGGGTAGCATCTCTTCACTTTAGGGCTAACACAATAGACCGAAGAAAAAGATCCCCTTTCTCATGCCAACCCGAGCCAAAGCCAGTCCTAAACAATGATCCCACACCCCTTCCTGAAATAGTTATACCTCGTTGCCATAGTCACCGCCTTGGGTTCAGACGAATAGCTAGGGAAGTTCTTACTTTAGACAAACTATATAATGTATTGCGTGAATAGCCTTTATTATATATTTAAAAAATTCTGTATAAGAATTTAGTTATTATGATGTCTTATACTCAGTAATTGTGATTTGTTAGATTTCAATAGGGTTTTAACTTAATACTGTGACTGGTGAGCCCCTATTGTATCTGCTTTTTTTACTTAAATTTTAACAATTAGGTTTTGATTCTGTAGATATGTGCTTTAACTTTTTTAATTGAACATCTTGCATTTGGAGAAAAAGTTCATTTTATTTTTCTTTGCAGATTGGTGCCACTCCTTTAGAAGACAATGAAGCTGAGGATAAGTATATTTATGAGATTCTCGTGTATACCGGACATCAAAGGAATGCTGGCACTAAATCAAATGCAAGTACATGATTAAAAACGTTTTCATAATGATACATTTTGTCCCAACAAGAGTTGAAAGCTGAAGCTTCAAATAAAATGCTGTTGCTTTTTACATTTCGCTGCATGAAGTGTCTATTACACTGATCAGTCCATTCAATAAAATTTATCTTATTATTTTATTCCATTTTATAACTGTCATTGAATAGCCGACCCAATTTTGAGTTAATGACTACTTATGTTCAACTCCGTAGCCCTGTAATATTGAATCCAATCCAGATGACAGGGGAACTCCTGGATCAAATATTGGGAGAAATTTGATTTTGCGGAGGACTTTTTAGTGGAACTAGCGGCATTTGAGTTATATAGAGAGGAAAACCACCAAAATCCTCCCACGGTTAGCCTAAAGACAAGGGGATTCTAACCCATGAGGATTATTTTTTTTTTATCGGCACTGTGATTCGTGCGTCTGGGTGTGGAATTCGTTTCGACCAGCCATCACTGGGATTCGAATCGGAGTCACCTTATTTTGAAGCGAACTATCTGTCCCCTAAGCCACTGCAGCTTTCAGTGTGCTATTATACCGAAGAAAATTTCAACCAATCACAGAGCGGGTTCTGTTTATATGACTTTTTATACTTATTTTTTTTTTGTTTTAAATAATTGACATTTATTTTAAAGAAATCAAAGTTTATTATTTAATGATCAAAGGATATTAGAGTTAGTACTTGATATACCCTGCACTGATGTTTTTTAAAATTAAATTCAACTGCCTGGTATATATTTCCCGGTTCACCTCCCGCTGATGTTTNCCTCCCGCTGATGTTTTTTTTAAAGAATAAATGCCACTGCCCACCTTCAGGAAGACTTGACAGGGCTCAGTTTTGATGCTGTAAACTGCATCATGTATTCACATCCTGCAGTACAGAATCTTCTGTTATCTGATGACCTTGTTTTGTATAGTACCGATAAAACCAGTCAAGTCATACAAGATTAACTTAAAATAATATTTTTTTAAAAATTGTAATAGTATTCTTTAGCCCGCATTGGTTTGAAAATAAGCTTATTATAAACTTTATTTCTTTTTATTTTCACCAGCAGGCATTTTTTATGTATTTACATAATTTATAGTATCAGGGGTCTGTCCAGACATTTTGTGAAAGGTCCGGTTTTGTAAAATTGTGAAAAAATTACTCGTAATTTGTAAATATGAAATAAACGTTAAGTCACATTCTTTCAACCAGGGTCTGCGTTTGTGAATTTGTGCAAATAGGGTCTGTTATTGCAAAAAAACTTTTTCAAGGAGTTTTTAAATTGTAGACATACAGGATTATGCTCAACACTGTAAAATGATAATTAAAAAAATTAAATTTTAAAAACTAAGCAGCGATTGCAACTACTAAATTAGAGATGCAACATACAAATATTTGGTATTTAGCCAATACTGCTGAATGCAGAATATTAATTTCGGACGAATAAAGGAAGAAGCTTCTGCCGAAGACAAAATCTAGTTTGTTTACATCTGTCTTCCCCCCCCCCTTTTCTGGGAAGGGTTTATTGATAAACAAAACAGTAATGAAGATAAGCAAATTTGTGAGGGGTCCGATTAAAGGAAAAATTATTTTGTGAAGGGTCCGTTTTTAAGTTAAAATATTTTGTGAAGGGTCCGTTTTTATGAAAAGATATTTTGTGAAGAGTCCGTTAACGGACCCAAATTTCTTCTAAACAGACCCCTGAGTATAGTATAGTAAAGTATTTTTATATTCTTTTTATTATTATCTTATATTTACTGTCTTGACGGTGATTTTAATATGAATATGAATATTGACGAAGGAAAAGTATTTTGTGACGTTTTGAAACACGTATATAGGCAGTATTTATAAACCATTCTGACGACAAGAGGACAAACGTCAATTGAAACAGGTTTTGCAACCCATGATTTGAAATGTTGTAGCGTTTATCAGAGTCAAGAAAAAAAGCATTTGACCAATGGCTAACCAGTGATCGTAATAAAGCGATCACAATTGTTTTTTAATTTTATGTCATTATAGTACAGAACCCGTTATCCGGAAATCAGAAAACCGGAAAACCAAAAAATCGGAACGAAATTCGATAAATTTTCCCGCAATTTTTAAAAAATAATTTTTTTTTCCTCATAAGATTTTACGATTTTTCTTTCTTTTTTGAAAGATGTTTACCTTACCATAATTTCAGAAATAATCATTAGTGTATTACCTCATCGTTTTTTCTTATTTTAAAGATTATTTCCAAATATTTTTTTTAGTTAGGTTTAACACTAAAAAAACGGCTTTTTGTAGCGATTCAGAAAACCGGAAAAATCAGTTATCCGGAATAGCGATAGTGCCGACGTCCCGATCGTTCCGGATAATCGGTTCTCTACTGTATGTGTTTTATTTTAAATTGTTTTCTTTTATTGTAAGCTTGTTTTTCCCTCAAATATTAGGTATTTTTTATCTTATCTGGTGATGATGAAGAAACCCAAGTTCGGTGTTTTTCTGACCAGAAACGACCTATTCTCCAACGGGGAGCCATCGATGTTTTTATCATGTCTGTCCCAAGGTATTTAAAATCGTTTCTGTTAAATAATTGTTCATTGTGTATTTTCACTTTATAATATTAGGGGGACCGGAAAGTAATGTCATTTCGGTGCATTTGATATTTCTTATAAAGATTTTATTTTTGATCAATATTGTATTCACCTTCGTTTTCAGCAACCTTTCAATGCCAAATCGAAAATGGATCGGGAAAAAAAAGAATTGGTTTCTAAGACTAGCGAATATTTAATGCGCCGAAACGACATTACTTTCCGGTCCCCATTGTAAATTATTTTGTGATATGGAGTGAATTACCATTCATAGATCATTTCATTGCAGTTCCAGTATACTCTTACTATTTGATTAGTTTATATGGCGGAAAAAATATAAATGATCATTTATGCATATTTTTTTTTGCTTTTTCAAGAACTTAAATATTGAGCCTCGGTAAAAAAAAAAAAAAAATTCAGGAAGACTCTGAAAAGGAATTTTCCCCTCAAAGATTTTTTTTATTTAAATGAGCTGCCGATGAAAGTATCGTGTTGGCCAAGTAGCGTCGGTGGTTCGATCTGTCGGTGATATAAATACAGCCCGATGGAGGTTAATTGCAAATTATCAAGTGCAGTGTAAATTCCAGGAAAGAATACATTGGTTTTATTTTAAAATAATTAATTTTGAGTTTTAAAAACCAACTAACGGTATTCCATCTCAAGTAAATAGAAATGCTTTAGGAAAACTACATTAGCTGCAAACTTGTCTTACCCGCAGAAAGCAAAAGTTTGGCATCATTCAACAAAATAATACGCATCTTTTTTCTTTCTTTTTTTTCAATTTGGTGTGTATTTCCTGCAAGTTTTTTCAAAAATATTTTTGCTGACAACAACACCATCTGCTCACCAAAATGTAAAAAAGCTGTTTGTTAAATTGAGCTACTTTTATCTGAAAAATCAAAATCTCTGCAAAAAAAAAATAATAATAAGGGTTCTTGTTTTAGATGTTAACATTTCTCTCACCAAGGCAAAGAATGTAAAAAGGAGAAGAAGTTCAGCTTTTGAAATATGTAACCAATGCGGGGAACTGCTCGGTTTAGTATGCTATACCAGAAAAGCAGCTTACAGTCTGAGCAACATATTCAGATTTAGCATAGTGTCATTTGAACTAAGTAACAGCGCATGCGCATAAGAAATTAAGTGTCAGTCGGGAGGTACGTCACATGTGAACAGAATTGTTAGACAACTCTACATGGCTGGGTAGGCTGTTTCCCGCCAACTGCCATTTTATTCTTTCTTTCTATATCAAACTGTGTTAGCAGATTTAATTAACATGGATGATATAAATGTCTCCTCAAAAAAAATTCTTAACTAAAAGTACAGTACTGTTTATCAATGCTGTAAAAATACCGAACAAACCAACGATAAAAAAAAAACTTCTTCACCCCAATGCGTCCCCATTGCCAGTATTGATTAGGAGGAGATTAGGGTGCAACCCCGTTTATAGAACCCCTAAATTTTGTTTTTTTCTTTATACACAGGGACCACACCTAACCCTGGAGGACTTACATTATGTTAATGAAAGCTAGACTCCTTTCCCTATGTATATTCTTTGCCTAAAAAATGTGCTACGGGTAAATCATTGAATTATTTGCAAATATTTAGCGAAGTACATTATTAAATTTTTGATCTCATGCATTTTTCTCCCATATTTTTTGAACAGATATAAATATATATATTATTGTTTTTAAAAAAAACTTCAACACATTGAAATATTACATGAATTATGTTGTAAAATTGCATGTTTCATATTAAACATGATTTTTTTTTTTGCATATTTGCAGATCTCTTGGTCAATTAAACTACCTGAGGCTTTGGCATGATAATTCTGGATCAGGGAAATGGTCATCTTGGTACTGCCAGTTAATAATATTCAGGGATGTGCAAACTGGCTTCAAATATGAGTTTCTCATTAATAGGTGGTTTGCTGTAGAGCTTGACGATGGCATGGTAATAGTGTCCTCATTTTGCCTCATGTTTCATAGTTCTTCAACTTCTAAATCTTCACATTTTTCCAATAAATGTTTATAATGTATACAAATTTATTGCATTAGAAGAAGTTACTAAAAACTACTTAACTACTTTAGTTCTAATTTATATTTCATAGTATGAAGAACGGACACCTATCCATTATGTAGGTATTAGAGGGAGCTTGGTGAAAATCAAGAAACTTTAGCATGGTCATAAACTGTACAGTCAAATTACTGAAGAATATCAGTTATTAACTTTATAAGTGATCATTTAAACAAATTAAGAATTGAATGATCATTTAAGCATTCCAAATTAAGTATTCCAATTTTTTTGTAGCTGATTCTTCCTCAAATCTGCAATTTCATGCTTTTTTTATGTTTTATTTTTGGATATTTTAAAAACATTACCTTTTTTGTATATTTTCAATCAAAAATAAACAGACTGATGATAATTTTCTGTCTTACACTTCTCAAAATGCATAAAAACCAATCAAATAAAGCTTTAAGTTCATGGATTAATAAAGTGCTGACAATTTGGATTTTCCAAAATGGCTTATTAGGGGATCATTCACAAATGTTAATTTGTATAGTGAATCAATTTGTATTCCCTTATGAAAATATAATAAATGCCCATTCACCTTGAACATTGGAAACATGGCGTTGACTTCTTTTCTAAGACCACATTCGTCCTCAAATTCGTGTAATTTTAGCGGTCTCTTCTAATCGGTCTGTAATACAAACAAAAGCCTCCTAAAAAGCATCATTAGTCTCCACTCTGTTGTCTCAATTGTAAATTTTGACAATATGAATTGAAACACATACGTTCACAATATTGTAAGTACGAATCTTCTATTGCAGTGTTTTCATTTGATACATTCTTTTCAATGGTATTTGACAAATTGTCCTATTCAATGATTTATCTAGATCTTTTGAAAAAAAGTTCTTTTAAGCATTTGAATACTATATGTTGCTGTTTTAGAAGCAAACTTTGTGTTTCTCTGAAAATAATTATTTAAACAAATATACATAGAGTTAATGATTTATATTGTGGACATCTTTCATGTGATTCTTTTTGTATGTTTCAAGAGTCATTTCACTATTAGAAAGTGGACAATTTATGTTTGAGGCTATACTTGTTCGTTGCATTATATGGGCATGACATTTTGAACACAACTTACTTTATCTTTGATAAATACTTATTTAATAATTTCCACAAATGTAAATGCGTTTTTTTCAATGGTATATTATTTATCTAATTTAAATCTTAAATTTTAGTTTATATTATTAGATATTGGCACTAAAAGTTAAGTAGCATAACGTTAAATAAAACTTTTTATGGCTTATGATTATTAATTTTTGCTTATAACGCAAGATTATTTTTATGCAATTATGAAAGCGAAATAATTTTATTTAAGGAAGTGGTTTCAAAAATGGTGAAATATACAAATGAAGGAATCCAAATTTTTAACAGCAAGTTAAAATTTAGACTCATAATTTTTTAAGGTAAATAATATCAAGGCCCTATTTTCCGGTTTCACATTTTCTTGATTTTTCTAGAATCTGTTAAAAAATATATTTGTACAGAAATGATAAAACTATTAACCGCCTAATTTCGAAAATTTGGAAAATGTTAAAGATTTGTATCTTCTTTTTTGGTCATTTGAATACTTGAATATGTTATTTATTTCATGCATCGAGAAAAGTAATTTAGCTTGCTATTTGAAAGATGCTTGCATTTTTAGAATGGTCTACAAATTGATTATGGGTGGAACTAATTGGTTACTATCAATATTTTTTATTAGATTGATCGATTGATTCCTGTTGCTGGTAAGGAGCAAGTAACTGAATTTTCCCACATGTTTTCAACTACTTCTCAGCGTAAGTTGGCAGATAATCATTTGTGGTTCTCAATATTTCTCCGACCCCCACGAAGCCGTTTCACTCGTGTCCAGAGAGTGTCCTGCTGCATGGCTGTCCTCTGCTTGTCTATGTTGACCAATGCCATGTACTATGAAAGAACTTCTGCCAAACCTGCATCAGGGGCCTTCAAATTCGGACCACTCTCTTTGAGTCCTGAACAGGTTGGTATGATGTCTAATAAAGTTATAAAGTTCTTGTTACTGGCTAACAGAAAGTTTTTTTGTGTCAGCCACTATATAATGCATCCTAACTCACACTGTGGGGGCGATATCTTTTTCCATGGTAGTCAGAGCTTCCTACTACGGCCCCAGAGATCGTATGTTCGATTCTCTGCCTTAAATTAGCTTTGTTTCACCAAGCAGGCTTGCTGTTATTGGCAAATGACATTAGAAACAACAACATACTTAATTGTTAATGATATAACCTAATATATTTCTTAGAACTGCCATCACATTTATTTAAAGAGTTCAAGAAAAATGTAAGTAAATGTAGAAAAAAAAATAAGTTAATGTTTTTTAATAAATTATTTTGCAAACTTTTTCTTATAATATACTACAACATGGATGAATTATGCAAACTTCACATAACATAAAGTTGCAATTTTTTTTCATTTTTCGTCAACTTCGTTATTCTAAAGAAATCACAATTCGAATTACAATGAAACTTGCACTGAGACATTAAAGCTAGCTTAGAAAAAACATTGTAGCTCATATTGCAGGGTGGTGACTGCTTTTAGTATTTAATTCAAAATCAGTGTCAAAAATGAACTCACTATAGTGCATTGTTCGGGGTTATTATATTAAGGGTGTAAATTAGTATTTAAACTGAGGGAAAACAAAATCCTACTTATCTTCAACGAATTACGGCTGAGGAATGGAAACATTAAATCCTGTAACTGTCTAGTTTAAACTTCATTTTTCATTTCCTGTCTTTCATTTCCTCTCTGTTTTCTTAAGTAATCAAGAAGGTTTCAATGTTTTCAGTCCTGCTTTTCTCAGTAGTAATTCCTCAGTATTTTGTCAATGTTTTTACTTTTTACTTGTTTAAATACTAGCTTATGCATACTATCTTAATGTGTGTACTTTTTAATTTGTCTCTTAACAAGGATTCTAAAATAACATATAATGAGCCTTGGGTCATATGACTTTGAACAGGTCTGAAATTTTTTTTATTTGTGCTAATGATATCAGATACATTTAGTATAATATGTATATTTCAACTTAAATATTATTTTTCTTTTATCTAAAGTTTTAAATATTCTGAAAGATAATAAATATTTTAGATTGCAGTCGGTGTGGTAACCAATCTCCTGATATTTCCTCCAACATTCATCATGATATTCTTTTTTCGGAAATCACGCCCTCGAATTCTACGCCCATCTCATGTTGAAGAAGCTTTGAAACAGCAAAGTATGCCATTTCTTTACAAATAATTGATAGTATAATTTTATTGTAAAATAATTTACAAATCAATACCCATGCATTTATGATTTTTAACAAAAAGAAATTATCTACGACGATTTAAAAATCATAACCCAGTCTTAATTACAAAAATATTTATCGTGAAAATAAAAGCTTTCTATTTTGGTCTGAAATTCATCTAATATGATATTTTTTAATTTTAAGTATTTTTGAACACCCTATCCAAAAAAATCAGGCAAGAAACTTGTAAATTTTATTGATTACTTAAGTTGTTCTTTTCAGTAGCAGTTAGGACTGGGCTATAAATCGATGTATCGAGACATATCGATTTAACGCATATATCGGCAAGACGATACAGCGACTTTCATTCAAGGCTATGCATCAGAAATCTGATTTAAGCCGTCGAGTAAACACAACGAGCGCAAAACGATATAGCGATATAAGACACGCAAGGTTATAAGATAACGATATAGCGATATAAGACTCTTCTCTTACGTTCCGATGTCGACTCGCGCTGTGGAAGGCGATGTTCGTTTCGTGATGTTGAAATGGCCTTGATTGGTGAGCTGTAGAATCATAATCAGAGTTTTGAGAACACATATCGTTATATCGCATGTTCTTTTTCGCACCTCTTAGCTTTTTTTTNATATTGTGTATAATGTTTACTAAACTGAATGTCTAAAGGCTTATTTGAATGTCTCATTCGAATGACCAAACGGAATGTGAAAAGGCTTATTTGAATATCTTATTCGAATGACTAACTTTAATGTGTAACGGCTTATTTGAATGTCTTATTCGAATGACTAAACGGAATGTGAAAAGACTTATTTGAATGTCTTATTCAAATGACTAAACTGAATGTGCAAAGGCTTATTTGAATGTCTTCTTCGAATGACTAAACTTAATGTGTAACGGCTTATTTGAATGTCTTATTCGAATGACTAAACTGAATGTGTAAAGGCTTATTTGAATGTCTTGTTCGAATGACTAAACTTAAAGTGTAACGGCTTATTTGAATGTCTTATTCGAATGACTAATCTGAATGTGTAAAGGTTTATTTGAATGTCTTATTCAAATGACTAAACGGAATGTGTAAAGGCTTATTTGAATGTCTTTTTCGAATGACTAAACTTAAAGTGTAACGGCTTATTTGAATGTCTTATTCCAATGACTAAACTGAATGTGTAAAGGCTAATTTGAATGTCTTATTCGAATGACTAAACTGAATGTGTAAAGGCTTATTTGAATGTCTTCTTCGAATGACTAAACTGAATGTCTAAAGGCTTATTTGAATGTCTCATTCGAATGACCAAACGGAATGTGAAAAGGCTTATTTGAATGTCTTATTCGAATGACTAATCTGAATGTGTAAAGGTTTATTTGAATGTCTCATTCGAATGACTAAACTGAATGTGTAAAGGCTTATTTGAATGTCTTCTTCGAATCACTAAACGGAATGTGAAAAGGCTTATTTGAATGTCTTATTCAAATGACTAAACTTAAAGTGTGAAAACTTATTTGAATGTCTCTTCGAATGACTAAACTGGCTGTCTGAATGAAATCAAATGACTTTCACCTAATGGTTAGTAATTTGTTTAGACTCTGAAGAAAGTTCTTGCTTATTGAATCGAAACTATAGTATGTCCATTTCTGTACTTTATTTGTGCTTTATCCACATTTTTTTAAATAACTAGTGTTGCACGTTTGTCAAGGGAAAAAAAAGATCCTATGTTAATGACAGAATTATAAGAAATTTCGAAATTTATGGGGGAACACAAATATAAAAACATACGCAATTTTTGATGTGAATACATTGACATGTTATAAAGAATAAAATAAAAGCATATAAAAAAACTGAAAAAATTATTTCTTTTAATTTTATACCTACCAGATTAGATTAATATTTTTATAAACGTTTAGAATATGTTAAAAGTTTTTACTAGAAAGTGGTTACATTATACTTCTGTTATGATCTTAACAAATACTTTACTCCCTTGCAAACAAACTAAATTTCACTAACTTTAAGAGCCGTGTTGCTGATATAAATAGATGATAAAGTAAAGAATTCCCGTAGTAGCTTTCCTTAAACTTGAATAAAATGAAAGATATGTCTGAAATCTGCTTCAGCTGCTTATGTTAACTTCTTGGAATCATTCCATATTTTGAAAAATTATAATGGTTTAGTTAATTTTTTTTAGCATCGCTTTCTTTTCTAATGTTTTGAAATCTATTTTAAATTTTTATATGTCGTCGTACATTTGGGTTTTTTTTTTTTTTTTTTTTCGAACCACCATGCACCAGGTTCTTATATTCTTTCTTCTATTTGATTATCTTGTTCAGCTCTTCCTATTGTGAGAAAGGAGTTATCGATAATGTCAACTTTCATCTATTTAAAGTTACCTCAACATATTAAATAGTTAACTTTTCTTACATAATAGTGAATCGGAATTAAATAATTGTAGTAGTAGACACACACGCTACCCCCACCAGAATTTTATCTGTGATGGATCCGATGAACGAATACCACTAGTTGTTTCATATCTGTTTTATGGGAGAGTTGTTTTAAGTTTATATTGTGTCTGACATTTCGTGACTGACACTGATCTGACATTTTGTATATTGACACTAAAGGGTCTTGTTTATAGAAACAAAACTATAGCGAGTTCATTTGCGTGCTATTATTTGTGCTTTATTTACGTTGTTCAGCTTAATTCATGCAAACCAAGCTCAGAAATTGCCAAAGAGAAGGTGGAAGGACGATGTTATTGACGACTTGGAAATAATGAATATCCGTAGGTGGAGGGTGAAGTCAAAATAGAGTGTTGTATGGAATTGTAAAAAAAACCACTGCCTACTAAGACCTGTTGAGCTATAGGAGAAGAGAATATTACATTTTATTTTTGATTTGTATTGTTTTTCATGATAAAAACACAAAAGTGTTAATGTTTTGTCTTGTTTTCTTTTGACCTGGATTTAATTCATTTGATTTCTTTGTTTCTTTAATTCATTTTTTTTTCTTTCCTGTAGATTCTTCTTATGGCTATTGTCATATCTTGTCTATGTCAGTCTTTTGCTTATGAGGAAGATGATGCCGATGAAGATGAAGAAGATCCTCGTCTCCAAGCTGATGAAGAATACTTACACGATAGTAATAATTCTTTTTAACTAATCAACCAAAATCTATTATTTGAATGTGAGACACTTTCAAAATTTTCCTTCAGGCTGTTACAAGTTTCCTTTTTATTTATTACTTTATATTCGCATATTAAAAGAACTGTATGCTTTTGATCCATGCGGTAAGCAATCTGATAAAATTACTTATTGTTAAATAGAACAACTTAACCTATGGAAGGATATGGGCATTTAAATAGTTTCCTTGGATTAATAAATTCGCATTGTGTTTTTATTTTAAGTGTATTTGTTCTTGTGATAAATCAGCTAGTTGTTGTATACTCAAACAATTTTATAATATTTTCATTATTATCATCCTTTCTTTCTCAACTAACAATTCCCAAACCATTGGCTTTAGTTTGTTTGCTTTTTTCATTTCATGGATTTAGCTTTCACACAAGTTTTACAAAATTATTATCACGCTATAATTTTTCTCCTGAATTTTTTTTAAGGGGAGGTATCAAAAAAATTTTAAAGCATTATAATTCTCCCCCCCCCCCGATTATTTTATGAGACTATTCTTTCAATTTTAAAATATATATTCTGATGTAATTACTGTAAAATCTAGATAAAACGAGCACAGCATATTACGAGATTTTCGCTGTTACAACTAATTTTCAAACTACCGTCAAAATGCTAATTTTCACAAAAAATTTCATGTTTATAACGAGCTAAAAATTAATAGTCGCTCACTTTTATGACAAAAAAATAATATAGAAGCATACATTTTTACGCTCTTTAAGGGAGCAATATTATAGGAATAAATTTTAAATAGTAGGCATATGTTATTTGTTCCTGGTAGCAATAAAGAAAACCAGGAAACTAGCATAGTTTTTTTTTTCCTTACAATATCAATAAATCAATATGAAATCCTTTTTTATCTAAAGCAACGTGTATCCGATCACTTGCTAAACTATCTTCTACCTCCCAAAAAGCTCTTTCCCTATTTGTTGAAATGTCTATCATAACTTTGTATTTCTTTTTTTGAAAACTGTCAACATTCACTGTTATCAATGACTTCAAAAGATATTACTTTTCGTTTCATTTCAGTTATGAATTCTTAAATTGCTATGAATTGGAAACTTGTTGTTCAAGCATTATTTCCATAGAGATTTCTGCCTTTCATAAAGTAATGAACTACGTAATTCAGTCTATTTATAAAAAAATAGTTGTTGCAAAAGACGAAAAAAATCTATAATTTTAAAATCGTTTAAAATACAAACAGAGAAAGTGCAGGGAGTTTTTCCTTACAAACTGGGAAAATACAGGGAAGTTTATTTCTTATTTTTGTCTTTTAAAAAAAGCTGATCTCTCAAAGTACAATCTATGGGATATGTAAAGATGATAGTTGAACTATACTAATCTTATTTCATTTACTGTAGCAGTATTTGTTTTGAGCAGTTTCTTATTTCTCAAAGTTTTTCCAGCAATTAAAACTAGTATAGTTATCCTACTATAACTTATATACGAACAGAGGGATTGTGTGCTTCCTCTCAATATATTGTGTATAATGTGTACAGTGAAAATACAGGGAATTATTTTTCCAGATATGAGTGGCAACCCTATAGTCATTTATTTCTATCTAAATATTAAATATACATATTTGTTTCGAATGAAAAGCTTTCGTTGACGATAATTTCTTCTGGTATTATGACTTTTCTGTTACAACAGATTTTTACTGTATTTTTTATAAATTACATTTCTATATTCATGGGGCATTCTGAAAATTGCATAACTAAAATTTATTTATTTATTTTTCAGTTAAAAGCAAGACAAGAAGAAATATATCTTATAAACCAATGGATTTCAATGCTTTAGAAGAAGCTAGGAAGGAACGAGAAAAGGAGGTGAAAATGTACAGCGTACTCAAAGAAATAGTGGCTTACATTTTATTTTTTTGGGTTATTATGATTCTGAGTTATGGAAACAGGGACCCCAATAATTTCTATTTAAGAGAAGCTTTGGTGAATGGATTCATTAAGCCTGGAGACTTATATCTTGAATTTAATAATGTAAGTATTCATAGGACAAAAATAATTAGCATTATATGAATGATTATATAGTCCACTCTCATCCATAGTCCAAATAAATATTGTTATAACATAAGGTCACTTTTCCAGTTTAAAATCAATTTGGCCGATCACGATACTGAAACATCCCCAATTAAAACGTGAATGAATGACATTGGCCAAATTTCATCGGTTATTATTAATAATAAACGGTTAATGGGATAAATTCGCTTTAATTATTCACTTTAACAGACTTATTTGGTTGTTATTAATATTGACTATTATTTATTTGGTTATAATTATTATTACTATTGGTCAGTATTAATAATAACCGACTATTCCATTGACCGTAGCGCACACACACACACACACACACACATATATATATATATGCATTTTTAAAAAGTGCACCTATAATTATTTATATGCCTGAAACATATACTGCCAATAATAATCGTGATAAGAAAAATGAAGTGTACAAATTCTTCAAGAAAATTCTTTGATTGTGGTTCTCTGCAACCAATAGCATTATTTTAAATGTCAAATAATTCTGAGTATAGTTAATCTATCTTTTGATGAGTTGAATTTCTAAAAACAAATTTTTCTTAATCTCGTAAAGTCACACAGAAGGGCAACAAGGTTTAAATATTAAAAGAAGGCATTATTTTAATTGTGTTAGTGTTAATATACGGTTTCCTGGTTTGTTGTACAACGATTAATACTGATTTATCAATTATTTATTGTTTAAAAAACTCATTGGAGAAGAGTACTTCTGTCTGAAATGGTATTGTTCAATAAATTAGCTTCTTTGCTAAAATGAATTCAACCTTAGATTTTGTTACTCATAAGAAAAAACATAGTTTTTTTTCCGGACTCTTAACTTATAATTTGCCTGTATTATTTTCAGTCAGAATTTCCGCTTGTGCGCTTATTTAAAATCATCAAAAGTCATTAGGCGTCATCTAAGACGCGTAATTCTCTATCGAACAAAAAAATAATAAGTTGCCATCTGATTTAAGAGACCAAAATTTAACTTTAAAAAGAAAAAATTGAATAAAAAAAATAAATTCTTGCAACTAAAAAATACAAACAAAAAGGATAAATACTATTGCAAGAAATAGAATAAGTGAAGACAAATTTAGATATATTATGGTGATTTCAGCTGAGATTGCTGTCAGAGGACTGTCACTGAAAAATATATATGGAAGATTATTTTTTAAATAAGGACCCGCTTTTAGTAAGGAATGACCCAAAAATTTAAATCTTCCTCTTCTTCAGGAGTTTCCGAAGTCTAGTGAAATCACTGTTCAGTGTAAGTTGGGCTTAGATTTATGTCTAATTATTTGATAAATTAAATATTAATATAATTATTGACTCTATGGAATTGGTGGGGAATTATTAATATAAAGGTATCTCAGGTTTGACTTGCTTTAACATGTCTTATATACTGGTGAATTGATATTTAATAATTGAAGTGGTAGTTACGCCACAATACTCCACCCCCACCAGAATTTTATTAAGGATAGAATTCGATGGACGGATACCACTAGTTGCTGTATTTGCGAAAGACTGGGAAAGCTGTGTTAAGTTCACGGGATTTTGTGCGTTCGTGGTGAGAGCTGTATCAAGTTCACCACGGTTGTGTGTGTGTGGTCTATCCTGTGTTGCTATAAGCAGTTGAGTGTGTGCAGAATCCCATTGTGGGTAAATGAGACTGGGAAGCAACAGCGCGAGTAGTACGATGACGCAGTCACAAATAGCAAGTCAAGTGTTCAGTGTGACCATCCATCGAAATAGGCGTGTCACATCACGTCCGGAAGTCATCATTGTGGGGATAGTACTATGTCAACCTTTATCTATCGTACCTCAAGATTGAATCGAGTTTGCATATTTTATATACTAGTTAGTTATTATTTTATTAATTCTAATACACTAAATTACCTAATCGGCACAAGGCCTTGCAACTAATGCCATCATTGCTAAAACGGAAAAGAAAATTCGGTGATTAAAAGTATAACTTTTTGGAGCTAAAAGTAAGATCTGATATGAAATCTAAAATTATATTTCAGGTGAATACTGAAAAACGTTTTTGGAATTGGACACACAATGCTTTGATACCTGAATTGTTTGCCCAAAAGTGGTACAATGGAAGAGATCCCTTAGGCCTAAGGCTGTACTTGGATGATAGAAACAATATGAAGATTGGTTATGCTGTCCTCAGACAAGTTAGAATACAGCCAAGTAAGTTATAACATTGCACTTCGAACTCATTGTTTAAATCATATGCCGGCAGATTATTTAGGAATCGTTTATTTGTAATGTTATAGACCAGCAGTTCCCCACCTTTATAGTCATGCTTATCAACCATTTTGTAGGAGGGGGGGAAACTTCGACTTCCACTAACTATTAAATATCTAATTACAAAAATATAATGACAAATAGCAGACACCTATTATATAAGTAATATGAACATATATCATGCACAAATATGTCAGTAATTAGTGAAAAATGCTGTAAATACTGAATTTAAAAGTTTTTTTTTTCTTTTTTCATAAAGAATATAATATTGCTGCATTAACTTAACTGTCACATATGTCCTCCACGAGAGAGTGGATTCGTACTGGGCAGTTTTAGGATTGATGAATCATTCACGAAAAACTGGTGTAAGACAACACTATTTATTTTTGCTTAGACTTTCTGCTAAGTGCTACACTACTCTACTTGTATGCCACTCATGGGTTAGGAACCGATGATAGAGACAGTTATTTAAAGTTTTGTATTGTGTTTTTATATGTTTAAATTATTTTTGAAAATTGTTTTTTAAAAGTTGCTCAGAGGAAAGAGCGCTCACCTCCAATGAGGTCACGCGGGTTCGAATCCCGGAATTGGCCGGTCAATATGAATTCTTCACCCAGCTCGCGCTGATCATAGTACTGACGTAAAAAATATCCTCAGTGGTAGAAAGATCATGGATTAGTTTCCTTGCCGTCAGGCTAACCTTGATAGGTTTTCGTGTTTTTCCTCCCCATATCACGCAAATACAGGTTAGTTTCATCAAAAAATCCTCCAGAAAGGCAAACTTTTCCCGATAATAGATCCAGGGGCTCTCTTGTCTTCTGCAATGGGTTCAAAATTAAAAGGCTACGATATTGAACAACGACTGATCAAAAACGGTTATAAAATAAAAAGTTCGACAACTATATCGTGCCACTTATTAATTATTTGGAATGTTAATTCTAAGATCAACTCAGAATTCTAAATTTGTTGCTTCTTGCCATCAACAAGTTTTGGAAATAGTGTGGCTTATCATTACGTTGCCCAAACTCATCATATGCTGTGTTCTTCCTTAACATAAGTTATGTTTATTTTAATCAGCACTGTCAACAATGTGACGACCTATTAAAATTAAGCCACGATATTTTGCTAACACGAACATCCTTCAAACTTCTCCTTAACAGTAAATGCCCAATCACTCTAGTCACGTCATAGAAATGGGAAAAAAAGTGTGTTAAAGTGTATATAGTAAGCATAACATCCAGGTCTATATATATTAGGGGACCGGAAAGTAATGTCGTTTCACGGCATTTGATATTTGTTATCAAGATTTTATTTTTAATCAATAATGTATTCACCCTCTTTAGCAACAACCTTTCAATCCCGGGTCGAAAATGGATCGAAAAAAATGGCTAATGTTTTAAGACTAACGAATATATAATGCGCCGAAACGACATTACTTTCCGGCCCCCCTAATATATACATGTAATCTGCTAATATTCTATTCAATTTCTCCTAGAACGAAGAAATCGCTGATTTAAATTTCTGTCGTTTTTCTTTCTTTCAGAGAGTTGTGATGTGTCTTTTGTAATGGAAACAGTCACTCCCGAATGTGCAGGCTACGGAAAAGTTGCTTTTGAAGATGGTACTTTGTACACCACAAACTGGATTAAAGTTAACTCCACTGAAACACCTGTCCCGAACGAGTACAAATACTTGACAGCCGCTCAGCTCAAAGGGTATCCGTTCTGGGGGCAACTTGACTGGTACGGTGGCGGAGGGTATGTTGTGGCACTTGTTACTCGCAAAAGAAGCAATAGCGATCTCCCACAGTTACAAGAAAAACTGAAAAAACTGGAGAAAGAGGGCTGGGTTGACAGGCATACTAGAGCAGTTTTTGTTGAATTCGGTATTTACAATGCTCAGGTTAATTTATTTTGTTCTGTGACTATTGTTGCAGAGTTTCTACCAGGAGGTGGCGTGATCCCTTATTATCAAATATCTCCCATTCGACTGTTGAATTACCACTCGGGGTTTGGTATGATTCAGTTATCGGCGGAGATCATCTTTGTTATCTGCACGATTTTTTTCACCGTCAAAGAGGTGGCGAGTTTGAGTCGAGAGGGCTTGGCGTACTTCCACCAGTATTGGAACGTAGTGGAGGTTATAAGCATTGTCGTGTCTTACACGGGAATAGCGAATCATGTCTATAAGATATTCGTAACAGCTGGGATAATTAGAATTTTCACGGAAACGGAAGGGAGCGGATACGTCAAACTTCAGGAAGCGGTACTTCTTGATGAGCTGTATTCCTACCAAATTGGAATCGTAATGTCTATCTCTACTCTCAAGTTCCTGAAGCTGTTGCGGTTTAACAAGCGCATAGGCATACTTAGTGGAACGTTGCGAGAATGCGCCAAAGAGTTGCAAAGCTACTCTGTTTGTTTGATGGTGGTGTTCTTCGCTTTTGTGGCTCTCTTTTGGCTTCTTCTTGGCAGGTATATCCGAGAGTTTTCTACCCTTATCTATGCTCTCGAATCAACCATTAGTTTGATGTTGAAGAAATTTGACTATGAAGAAATGTATGCTGCCCAACCGATTTTGACTCCTATAGCATTTTTTGCCTTTTCTTTGGCTACCTCCGTTGTTCTAATAAACATAATGTTGAGTATCATCATCCAGTCTTTTGAACGCGCCAAGCACGATGTTGCTAATCAAGGCAATGAGTATGAAATCTTGGATTTTTTCATCGGGAAAGTAAAATCTTGGGTGGGAGCTGGAAATGCTAAAGTGAAACCAGCGCCTCAGATGTATCAGGATAAAAAGATAGCACCAGATACAGTTGCAGCGTTTCCCGCCAAAGTGGATAGACTTGTGGAATTCATCAATGATTTCTATTTTGACGGACATATGGATTTTAATAGTAAAGATCTGCTGAAAAAAGTTAACGTTAGAGATGACTCTGCAAAAGAAGGAAGCAAGAAGTCTCGACCGACTAAAATAACTAACAGCAAAATTCCTCGTCATATTTCGAAAGAGCTTTATGATTTTTAAATGCATTTTCTCCCTTTTTTAATTATTAAAACTATTGTGCTTGAAATATTTAATTTTTTTTTCTATTTAATTAATTTATACGATTGCTTTACTCACAAAATTTCTAAACACACATTTCAAAATATTTTTCTTGGCACATTCTGAAAAAACTTAATATGTTTTAAATGCATTTCTTTCTTCATAACTTATTAAAAGTATTTAGTTTTTACTCGAGTTTCTTTTTAATTTTGATTTAACTAAAAATCCCTAATCACGAAACTTCTAAACACACGTTTCAAAAAAATATATATATAATTAACTTTTTCTCAAAATTTATTAAATATTGCTCATCTAAAATTTTATATATAATATCACCAATTTCATTTGCTTGTTTAATATTAATGAAAACTAAAAATTTTAAATATTTATGTAAATAAAAAATGTAAGAAAAAGTAAAGTTGTTTTGCTCTACACATTGCTTTGTCTTTTTTTTCTTCACTAATGTTAAATACATTTGTTATTCAATGAAAAGAGTGATCAAAAGGTTTTGTTTGAGTGTAACAGTTCGAAGTATATGCAAATGAGCGTAACGCACCACCAAAACTGGTATGAAAGTCTATCTCTAGGCATGAGTTTTGTAAAGCCATTTAGTTACTTCCTTTCTATAAATTCTAGTTTTTTTTAACCCATTGGCAAAATGGGTATTGTTTTAGGTTTGATGGCGTGCTGTCCTTATTTGAACGTCATCACACTTTTCGACTGTGTTCAGGAATAATAGTAAACAGTGCACATGTGTCATCATTTGAACGATATTTTTTACTCACAAGGTTCAAAAATTATTGCCAATATGTAACCTGTGGTCGCCTTTAGGCGATCGCAATTTTTTTTTTTTTTTTTTTTTTTTCGTTTTTTGATTTTGCAACAGTATAGTTAAAGTTTTGCATTTAAGGAAAGATAAGGATTATATTTAACATATTTTTTTTAAATTTTCTTTCTTTTTTATTTTATTATCTATTGGCAAAATGGGTTTGGTTTGGATTTCATGGCGTCCGAACTTTTCAACTACAATAATTAGGAGTAATAGTAAACAATGCTCATGCGTGCTATGGCGACCGCTGCTGTTTGACAATTTTTTTAGAACTAGGAGGCTCCGCCCCCTGCTCGCTAACGCTAGCCAACCCCCGAGGATTGCTACGCTATCCTATGTGGTTCACACCGTGAACCATGGCTCGCTGCGCTCGCTCGCCAATGAACACAATGTTCTAGCACAAAGACATAATATATTATCATCAAAGACATAGTATTTTATCATCAAAGACACAGTATTGTACTTATGTAGAAGAATTCTACCAATGTTCTTATTGGCTTTTAAAAAAGTATATTAGCTATTTAGATTGTACATGGTGAAAAAATCAAAACATTAGCTAAATAAGAAACATATTAGCAAAATAAATTATCAAATATTGCTTCACTTCTTTTTTTCACTTTTAATTTTGTTATGCATTAAGCTGGTGAGTTTATTTTAGAGATATGCTACCAGAGAGATCCCATCAATACTTCTTGAGTTGTGAATAAAAGAGAATTTCATCATTTGAAAAATATTTTGTTTTAATTAAGAATCAGAAATTTTCTAACCTACTGTTCAAACGGGATTTTTTTTCAATTCTAATTCAGGTGAATATCATAAATAAAGGGCGTCCAAACTGATTGAGTCGGTCCCAAAAATTAGAGTTGAAGTAAGAAAAAAAAACGATGCCATGGCCTAAACTTACCGAGGCTGAAAAAGCTGAAGAACGTTGACGGGAATACCTTAAGCGTAACGCACAAACGGAAAAACGAAAGGATTCCATTCGCAAACGCAAGCACGAAGCCCGTCCTTTACAAAAGTACCAAAGTGGTTGAGAGAATTGAATTCGAATGGTGACACTTCGAACCCCTTTCATGCAAATACGAGAACTGGTTGTTGATCACCAGTTAGGGATAAAAGGATCAATTTTCAACGTACCCAATAACTTTTTACTTCATTTGCATTCCACAACCTCATCGAAGCACCACAAAGATCAAGCTGAAGATGAATGGGAAAAGGGCGCCTCAGAAACCCAGATGTTTTATACAGTTTAAGTACCCAATGACTTGCACAAGACTGTCTTCCATGCAATATAAATGATTCATTTACTATTCATGTAAAATTGAAAAAAAGGCCTAGCTTTCAAATCATATTTCATATATGAACTTGTGAATCCGAAACGGGTGTATGATGCAGCTTACAATCTCCATCAAACACCGCTGAAAATGTTAATATTGATCTCGATTGGCTGTTCAATATCAATTCAGTCATCAAAAGAATTTACACAGAATGTGTCTGAGCTGCATTTAAATATGTCTGCGAAATTGTGTACCAGAGCAGTTCAGGATTAACAGTTAAAGATGTCCAANATTTTCGTTTGAGTGTGTCAGTTCGAGGTATGTACAAATAAGCGTAGCGTACCACCGAAACTGGTATGTAAGTCTATCTCTAGGCATGAGTTTTGTAAAGCTATAGTTACTTCCTTTCTATAAATTCTAGTTTTTTTTTACCCATTGGCAAAATAAGTATTGTTTTGGGTTTGATGGCGTGCTCACCTTATTTTTTTATGTTATCACACTTTTCAACTGTGTTGAAGAGTAATAGTAAACAGTGCACATGCGTCGTCATTGCATGCGTTGTTATGGCAACAGCTGCTGTTTGATAATTTTTTTAAAATTCTTTTTTTCACTTTTAATTTTGTTATGCATTAAGGTGGTGAGTTTATTTTTGAGATATGGGACCAGAGAGATCCCATCAATACTTCTTGAGTTGTGAATAAAAGAGAATTTCATCATTTGAGCAATATTTTTGTTATTATTGTTTTAATTAAGAATCAGAAATTCCAAACTACTGTTCAAACTGGATTGTTTTCAATACTAATTCAGGTGAATATCACACATAAAGAGGATCCAAACTGATTGACACGATCCCAAAAGTTAGAGATGAAGACAAGAAAATAAACGATGCCAAGACCTAAACTTACCGAGGCTGAAAAAGCCGAAGAACGTAGACGGGAGTACCTTAATCGTTAAACACAAACGGAAAAACGAAAGGATGCCGTCCGCAAACGCAAGCATGAAGCCCGTCCTTCACAAAAGTACCAAAGTGGTTGAGAAAATTGAACCCTGCCGAAGAGCGAATGGTGACACCTCGAACCCCTTTCATGCAAATACGAGAACTGGTTGTTGATCACCAGTTAGGGATAGAAGGATCCATTGTCAACGTACCCAATAACTTTTTACTTCATTTGCATTCCACAACTTCATCGAAGTACCACAAAGATGAAGATGAATGGTAAAAGGGCCTCGGATGTTTTATATAGTTTAAGTACCCAATAACTTGCACAAGACCGTAGACTGTCTTCCATGCAATATAAATGATTCATTTACTATTCGTGTAAAATTGAAAAGAGGCCTAGCTTTCAAATCATATTTCATGTATGAACTTGTTAATCCGAAACGGGCTTACGATGCAGCTTACAATCTCCAAACACCATTGTACCAATCCAAAAATGTTGATATTGATCTCGATTGACTGTTCAATGTCTATTCAGTCATCCAAAGAATTTACGCAGAATGTGTCTGAGCTGCATTCAAACATGTCTGCGAAATAGTGTACAGAGCAGTTCAGGATTAACAGTTAAAGATGTTCAAGATAAAAACACTATAAAGTTACTTTTCCGGAGAAAAAAATTAGACAACAGCCAATGGGTAACCTGTGATAGCTTTACGGCGATCACAATTTTCTTCATTTTGTAGTGAATCTTCAAATTTTGTTTCAATACTTTCTATATAATCAACTAGTGAGGTTCAGTACGTAAAAATACTTTTTTTTATTTATTTATTTTGCTTTATTTTATTTTTTTTTACCGTAATTTTGTCAAAATAAGGGAATGGCTTTGACGCAGATGGTACATCAATGGTCCTCGCGTGCTTTACTCTTTTATACTCTAATTTTAATCCTGAAAAATTCTGCAGTGTAATTGTAGAAAAAAAAGGGTTTTGAAAATTACTTGGATTTTTAAAAATTATGCTTCAGAACTATGAAAATTCCGTAAGTTTCGGAGGCCGGGTAAACGTGATAAATGTAATATGATGTAATAATTTTTTTGTTCCCAAACAAAGGCTGTTACGATACAACTATTCTCATTGCAGGTGGATGCAAAGTTTAATACATAAAAATAGTAAATTAAATATGATGTATTTTACAAAATTAGGGAAATTTCAAGGACCTGGCATGGGTCTTAAATATATTTTGAATTTACAAAAAAAAATTTACAAGCATTTTATACCAATATGCAACTTTTCACGCCACAGACGATTTCAGTTTTTAAACAAAAAAGTAAAAATAAGCCCATCCTATACAACACTGTGATTTATAGACAAGTTTAAAAAAATTTTGACAAATTACAAACAAAATTTGCCACACAAAAAACGTATTGACAATCGTTTTTGAAACGGAATGTTCTGCTGTTGTTGACTTTTTTTTAATTTGCCCGTACACTTACTCGGGTTGTGTATTTTTTCACACTAATCCACTAATTTGCTGGATTATAAGACTGTTTCCTTGGATAGGTCTTTCATTTAGACGGAGGATTTGAGAAATTTTGATCCCCCCCCCCCCAAAATTGAAAAAAAAAATAGAAATAATAATTTTCTTAATAGTTTGCAAAAGAAATAAAATATTTTAAAAATTATTTAAGGGGGCATATACACCTAGCTAGGTCGAAAAAAAATCGATTTTTTTTCTCCATCTAATTATGTTCTCAGGGATGAGATTTTTCCGCTTTTTAGCGGATTTCCGCTTTTTTCACTTTTATCTCTTAAATTTCAGCCTTTTTATCAAATATTCAAATTTTCTAAAAATTTCATTTTTTTAAACAAGTTATCTGCTTTTTCAGAAAATTCACCGATTTTCAAAGAGAAACAGAAAATTCAAACTACATAGCTACCAATCCTTTCTCATTTTTACGTATTTTACCTATTATCTCCCCTTTTANAATCAATA